TTTTTAACTTTAATATTATTTTAAATTTTATGAATGAAAGTACAAAAAGTGATCTTGAAATCGTTCTTATATATAATGAAATAACACTGTGACGATGTACAAAAGTTATATAGACACGCGATTCGTAGAACGCAAAGCAATATAAAAATAAGAAAATCCACGTAATTCAATAAACTACAACGAGCTATTTCCTATCAGAATACGCTAAATATTAAATATAATGTTAAAGTGTTTAACAATAAATCATTTTGAATGATCTCCGTGATTAAAACATTTGTTTGACATTTTGTGTCAAATTTTTCGCTATTTTAAGGAATGACATGAAATGAGATTTCGAACGTCACTTTGACGCATTACAGCAACACATTATTAATTATATTTATGAAGATTTCATTGGCTTATCGAAATATGAGACAGAAAATATAAAATAAATTTTTGTTCACGGAGATCGTTCAAGTTTTACGATTCATTAAGAAAAGCTAAAGTCTCGTCGGTGCTTGTTAATCTGCCAGGCGGTTTTCAGTTTTAATCTCTCTTTATTCACTCCTCTATTGTGTCGACTCAACTGATCCTGCCATTCTTCTTTGATCATATCTGCTCCCTTCTCGGCAATCATGATCGTTGGAGCATTGGTATTGCCACTCACGATATTTGGCATGATCGATGCGTCGATCACGCGGAGTCCTGTGATACCGTGAACTCGTAATCTCGAATCCACTACCTAAATGCATTGTGACATCATTAATATTTTAATGTTTAATCGTGTTTGTGAAACATTATAATTCTTAATTGCAATAACTTTTGTATGTTTCAGGTGAGCCTAAAGTTCGTACATAAGAAAGCTAAACAAAAGGATTTGTGAGTTGACAAACAAGTAAAATTCGATGTAAGTGAGTCGTCTGTTAGTCAAGGTTTAGCATAAAAAAGTGAAAACTAGCGAGATAAAAATATATAGAAAGGAGAGCGCGCGATACCAACAGCCATAAAATCGTGTACGGGTCCCATTTTGCAAGTACTCGTCGGGTGATAAATGGTCATTGTGTAATGTCGAGCTTGACATTGCCAATACTCATCAGACAGGAACTCGTGTAACTCGGCGCATTCCCTGATTAGGTTTCTATTCGGTCGAGCATTCAGCGATCTCATGGTCGGGGTTTTGCTTATGTAGTCTATTAATTTTGCCCCTTCCACCTTCAAAGAAAAAGCACGTGATTAGAGTATAGTGCAAATATAACAATCGAAGGGGTTATCGCTATTTGCAACTGATTTCATAATCATGCCAAGTTCAAAAGAATTACTCACGAGGACATCAAGGTCGCGAGGATCGTCGAAGTAGTTTGGCACGATGACGGGTTGATGTTTAGGATCAGCACTTCTCAATTTGATATAACCACGACTACGTGGCCTCAACAGCAGCGGGACCATAGTATAGCTATCCTTGTAGACAATGTTCTCAAAGAGACCGGCGAAAAAATCATCGCATAAACCAAAGTTGCGTTTTATAAAGTAACCACCGTCCGCATTGTCAGCTGCCGAGGCTAAGAACAATTGTACGTCAGGATAGTCGTCGAAAGTGGCGTTGTTCAATCTACGCAGATGTACCTTTATGATAAGATAATGACAAAGCAGAACAAACAAAATTGCACGACGTACCTGGTATTAACGAAAGCCATAGCTTCGCACTCGGGTATCATGTACAGCGGCCCATTCGCATTTCCTACGAATTCTCTTATGGAATTGTACGTCAAACTCTTGGGCAGTATAAACGAAAAGTCGCGTTGTCCGTTATACCATTGTGGTCGATCGATGAGATAGCACAAGCCACCCATGGCCACGTGATCTTGTAAATTTTGACCTACACCCGGCAGGTCGTGCACCAAAGGTATACCCACCTCTCGGAGATGTCGGCTAGGACCTATCCCTGAAAGCATCAGCAGTTGGGGCGACTGAACTGAGCCAGCGGCAAGGATGACTTCACAGTTGGCGTAGACCGAGTAAGCGTTACGGCCACTTCGGAATTTCACTCCGTAAACTATTTTTGAGTCTTCGCCAATGAGAATTTCTTCGACGTGACTGTGAGTCGATATATGTAGGTTGTCACGCTTGCTGCACGATCTCAAAAAGGCTTTGGACGTGCTGCATCTTAACCCATCGCGTAGAGTGCCGTGGGAATACATGAAACCTGTTTGCGTTGCACCGTTGACGTCCACCGTGTCGTAGCCCAAGTCGCGACCTGCTCTCAGAAAGTACTCGGCCAGCGGAGTTTGATACCTGCACGCGACGTAAGCGTCATTATCAAGTGACTGACGATCACTTCTAAACAGATGAATATCGTACCTGAATCTTTCGATGGTAAGAGGGCCACCTTGGCCATGGTACGACGAGCCTGCAAGCTCGTCTATTCTATTGTCCTCGGACTTGATAAAGTAAGGCAGCACACTTTGATAGTCCCAACCTTCGTTCCCCATTGCGCTCCAACTGTCGTAATCTCTTCTATTGCCACGCACATAAAGCATAGCATTCAACACGGAACTGCCTCCGAGAACTTTACCTCTGGGCCAATTACATATGTTATTCTTCATTCCTAGGCAATAGCTTGAAGATGGCTCGGTCTTGAATCGCCAATCCATTGGAGATAATTGAAGGGTGGGGAAAATCATTGGCACGTCCGACAGTAGGGTTTCATCTCCTCCAGCTTCCAATAGTAATACCGACCAATTGGCGTTCTCCGATAATCGATTAGCTAATACCGAACCTGCTGATCCTCCGCCGACGATTATAAAATCGTATCGATCTTGTAGTTCTGACGGTGATCTGGGCTTGATTCGATGTTCGAAGTCGACGATGTCACGCCGTTGCATTAAAATTAAGTACCGTAAAAATAGCAGAAAGGCTGCTTCTGGGCCGTAGGATAAGGCGATCCGTGCGGCCGAGAACGAACCGACCAAAGACATGGCCTGTTTTCAATATTTTTATTTTTAATTTAGACAAAATTATTGTTCTAATGCCGCACTTTAACTACATGTTATGTTCTTCAATCTATGACTGAGCCGTTTAAAAACAAATTATAGAAATTATTGAAATTTTATTAGTCATGTTCACTAGTCACCTTCAATTACAGCCGGTCACTGTAAAATATAGCGAATTAGAAATAATTTCACTTTATAATTATTTTAACTCTTTTATGTAATAATAATTCCTTGAATTACTTCAATACCGAGACAATTGTTAATGTGAATAACCTCTGTACAGCGCTGAACAATCACTGAAATATTTTCCTCATTCAAACTATATTGGAAACACAAGTGCGTGAGGCGGATATTGCCAATGCAGCTTTGTTTTACTGACACGTGTGCCGGAAAGCCGGGATTAATGAACGCGTATACGTTAATATTGACGAAATGCCAGGAGTGCATTGAAATTATTCCAAATTTTATCGATTACTCGCAAGATTGATACATCCGATCAATCAGTCTTGCGAGTTCATTTCATCTATACTTTACATTACAGGTAAAATCGACTTTTCTCTTCTTTTCTCACGACAATTTTTCATTTATGTAGAATGACTGAATATTTGATTCGCAATGAGCTAAATAATCAGAGATTCATTCCAGGATAAAATCTTTCAATCAAGTATATTAATTTCTTGATATAATGACGAACCGCTACTTTACTAATGTTGCTTTGTTGTTTAAGAAACTAGACAGACAGTGTTGAATAAATGCTTAATACTATTTCGAAGACATAAATTAATTACCACAATAAAGTGACATGAAATATTAATTATACACGCCTACATATGCGAGATATTCAAAATAAAATAAAAACTATAAAGCCGTCATAACGCAAATTAGATCACGCTTATGTGATCTTCATATGAAACGCACCAGTGTGTGAGTGCGCGCGCGCGCGCGCGCGTGTGTGTGTGTGTGCATATGGTAAGATAACACGATGTAACACGACAATTTACTAAACGGCTCAGAGTTCGATATTTTTTCAGTCAAGATATTAGTATGCTATATTTTTCTAGTTCTTGCACTACATTTAATTTTTTTATTCGGTTTTCATACATTGTTATTATAAGCATCGTTGCTATTAATAACATAGTAAAAACATCTACATATGAAGTAGTGATCATTATCAATGTATAGTGGCGCCTAAATAATATGGACACATTGATGTGTACTGATTATGCAGGAAATATAAAAACAAGCCGGAAGTTTCATTTCATTTTTCAATTGGAATAAACAATAACGTATATTTATCAACAAGCATACTTTATTATTTACAAACAAAATTCACCGTACACATACTTTAAAGACGTATCAATGCTTTCTTTTCAAGGTGGTTTCTGATAGAACCTGATCAATAAATTAACATTTAAAATTAGGAAAATTAAAGTCTTTCGTATGTTATTCCTAAGTTACTTATATGTATATTCACTAACCGTAGATATCGAATTGACTTTAATTAGACTTGTACAACACTTCATCACTCGAAGTCCGACTGCTCAAATACGTATAGCACACAAAAATTAGACAGCATCTCAACCACTGGCTGTGAATCTCTCCACTGACAACTTCTGTACAAAGAAAAAGTGAAACGCTTCGAAAATACACCGACTCTTTTCCATGGGAATCCCCTGTGAGACATGACACTGTGAAAGTCTGACGAGACACCTTTAATGACATTAGCAAATATGTACAGTCTCGTTCGGTAGAGAACGTTTACGACCTACATCTACTTTCTCGACAACGCGCCCGCGCGGCGCTCGCACTCCACGCGTACACGCACGAATAACGATTTTGTCGTCGCATACGTAAACGTAGACGGACAATATTCTTTGAATTGACGAGGAAAACTTAATTTTTTTTCACTGCTCCCTGTGACTATCTCACCTTACGGCGGTGGCTATTACTAGTGTTACAAAATCACAATATGACGTATCTTTACAAACACACTCGACGTTATTAATACTGAGATGTGTAAACTTACGACTGATATATTCGATGGGTATAGAATGTGACGCATTATAGGGTTAAATGTTTCCTAGTGTTGCTTTTCTGTAGCCAAATACGAGTGAATATTGTTATGTTAAAATTGCTAAAAATTCAATATAAGCATCCATCGAGTGTTATTATCGTGAGCAACGATAGATTAATCTTCCAGTCACATTTAAAGGTAATCGCTTGCATAAATTACTCTACAGTATTGCAAAGCTTAGTTTAACTTATATACACACTAACCGTAGATATCGAACTGACTTTAATTAAACCCGTACATCACTTCATCACTCGAAGTACGACTGTTCGAATATGTCTAGCACGCAAAAATTAGACGGCTCTTCAACCCCTGTTCCTCTTCTTCAGCCAAAACTCTTTGATCATATCAGCACCCTTCTCGCCAACCATGATCGTGGGTGCGTTGGTATTCCCACTGATTTGGTTTGGCATAATAGAAGCGTCAATGACCCTGAGACCCGACAACCCGTAGACCTTCAACTCAGGATCGACGACAGCTTGAGAATCCCAGTAAGGACCCATCTTGCAAGTTCCGACCGGATGGTAAACCGTAGCCGAATAGTGTCGAATCATACACTCCCAATATGGATCAGTGTAGAGCTGCAGATGCATGCAGCCTGGCCATGGAGTTGGGTTAAATTCACTGCCGAACTTTTTGAACGCGGCCGTTCTGCTCAACGCGATAGCGATCTTCACGCCTTCCACTATCGTCGCCATGTCTTGAGGATCTTTGAAGTAGTTGGGGTAGATGAGCGGATGGTCGAAGGGGTTCTTGCTACGTAGCTTGATGTGTCCCTTGCTCTTGGGCCTCAGAAGCATAGGGAGTACGCTCCACACGTCCTTGTTGTTGATGTGGCCAAAGACGGCGTCGTAGAAGCGCTTCGTCAGCCCGTGTATTTTGCGTAGTTGACGTCCACCGTCGGAATTGGTCGAGCCGGAGATGAAGTGGAGCTCGATGTCTGGGAAATCTGTGCTCGCGTTGGCGAACTTGGTGTTGACGAACGCTAGGCCCTCCACGCCGCCGAGAACGGTCAACGGGCCGGTGCCGAAAATTGCGTATTGCAGAACAGCGTTGACGCTGTGCAACCGATTCTCCACCATTGATACTTCCTGATTGACCATAAAAGTGAGACCGCCTACGCCCACGTGATCTTGCATGTTCTCACCCACTGGCAGGTCTTGAATTACCGGAATACCTGTAAATGTCACAGTTTCTTAACTTTTTGTAAATTCAAACTCAAGAGATTCGTTCATTTTGCGTTTAAGAAAAGCAAAATGAACGAATTGTTGTTGGCTTTTCTTTCGGTCTGCCCGAGTTTAGGAGCAATTACCTAATTGAGACAAATGGTGTTTTGGACCAACGCCCGAAAGCATCAAAATTTGAGGGGAATTAATAGAACCGCCGGACAGGATAATTTCCTTCTTAGCGCGAATGCGATAGATCTTGTCGTCGCGCATGAACTCGACGCCGTAGGCCCGTTTACTCGCCGGGTCGATTAACACCTGTACGAAGAGGAAAAACACAGTAAATGAAACGGGGGAACATTACTTGATTTCTGAAGTTTGAACGTGCCTTAGTAACATGTGAATTCATGGCGACATGGAGATTCTTCCTCAATCTGGCAGGTCTCAAGAAAGCTTTGGCCGTCGAGCAGCGACTGCCACGTCTGATGGTTCCTTGAGCGATCATAAATCCAGTTTGATGCTCGCCGTTGATGTCACGATTTTCGTAGCCCATCTGCTGGCCTGCCTGCACGAATGCCGTTGCCAGTGGCGTGTGCCACGGTGCCTCCTGCACGGTCAAGTAGCCACCAGTTGCGTGGTACGGTGTTCGGGTTAAATAGGGATTTTGATTGTCCTCGGACTTTTTGAAGTAACGCAACACGTCGGCCGAACCCCAGCCTGTGTTGCCTTCTTGTTCCCAAATGTCGTAGTCACGTTTGTTGCCGCGAAGGTACAGCATGTAATTGAGCACACTAGAGCCGCCGATGACTTTGCCTCGAGGCCAGTTGCAACGACTGTTTTCCATCGCTGTGGATAGACATTGGACTCGTTAATCGTCGCTTCAACGAGTTTTTCAGATGACAAGAAACAAGTTTACAATCAACGCAAAATAAACTTCAGTCGATCTTTTCCAATCGCAAGTGAAAAGTCATCGAGCTTCACTCGCTCTGCGTACGAACGGTTATCGGAGAGTGAGCTATGGCCGAACGAAATTGTCGACGGCACTTACCTAGACACGCGTCGCCTTGCGCTTCTGTCTTGTACATCCAGTCCAGTTTACTCAGCTGTAAGTATCCTGCTAAAAGCGGTACATCCGAGATTTCGGTTTCATCGCCGCCAGCTTCCAAAAGGAGTACGTTCCAATTTTCCACTTCGCTCAAGCGACTCGCCACTACCGCCCCTGCAACGAGGAAATGTAACGTGGATGACCAAGTTAATGCATGAACATTGCAAGAGAGACAGTTTCCTTCTGCACCGATTCAATGTTTTACTGAAATACGTTTCGATGAAAACTCACCTGCCGACCCCGCCCCCACCACTATAAAATCATAATTAGGCAGTAGCAGTTCGGAAGGCACATCGATCGGACGAGATTCAGGATCCATAACTTCGTATTGAAAGTACATGATAGCCGCAGCTAAGGTCGGAAAAAACCAGGACAGACTGCCGGTCGCCGAACTCGCGGCTGACGTGAATAGATTCTGTATATCCATCTTGCGGTTAATGCGATGCGATCAGCGTTCCTCCCTTGATCACCGCCTCGCGATAAAGCTACAGCTGAAATTGAAAAGCGAGCAAGATTATACATGGGACTAACGTTTGATATATGAGTAAGAGCTTTAAATTTGTTCGTGTCTCGAGAAACTTTTTTGAAGATTCTGCCTATGTAAATAATCTCAACGGTATTTTGAACGACGAATACAGTGGTTTCTGACTAACAGTTAGGTCGCCAATTCATTCAGTATAACATTCAGCAGTCGCAAACGCGTTTAGAAATTTAATTTGTGAATTGCAATAGATTGTTTAAACATTATTTTTCGCGCGTTCTTTCTATTTCCGGTACACATTCTTATAGGCATATTGAATCGCCAATCACTCGAACGAATAAAAAAAATAGTCTCACCCACCGTCAATCCAACTGCTAGGAGCACTTCAATCGACGACAAAGCAACGTTAGAAAGACTGCGAGCAATCGCGGACGACTATCGGTACATTCGATCGTCGCTGTTACCGTGAACAGACTGAGCGGATACCCGTGACTTTTACCGAAGTCTTCCCCTTGACGGGACGAGCGAAGACAGTCCACTTGAAGAAGGTGGGAGAGCAACACGCTCACGTACACCGGCTTAGGAGCTTTCTTCCATTTGTATTCTAGATGCGTCGAACCGCGCCGGTTCTGCACGCTATTAACGTCCCGACGAGGTCGATTTTCGATGAAAATCTTCTTTTCATTGTCTTTAATGGAACTTTTGCCCCCCGCGATTATAGATTTTCTAACGCTTTCTCTTTCTTTTCTTTATTTACCATTATCGTCCATTGCGCCCGAATTGTCAATTGCCATAGAAAGGCTAAATCTCGAAGCTACGGCGTTTTGCGCGATTTCAATGTTATCGCTGCAAGATTCAATTCGATCGTCGCTTGATAAAACTACAAGCCTCTGCTAACGAGGCGAATCAAAAAGGGAGCATTGCGACGTGAAAAATTGCAATGCCAATTAATTTCCAATGCTCGAGCATCCCGGCGATACCCCTCGATTCGTGCATTCACCGAACACTTTTGAATCTGTCGGAGTGACGCGTTTTATCGAATAAAGAAGAGAGGAGCCTCAATGTGATATTGAAAGGCAGGCGGAATATGTCGATATTGCACGTGCTCCGGAAAGGATGCGTCCTATTCTTTTTCTTTTTTTCTCCTTTTTTGAAACGGCGCTCTTCTTCGCGAACGGTAGTATTACTTAATCGCTCGAGTTTCACATTTTCTCTCTCTCTCTCTCTCTCTCTCTCTTTCTACCTCTTTCTCGCGAATGCGGGACACGTCGACGACGACGCGCTGCCGGACGCGTGTACCGACGCACGTATTCTATTTCGGCGATTGGGTAATCGATGTTTTTCATTCGTCACAGTACCACGATGACATTTTTTCCTGTGTTAATACACTTTTCGGTCATTTGAACGTTTGTCTTTTGGCGTGTCTTTTTCAGAATTATCATGAAATAGTGGCATTCGACTAGGTACTCGACAAACTGAGATTGACAATAACAGTATCGTTGACGTCAATAAAATCGATTCGGCTTTTATCCGAATGAATTAAACTAATGCAAGAAATGTACGTTGATCACCTGGCCGTCTGCATCAAGCATCGCACCAATTGAGTGGCAAATCACTTTCGTCAACCCCGATCGTGACGATCACTGTAGTCCAAAACAATCTATTTGGGATATCACTCACCATGAGCCCTTGATGTGCCGTGGCACCTCAAATAAACGTCGTTTTCGAGGCTAAAAGACCGAGGCTACAGTTCGATTGATATGCACCAATCGTTTGAGGACTCGTACAGTCGTGATCATCCTGAATCACCTTTGTCTCGACGCATTCGTACACTTGGGGTTTTATGGTACAAGGCTTCGATTATGTGCGATTAGCTCAGTGAATTATTAATTGGCAATGGGACCGCCGAGCACGCGAAGAGCTTAGAAACGAAGGAGAGCAGACGAGAAAAGTGCCGGGGACATTCCAGCAGCAAGGAAATAATGATAGGCAGCCGCTGAAATAGCAAGTTTATTAAAACGATTCAAGGTTTGTGTGTCGCAGAGCTCGTACAGCCGCGCTCGCGCCGCTCGGTTTCTCCGTTCACTTTTCCGACTTTTCACTCGCCACTGGTACTTGGACGCTGACCTTCGTTAAGAGCGACGGGCAACTTTTTCCGCACTCGCCGGTGTCTCGCAATACTGGGCAAGGGGCGTCCGTGACCTTGCTCCCCGACGATCGCGAGAACGACGCGTTATTGGAACAGAGGCGGGGCTGGCGGCGGTCAACGGACCGCGAGGAACAGGTTCAGCCGCGCGCTTTTCACCGAGAGGAACATAACGGTTCGCCGTGCGCCGCGGTCGAACTCCCTCTCTCCGCGCCAGCGCGGCGTGCGCGACGAGAACTCCCGCTCGGCCAAATCGGTACGTCTCGTTTTGGGCGAGCTGCGAAAGCAACGCTGATCCTACGAGCCGAGGTCTCGCCGAGAAGCTTTTGACTCTCCGTCGGCTGCGACGCACTTCGGCACCGAACGAATCCAACTTTCGATCGCAAACATTTACGATTTACACGTCGGTCAGGCAAAGAAAAATTTCACCCGCGCTGACGTATTTCGAATGTCAAAGCAGTAAAAGTACGAACGACTACGCAAGACAGACAGACAGACAGGGAGCAGAAAGGAAGAACAAACGAAAAAATGAAACGTACGAAAATGCCTGAGCGGTCGGTCGGATAGGCGAGAATACGGACAGCTACAGCCTGACGTGACTCGCGCGCTCGCGTGGAATTCTTCCTCTTTAATAAGCTCCGCCTGGATCGCGATCCCGCGGCTATGCGCCACGGACTCGATTTTGCGCGATTCTTCGATTGCGCACACCCTCGGCGTCCGATAAGCGTGCTCCCGCCTATCTCTTTCTACGCCACGGCGCGATGACATTAAGAGGCACGCGCTGATACGTCGAGCCGAGAGCCTTCCCTCGAGATTAATTCGATCGCGTTGGTAGTTTTTTTTTTCGTTTTGCAGCGCGATCGACGAGAAGAGGCACCTGTCTCGCGCAGGCTAACGTCAACGCTGTAACGACAATAGCCGCGAGAGAGCTCGCCTGTGCGCATCCGTCCAACGCGAGGAGGAAACGTTGCTCGAGCGTCACTTGGACGCGGCGTGGCGAGAACAAACGACCGCGCAACGCACCGCGGCAAGTGGTGGACGATATTTTTCGTAACGGCGCTTGTGCGCGGTCGCACAGTCGCGACAAAGAGCCGCGCGATGTCGTGCCGACCTACTTGGTAGCAAATGCCGAGTAGCCTTCCGGGATATCCCGAAGTCACGTTCGGCCGGCGCGAATTTCGTTTCGAGCCTGTGTCGGACTGTAGGAGAAGCTCTTTGTCTTCGGAGCAGGACGATCCTCCTCGAACCGAATACACCAGGACCAGACGTAGGCGCGAGCACGGTCGATGCGACCGAGTACAGAAAGTGCTCCGACGGTGGTGTTCGCCACGGGCAATCGGTCTATCTCCGGCAGCGTGGTCAGCCGAGAAACGTTCCTCGGGCGTTCCAGGCATTCGCGCAACGGACTGTCCCTTGGCTCCGTACCTGTCGCTCGTCGCGCAGGCCAGGCGGCTGTCGATCGGCGTCTCTCTCTCCTCTAGATCTTACCCAGAGCGAGCTAACGTGCGAATCGATGGTATTGCTCGGCAGGAGGATGCTGCGGCTCGATGAAGAAGCGCACGATCGTCGGCGGCTACGCGTTTACCTGGTGGTTCGTCACGGACGTGCAGCGATTGTCTCTCGAGGTGATGACCCTGAATCCCGTGTGCGAGAGCGTGGAGACGGCTCAGGGCGTGCCGCTGACCGTGACCGGCGTGGCTCAGTGCAAGATCATGAAGGCCGACGAGCTGCTGTGCACCGCCAGCGAGCAATTCCTCGGCAAGAATGTCCACGAGATCAAGTCCACCATACTGTCCACCCTGGAGGGCCATCTTCGCGCTATACTGGGTGAGTAGTTCTCGTCGGCCAACTCGCAGAGCTGAATTCCGATCTCGATCGAAAACCCTGGCGTTCGCGGCGGACCTCTGCCAAAGCATGCCCTTTCGCTAAAGCCAATCTATTTCGCGATCTGTGCGTGTGCGTGTGTGCAGGTACTCTCTCGGTGGAGGAGGTGTACAAGGACAGGGATCAGTTCGCCGCACTGGTGCGCGAGGTCGCCGCGCCGGACGTGGGCCGCATGGGCATCGAGATCCTGTCGTTCACCATTAAGGACGTCTACGACGACGTGCAGTACCTGGCGTCGCTGGGCAAAGCCCAAACGGCCGCGGTCAAGCGGGACGCCGACGTCGGCGTCGCCGAGGCCAACAGGGATGCTGGAATCAGGGTGAGGGGAGGGGGGGCGGCCCGCGAGCGCTCGGCCATCCGTTTCCCCGTCGGGGCACTAATGCGACAGCTTGATTTCGTGCACAGGAAGCCGAGTGCGAGAAAGCTGCCATGGACATCAAGTACAACACCGACACGAAAATCGAGGACAACGCCAGGCTGTATCAGCTGCAGAAGGCCAACTTCGACCAGGAAGTGAACACGGCGGTGAGTAACGCTCGGTCGCGGCAGCGAGCGCGGATCGCGAGCCTCCTGCTCACCCGCGCGAACCTCGTTTCCGCAGAAAGCAGAGTCGCAGCTGGCCTACGAGCTGCAGGCGGCCAAGATACGCCAGCGCATACGAAACGAGGAGATCCAGATCGAAGTCGTGGAGAGACGCAAGCAGATCGAGGTCGAGGAGCAGGAAGTGCGCAGGAAGGAGCACGAGCTCCAGAGTCTCGTCAGGCTGCCCGCCGAGGCCGAGTCCTACAAGATCAGCATGGTGTCCGAAGGAAAGAGGTAGGTTCGCCGGTGGCGGAGGCTCGCCGCGCGCCGCATTTCTCACCAAGCGCACTCGTGTCCGCATCAGGGCGCAAACCGTCGAGGGCGCAAAGGCCGACGCTGAGCGTATCCGGCTGATAGGGGAGGCCGAAGCTTCGGCGCTCGAGCAGATTGGGATCGCCGAGGCCAACCGTATGACGATGAAGGCCGCCGTCTACAAGAAGTACGGCGAGGCCGCCATACTCAACCTCGTCCTCAATGCAATGCCAAAGGTCGGCTCGCCTCTTGGCGCACCAGCGACGAAGCCTCCGATCGGGTGCCTAATGCCTTCCGTCCGATCGGCTTTCAGATCGCAGCAGAGGTGGCAGCGCCACTGGCGAGGACCGAGGAGATCGTCCTGCTGGGCGGCAACGACGTGACGAGCGGCGAGATCACGCGCCTCGTCGGCCAGGTGCCACCGGCCGTGCAGGCTCTCACCGGTGTCGATCTCTCCAAAGTAAGGCTCAAGCAAAAGAAACCCGAGCCCGCTAAGAAATAAGGCTACGCTCCATTCCACTCATGCATACGTATAATGCCATTCGTGCATTTTTGAACTTGAAAGAGCACGCAGTTGGAAATGATATCTATTTTGAGTAGTGGACCGTTGTTGAGAATCGAGCTTCGCAGTTTTCCGAGTGTTGACTCATCAATTTTTTATATTTTTAATCCAAGAGGATTCATTAACTTTTACGAGAAATTTGCTACTGGCATGGCTTGGGAAGTACAAGTATTGCCGATGTATTGTACCTTAGCGATCGCACTATTGCAACAAGATTTATTGAGCTTTGAACTTTTCATAGCGCAAAAATATACTTCTACTTTGTAATTTGAAGATCGATTGAAAGGAATTGTTTCCGACTGTTTTGACTAGTTGACATTGCACTGAGCACATTTTCCTTCAACTAATGTACACATTAACATTAAAGCCATTCACAAATGCTTTGCACTAGCAGAACTAATCACTAACGCTTGATCAAAGACGAATAGATTGTTTTACTATGATAACAACAATTAGGATTTAATTTGTGTTTGTGTTGTTAAAACTAATATACTATATGATGATACTCATTATCAATATTGCAATTTTTATCCGTAAGTCACAATTGGCATTAAGTGTTTCTGTAACTAGATGAAAAAGATATCATAAAATTTGTTTTTATTTTTATATTTCTAGTCAACATTCAATATAAGATTTTGAATAGAATTAAATCGAAATTATTCTATTACTACTTTCGTAGAAATTACAATGAAAATATTAAAAATTTTGTCACGAATTTTATGACTTGTATTTTATGATTGTATTAATCTGAATTTTCAAAGTTACGGATTTTGACCAATGCTAATCAAAAGTAAGATACCATTAAGCTTTAATTGAATCTGTCTGGCAAAGCCTTAGATAATAATAGCATCCTTAATAGTCTTCAAGCGTCTATCTCTATCATAAAATGTTTATCAAAATCAATATCCTAAAAACGTCGATGTTTGTAGGTGCTTGGAAAGATTCCGGGCGCCAAGTAATTACAGTGAGTGCAGACAACCACGGGCGAATCATCGCATTGGGGGAGAGACTAGCTGACGTTTAACACGACTTTTAGGACTACGGACTATCGAATCTCTCTCTCTCTCTTTCTCTCTCTCTCTCTCTCTTAGACTCGATATATAAATGTCTCTCACATTCGCGCGTTCTGCCAGTGCAGCGTGATGATCAGCGTGTCGTCGCGATTTTGCATCCCAAGAGAAAGAGATACATGATTATACAAGCTCAGCGCAATGTTTTCGACAAAGGTAACGCTGGATTTCAAAAGAGGAAAGGTCAGTCGATCAAGATGGCGACGATTGAAATTACGCTTAGAGTATATGGATTTTATTAATTATATAGTTTTCGACTGATTGGCATTGACTAAACTCTATATGCGAGCAATTTTGCGGTAAATCATTAATTTAAAGTTTCATTCTTAACGTCTTGTGTACGAAAAATACTTACCACAAAAATGATATGTTATCACCAGATGGGCATGTGTGTGTGTGTATATACATATGTTCATGTACTCTTACTCCATCAATCAAACAATAAGGAAACGTGCACCTATTACTTCTGTATGCTATAGAATTCTACTTGATTGGTACTCTATTCTTTTTTTATTATGCTTCATATTGTCTATCTGTCAAATCATTGTAAACTGTGAATGCGCAAATATGTAAATCGACTTTTGCTGAATATCTTAAATCGTCACTACGAAACGTGTAACGTGTTTCAATTTAGTTTCTTTGAAATAAGTTACTATACTCCAAACGAACAACCATCAATGTACTAGTGATTTAGAATTAGTACACTTTTAAAAGTGATAAAACTTGAGTACAAATTTTGAGAAATATTGTAAATCTATCATACAAAAAAATAAACATTGATTTACATAAGTTTGTAGCATCATTTATTTATATACTAATATTTACAATAAAATCACTGCCCTTGAAACAACATTTCAATTTCATACACTGCCTTCGTAGTAGACGATTTAAAAGCAACTCGACGACAGAACAGGACGATGTCTAAGTGTAGTGAGACTTGCGAACTAAAGCGATGAATGAACTGTGTACTAATGGAAAAATAGAAAGTACGTTGAAATTGTTAGGATTCATTATACGATCCAATGAGTCCATCTATTTTTGCGATCAGAAAATGACATTTTCTCGATCACACTTGTGTTCATCGTAAATAGAAAATTTCCATTTAAAGAAAAGCTTGCCCTCGAATACAAATATGTATATACCAGAGTGGAGTGGCAATTTATTTATATTCAAGCCAGTTTTTTTATTGATTGATTATTTTTCAAGTCAAAATTATTCTTTCCGGTCCCCTATAAGAATAGTAAATATTTTATTTTATAATAGAAAAATATTTGTTTCAAAAATACTAGAAAACTTGTATTAATGATAAATATGTATAAAGTCGATAAAAAGCATATTTTCTTCTTTATTAAGGTGAAGTAAAGATTATAAATCGAGATACGCAAGTCAATCAAACAGTGTTTCCAAACATGTACACATTTACAAAGTAAAACAAATTTATAGTCGTATAGTCAGTCAAAAAGCAGTTCTACATAATTTCCTTAGATAATCTTCAATTATGACATTTCTCGTCAAGTTAATCATGTTTCTTTCGAGAGAAATTCAACTCTTTCTCATGTGAGCATTTCAATAAATAATGAATAAATTTAAGCACTGTCACTGTCACCTCATTATCTATAAGTTCATCGATAATACATTTTTAGTAACGATAATTATTGTTAGCTTAATTTAATCCGTACATTTTCGTAACGATTGTAATAAAAGTTAAGTTTTATTTTTAAATTGTAAAATATCCCTAAAAATCTGGCTCTTGCTTTGTGCTTCTTAATGTCGAGAAGAAACGTGAATTAAATGACAAGACTTTAGGGATAATTAGTAGATATTTCAAAAATGGATACTCTTTGTCGTATGGTTTCATTATAGATTTTAACTTTTAGTATAAGGACTGCTTTTTTGTTTATTTTAAGAGCTCTTTTATCTAAATAACTGTAAAAGTATCGTGAAAAAAGTTATGCGGTGTGATTTATGGCTCATGCGGCTGATTCAAACACTTTGATCATTCTATGAATTAAATTTTGTAAGTTTTACACCAATAGATTAATCAGAACAATTGAAGAGCCTAATTTATCAAAGGCTGATTTTGCTTTCCACACTATGAATATTACAAAGCGTGTCCATTTTATATGTAAAACTACGATTGTATAGACAAACATACATATTTCCGCCCATAATATTGATTGAAACGTATATGGATTTGCACTGTATGAATAATTTGTGTAACGAGGGAAAATATTTGATAGTTATAAATTAAGATGTATAAGTATAGGAATTATTTGAATTTTTTTGTTAATAGAGAAAAAAATAAGTGCGATCCCATTGTTTCTGCAGCGTGCAGTTATTCTATGATTTAGTTAACAATAATCTTTATTTTTTGGATTATTTTATACTCTTGTAAATAAATGATCAGCCTCACTTGCGTGAAAGTGTGCATTAAATCAAGCACGAAACAGTTTGTAGTTATATGTCTGATAATGTTTTATAGGCTTTTTAATGATTGTAAATGAAATTCATTTCAGTATTTTAATTTTCTAATTACATCAAAGATATTCAAAGTATCAAAGTATATATTAAACTAAGAGATTAATATTTTCATTGTATCGATTGTATACAATGCATTTTTTAGTACTCGTTAATGAAAAATCTTTTTAAGTTCGATAAATTTTCTGTATGTGTTCTTTGAAAATGTACATTTGCTAAATGAATGAAGTATAAAAGTTTAAAAACTACTTTTTAAAATAGTGCATAAAATAAAAATAGCCAGTTATTTGTGCCAATGCAATATAATTTTGACATACTGTAACAAGTATTGTTTTTACTCCAAAAAAAATGTTCGTTCATTTGACAGTATGACATATTAATCATTTTGAGAATTTCTTTATAAATTACATCTACTATAATCATTAGATGAAATAAGTCATGGTATAGGTGATGTGGGCTAATTTTTTGACGAATCTAATTTACCGGCATTATTTTAATTCCATTCACATTAAAATCCATCTCGACTCTGATATATTTGTAGTACTCAAAATTGAAGATTTTTAGCAATTTGTAAAAACAAGTAAACCATCGTGAAAATCTATAATTTACAAATATTGTCCATTAAGATTATAAAAAATATCTAAGATACTTCCTTTTATCGAAATTGGTATTCACATTATTTTGTATAACTGACGAGGTGTAATTAGCAAGTCACTAAAAAAAATGGTACTTCTTTTTAGATTCTTGAAATTACGCGAAACACTTTAAAGTAATAGTGTAGTTTCAAAATCTACTGTGGTAATATTGAAAATTCATTAAAGGAAATCTCATACTGTTCAGCCTGACCAAAAAATGCTTGATATGCATACGAATAAAAAAATCTATGACGACGTAGTTAGCTATATGCAAAATAATTAGAGAAAAAAATCTAATCTTTTGTAAAAGACACGAAGGAAAACTATGCAGAAATATAATATATATATATATATATATTTTGAAAGTCGTATAAACTACAAAATATTCTGAAACTTAGTTGAATGACATTAAAAAATACTATCCGTGTGATAACTTTAATTTCAAACTGAAAGTTATGAAATACACGATTCTGAATTAGTGCATATTTTTAATAAATGGAGCCTCAAATCATATAAATTAGGTTGAAGTTTTATTCAATGTCCTTTTTCTATTCCCTATCCTGTTTTTATATCAAACATTTCATGGGGTAATATGACCAAAATAAAAATGAACTAAAAAAGAAATTCAAAAATTTTATCTATATAACTGGCTAGATTTTTATTTACAGTATAGAAAAGAAATACAATCTACAGTAAAAGTTCCCAAAATTGATTGGGAAATAATATAATTCATATAAACACCGAACTTAGAGTAACAATTTTTACAAGTGGTTAATAAGTTATTATGATAAGGGAAAAATAATACAAATTCATAGACGCTCAATAACATTTATTCATTTTGCATCATTCGCTCCTTAAGTGCGTTCTACAAACGTTTGTCACTCGGGATATACAATGCTAGCACGGTAAAAATCTGGGCGCAATATCGTTTCATTTCTTTCTTTTTACCCTCCTGACACTTTCACCTCTCATTTAATATAATATATATATATATATGTATATAGATATATATAATATATTTTAATCCATGGTCTCATTCTGCTTTGTATACTATTTACAATTAGGTAATCGCAGTTTATTAAGGTATGTGTTTTCCTCCTTTTTTCATTAGTAAATAGTTGTTAGCAGCGAACGCCTACACTGGAAATATCTCAAGAATTTCCTTCTTAGGTGCTACGATGTTTATTTTATAATAATTACTTATATCACATTGTTCGTGTACACATCTCCTTCAATGCATTGCGATTATTTTTAATTAATTCTTGACCTTTTCACTATCATATGTCCGTAACACCTAACTCATCTTTTTTTTTATTTACAACAGTTTATTTTATGTTTTTTATTTCACATTTTCGTTTCTATTTTTCATCTCTTGTACACAATCATTCAATATCTACGATTAAAAACATTCATTCCGCAACTTTTCACTCGGTTCATTTTCACTAAATCACTCACGCAATTCAAGTCTTGTATAATCGCCGAGATTTTACAACATCAATCACCCATTCTACAGTCTATCAGTCCCCAAACTCTTACTCCTCGACTTTTATTATGCTTTATCTTTTCTAAGTTTCTCTTCGATAAGTGAACTACGAACTACGTCGCGAGCCGAACATCGACTCGATACATTGATTGAGACACGTTTGAAGGATAAGATTATTTTTAGAAGGGACATGAATGTTTTTCTATTCTGCTTAAGAAAAGCTTTGTAACTTTGTTACTTTTTTTTCTTACACTGTTGATGAATAGTTCGTTAAAAAAGTCGTTTTCTCACCATGTTTAATACTCTTACAAGTAATTTTACGTTATTCTCATTTTATGTAGAAAGTATATGCGCATTGAAGTTTATGAAAACAATGAAAATTTATAAAGTTGACGCATAAATAGAAGTTTCGATGACAAAGAGAGTTTATTTGACCATACGATCACAGTGTAAATGTGCACGTATGATTTGATAATAATACTAGTTTACTAAAGGTGACATAGTAGACTACAAATCAACAACTATGTCATGCTTCATATGCGGACGTAAACGCTTTTATACAAGTGTGTATATGTGTATTACGTGTGTACATGTGTACAAAAATAATAGAAAAAGTTCCTCCGCCACTGCCCTGTCTTATGACGTTTACCTTATTTCTATTTCATTTTTGATTCGTTCAACCTAGTTAAATGCTTCATCCCGAGTACTCTTGTTTTTCTTTTTAAATTTAACAAGGGAAAAGTAGAAAATTAATCAAGAAACCTCGGGTCGGCACGATCGAATCAATAATGTTTTTAGTTTGCTTACCTCTTACACTTTACTAACTTTTTATTTCGCAAGGCGTAAAATTAATGATAACAACTAAAAATCTATTTAAAAAAACAGAAGAATGCATCGTGATCAGAAAGAGACAATAAAAACATTTCATTTTTTTTCAATTATTAATTGGTGATAATTTTTTTAAAATAAGGCACAACGTTCATAATCGTAAATGCCTAAATTTGCAGTACGGATTGTTTTATTAAAATATTAGAGTAAAAAAATAGATTGAAGCACAATTTAATTTAAAAAACAAGTATCGCTTTTACAATAAAAATAATGTGTTCATGTTGTTCATAAAATGATAAAATATACTTTTTAATATTTGAAAGACACTTTCTAACCAAGATGTGTATTTGCTTTGTTTAATGCCTTATCTACTTAGAAGAATGATTTCGAATACATCATAGTTGCTCACATTTAAACATTTATGATTCCGTATAACTTAGAATAGAAACGAAAATTCAATGTCGCTTATTCATCAAGCAACAAATATTTGGGTTAACCTTAATATTGTTATTAACTTGTTTCGTTGTCGCTATATGAATACGATTGCCGTTACCCATATTATTGATCATTTTCTGTAATAGATTAGGATAATGTACGTGCAAAAATGTTTTTTGATAATTTCTATTTTTTACATCATTTTTGTTCACTCTGTGTGTTGTGTGTGTGTGTGTGTGTGTGTGTGTGTGTGTGTGTGTGTATGTGTGTGTGTGTATGTGTGGGCGCGCGCGCGCGCGCGCGTACGTATGTGTCATATATATATGTCTATATATATATATATATATATATCACATCAATCGAAGCAGTCTTTCCGATAACAAATAAGATATGTAGATATATCTATTATATATATCATTCCGATTTGTCAACAGAAGTGCGGGCCAGCAGTAGCAGTAGCAGCTACGCTATTATGCTTAAAATTGTTTTTTTTCTGTAATAAATAGAATTCGACAGTGGTAAAAACTTCTAATTTGTTTTTTAAACAAAAGGTTTTCACAATGTCGATAAATTTTATATCGAAATACGCCATTTTATGGCGGAAAAAAAACTATTCAATTTATATGGATCATCATGATTATGAAGGATATACCTCTTCCGTAAAAAGAAAATATATTTACACAATAAAGCTATCTTTTTGAATACTCAGGACCAAACATTATTGATGGAATTAAAATTTTCTAGAAGTCCTGGAAATGTCATTTTAACGAGAACGATATTACTGCAAAAATAGTTGTTGAAGACTCAGTGGTGTTAAAATAATGAACTTCAGGAAAATAAATTTTGGTGCCATAAAGATCTTAAGTATAGAGTTTGGTGAAAAGACATCTACTAGCAAAGGTAGTAGTTTTAAAAAAATCAAAGTGCTTCTTTAATTTAGTCGCACTTGTCAGTTTTCGTTACTCACGAGCCATTTGTTTTGTTGTAACTCGCGCGTGATTCTGACACGTTCACAACGTCAAACCTAACCGAACCGGTCATCTCAACGTGGCTTCATCTTGGTCATTGCTCTTGCACTTTAAACGGTTTCGAGTTGCTGAGAGTTGCTGACCTGTCAGACAGCTGATTGAGAACTCACGGCTGCAGTGCTGTTGGCACTGGTCGTTTGGGGTTGTTGCTGGCTTTGCTGATGATTGGCACTGACGACCATCACGGGTTTCACGAGATTGTTAAGGTACTGGGCGTTCACAGTGATCGGAGCTACGTTTTTGAGTATGTTCGTGCTGATCATTTTACCAGCGAGAGAAGGAGACGCGATGATCATCGTTTGGCCTTGAGTATTACCCTGCGATACCACCGCCGCCATTGGACCGACAATTGACGTCAATCCGGCAAGGGATTGATGACCTGGTGCTACGAGATGACAACTCGCAGCTATGCCTTCATGCTGGCCTAAAGACGGAGAGGTACCATTGCTTCCACTTTGCTGTTGCTGCTGTTGGACGTTGGTCGTCTGCGCAGCTGTACTTGGTTTTGTAGTGGTTTGAATAGACACGCCTGCGTGACTCAAAGTTAAACCTGTAATAGAAGAAACAGTCTTTGTTAAGTTTTGTCAACAGACAACAAACAGTTCACGTACTACGGCTACGTTGAGTGTGTTATTTGATATCACGATTTGAAACAATCGAACGAAAATGTATCTTGCACTCAAAGTAAGTAGATTATTTAGGCATCTATTCACTCTGCGTACAAGTTCATTGATTTAGCACCACTTTGTTACTAGCGCGCCACTTAAGTGACGACTAGCCTTTGGTGTATGGTGCAGGTTAAACAAAATAAAGTACGAATTCAAATGAAAATGAAATCGAACCTTTAACCATAATCAGTATACATATAATGGGTCTCTCGTTATAAAAATCGATTGATTTTTTTATCTAATCACCTCCTTGAACGGCTATCGGAGCTTTGACAGATCGAAATATCTGGCCGTTGGCTGGGAGAATATTGAGCTCGGCGCCACCCGGTAGTCTCGCTAACTCGCAGCCAGGACTCCCGACCGATGCAATACCGCCGATCATTTTGTGAGTGGTCTGCGCAGCATCACCGGTTCTTAATCTGTTCGTAGCAGCTGTAGACAATAAATCGAGTTCACTTTCGAGATTCGCGGGAGAGGTAAGAAACGATCAATACTCACAAGTAACGTTGAGGGCAGGAGTAGTAAGCACAATTGGCCTAACCTCGTTGCCCGACGACTGGACTGCCAGTGCAAGCTGCCGACTCTCGGCACCGGTCGAGTGCACGAAGGTCACACGATTGTCACTGTTAGCCTCGGTCGAGTGCACGACAAGAGCAACTGGCCTGGCTTCACCATTGGCGCCAGTAGTTACGGTGCCGTTTGACTGTACGGCAATAAGTTGTCGTCCGTCACCGGGTATCACCCTGAGACCTTGACCAAGGTGTTGTAACGCCGGCACTATTGTTGCCAAGCCCTGGCTCGTGTTTAGCATCTGTGCGCTTATCGGCAGGTGCAGTTGCGTTGGCTGCTGACTCTGAGGGGCGCTCTGTGCTTGCGACGGTTGCACTAACGTAGGCGTTATAGTAACTTTTTCCTGCAAAAACAACAACAAAAAAACATCAAATAAGCGTTATCTCTGGATTCACTTCCGCTTATCGATGGCTCGAAAAATGCATTAACGTCGAGGTAGTACCTGAGCAGGCGTGGGAATGCTGGGCGTAGATGCGCCAGGACTCGAGCTCGTCGGCGGACTGTCCCTGGAGTTGTGAGCGAGATTCAGGCCCTGAGTCTGGCAGACAACGGCTGCCGTGGCCATTTGGCTTTGAATGTTGGAGCTCGCTCCGTTCGAGTTGGAGTTGTGATTGCCGTTGGAGGCCTGGCTCTGATGGTGTTGGGGCGAACTCGCCGTTGTCGCGCTGCCCAGGCTGCTCGTGCTACTGTAACGGGTGCCGGTGCGTGCCAAACCTCCGCTCGGTGAATCCACCTCCATGCTCTCGCAAGCTGAAATGTATTTGTTGGTCGTTGTTATCGATTGGACGACGATCGAAATGCCATCGATACGGCCAAACAGCGGCAATAGAAGAGATACATTGGCTTACCGCTTTTCAGTTGATTGCTCTCCAACGAGGAATTGTGATCCGAGATCATAGCGCCCAAGTCGAGATGATCCCAATTGGAGAATTCCTTCTTGAGGGACACTAGTTTCTGCTGAGCAGTTATCTTCTCCCTGGCTAGTCTCTCCATTTCGTGCTCGAAATCCCTCTCCTTCTTCCTCAGTGCCTGCAACATTATCCGTCCACCTCTAATTTCATACTTGGACGTACTTGCCGGTAATTGGAGCAGAAAGCAATCCTTGGTTTTTGCTTGTCGGCAACGCGAAAAGCGGTCGTTCGAGAAACGAAGCGAAAACCGCTCCGCGCGCGCAGGCATGTCGCTCCGGCAACCCCTTCGTTACAAGCGTGGCGCGACGCGAGTGCGCGACCCTGCCTTGGCCGAGGAAAAAATTGCCGCGCACACGCGGGGGGGGGGGGGGGGAGAATGGAACCGGAGGACCGAGTGTCGCGAGTCTCAAGCCCAACCAACCGGGCCGCGCACGCTCGGCACAGTTCGCAGCAGCACGCGGCATTTCGTTACGTCCGACCCGAGCCATTCAAGCCCCGACGACGTCGAGCATATTTATATCCGAAGAAAAATGGCTTTACGCAAGTGCAGATTGGCCTGCGACTGTGGCTTTGAAATCAACCACCTTTGTGCCGCAATTTCAAGGGATTCCTCTTGTTTTCGAGGGATTGCTTGGCTGCCTGTGTGCGCGTGGGAGCTTTCCAAGCGAGGGTCCACCGCGAGAGCTGGAGTTTGACAGGAACTCCTTGTTGGTTTCAAACGATATAATTTATAGGGGACGCGCCACGACAGATGAGACAGAGGCAGAGAGAGAGAGAGAGAGAGAGAGAGAGAGAGAGAGAGGAGAGAGAGAGAGAGAGAGAGAGAGAGAGAGAGAGAGAGAGAGAGGAGAGAGAGAGAGAGAGAGAGAGAGAGAGAGAAGAGAGAGAGAGAGAGAGAGAGAGAGAGAGAGAGAGAGAGAGAGAGAGAGAGAGAGAGAGAGAGAGAGAGAGAGAGAAAGGGAGGGAGGACAGCTCCGTTACGCGCGTTTCGAAGGGCATTGTGCTCGGTGGTCAACCACTCGACAGCGGAAAAATACTTGGTCATTCCGTCGAAAGCCGCAGTCTCGCCGCTGCGTACGCTTTCTGGAACGATATTCGCGAGTGACCGCTAGGCCGTTTCTCTCTCTCTCTCGGGCTGGGTGACTCGCACGTGGCCGGCCGGCTGGCGTCGCTTATCTCGCGCGTCGCCAGCCCGAATAGCTTCCCCCGAGCGACGCGCGCCCAGCGCCTCGACTTTCCAAACCTATCGGGATTCCGCTCGAGCGGGGACGGCCTCGCGAGCGCGCGCAGGACGCTCTATGGCGCGCCGCCGGGCCGGCATTTGCATTCAGCTTGGCGAGCCGACTACTTTTCAGCGCGGAGAAAAGAGAAAGCCAGACAGCCCGGGGACACGAGCCGCCGCCGTGGAGAGGAGAAACGCGTTTGTATTCCGTCGCGCGCGTGCCTCGATTAATCGTCGCCCTCCTCGCAGGGAAACCAAGCCAGAGATAAGACGCCCCCCGACGACCGACGATCGGCTCCGAAAAGTCGCACCGACGGGCTCCTCGGGCACGCGCGCGCACGCACGGGGGCGGGGCGAACGAGCGTGGAAACGCAGCGAGAGCCCAGCAGCGGAACTGGCTGGCCGCGTGCACGCGCCGGACCGACGTTCGCGTGCTGCAGCACGGCCATTGTGGGCTGGCGGCGCGTGGAGGGGAGGGCGCGTGGAAGCACGTGGTATGGATCGGCGGCTGGCTGGTGTCAGCGCTCGGCCGGTGGGGGGGAGAGAGAAAGGTCGGCCAGGGCGCACGCGCGGCGCGCAAGCACGTGCTCGCCGAGTCGCCTCCCTCGCCGCCGCTCCCCGTCCCGGCGGCGCCGATCGCTAGGTGCCCGCGCCTCAAGCGCTGGTGGGGAGACGCAGCGGCGGCGGCAACGGCGGCGGCGACGTCTTCCTTGTTGTGTGTTGTGTTATGTTTTGGAGTCGCGCCTCTACGCGGCGCGCCTCTCGCTCGCTCCGAGGGCCCGGAGAGTGGCTTCGCGAGGACGGCTGGGCCTTTTCCGTTGCCATGCGAATGAATCAGCCGCGCTGAGTGAAACGTACGGCGTCTGCCCGCGTACACGCCCCAAGACGAGCGCGCGCTCGAGCCAAAATTCTCATCATCCGTAGCGTCTCGGATAACCGCGCTGGTCGATGCTGGGATACGTGACACGAGGCGTGACGACGATGGCGTGCTGCACTGTACCACGCGTGGGTGTGTGCGCGTGTGTACGGCGCGGTCACGTGGCGGCAACGTCGGGCTGTGTACGCATAGCACCACCGACGCGCTTTTCTCGCGCGAACGTTCTGGATGACGCGCGGCCGTTCTCGCGCAGCTCGCATGCACGTTTGGATCGATAATCGAGCCCGAGTTACGATTATTCAATCTGCCTCTTTCGCGGCGTTTAGTCAAAACAAATAGCGCGTCGAGTTTGTTATCTTCGAGTCTGCGGCTTTTAATCTATAGAAATAAAAAAGCAAGCTCGCAGGCACTTGCCGACGTTTTTTTCTCTTATTCTCTGCTCTCTCGCCGATAAAATTGACGTGGCGTCCACTCGCGCAGTTGAATATCAATGAACCGTATATTTTACCGGATGATGATGTATGCTGATCGCCTCGTTACGTCATTGCCTTTTCAAATGTACCCTCCTACAAGGTGCTCCACGAGTGTTAACCAGACGGCTTTTCCTCGTGAAAAAGAGAAACCGATTTCAATCCGTCATCGGGAACGCAGAGGCAAGAATTACTCTGCTTCGACGTCGTGGAAAGAAAAGAGAAGACAATATAGCGACTCGCATTCTTTTCGTGTGACTTGTTTATGTGTACGAGATGGCTTTTTCTCTTCTTCCGCTCGCGTTCATCGCTAAATGCCGCCACGTCGCCAGAAAAAAAGGCGGGTGTTATCTCGCAGTCTCTCCGCGGCAACATATTCATCGAAGGAAAGTAGTTCAAAATACAATACAAAAAGAAAAAATTGAAAGATAAAGGAGCTAGCGGAATATTCAACAACGACGACGACGCGGTCACTCTCCTTTTACGTAATTTGCATAGCCAATGGCAGTACTCGCTGTGTTTAAAGATGCGTTCACGCAAGAGAGACAAAAAAAAGAAAAAGAGGAAAAACAAGAACGTCTCATAATTATACAATACATTTGTCAAGTCTGGCAATTTGATTAGTGTACTGCTCTTTACGGAGGAGCTGCGTAGTTTGCTGAAAACGACTCGTTATGTAAGTTACAGAAGTATATTTCGCCTGTGACTACTTGCTCTCGAGTGCGCATGTAGTTACGAAGATTTCTGCACTGGCGGAAATAGTTCTCGCAATGTACTCGAGAAATGTACAGCAGATGTAACAGCCGTCCGAGTAACGATTCTCTTTGTTCCTAAATCGCGATCGGCCTTCGCTAAACGCGCACGTACGAATACTTGAAACAGCCGCGAAAGAATCATCCATAAAACAAGAGGCAGAGGGGAAGAGATAAGTGGATGCAAAACAAAGCAGAGAATGCACGAAACGGCCGTCCATGTCCAAAAGAGAGGAGGGGCGGACGACAGGTCTCACTCTTTCTTTCTCTCTTTCACGTCTCGATAAGGTGGCGTCTGTGTGTGCGTTAGCACGCCGAGCGCACGCGGTGTCTCGCGTGGCTATATACGCGCGCGGCGAGCGAGCGTGGAGGGGAGCGGCCAGCGACAACGAAGCCAAGCTCGTGCGCGTGCGCGTACGCGCACACGTGGACGCGCCAGGTCTGTCAGTACGAAAGGTCAGGGTACGAGCCGACGGCGGGATCGCGTCTAAGCGGGCGCGCTGCAATCCGCCAAGTTTCGACTTTTTTCCTTTTGTCTCCCAGCGCTTCGAGCCTCAAATGCAAATGGAGGCTCCCGTTCGTGCGTCGGGCTTGAGCTCGAGAAGGCGGAACGTAACGCGCGCTCGCTGATTAAGAAAGAAGAAAGAGAAAGTACCGGAAGCCCAAGATCGCGAAGGTCACGTCTAACAGAGAAAGCCAAGAGGGACGAACCGTCGTTCGGCGTCGAAAACGAAGAAGAGAAAAATGCGAGCGGAACTGACCTGTATGTGTCGTATGGCCGCGTGCAGTATAGACAGGTTAGACGACTTCTTCTCATCTTGCGACGGCAGCTGCTTCTTTAGCAGCTCGAAGCATTCCTTGAGGTGCGCCCGCCGGTTCTTTTCCAGTTTGTTGTGCACTTCCCGCGTGCCCGAGCGTATCACGCACGGCCTGCAGCAAAAAGGACAAGCGTAAAGCGAACGCGCCATTTAAACAAACAATGCGTAGTGGCTTTATTAACATTCCGCTTCCTCCGCGTCGTGAGAACTCGATGCGCTCACGGCGATCGGTGTCGCGCGGCCGGGCTGGTTTGTCACTTTTATTGCGCGCTCGCCGAGCAGCTTTATCTCCGGCGCTATCGGATGCGATCTACGGCCGTGCCAGCGCGCGTCTTCTCCGCGAATCGCGATCGCGTCTAAACGTAAGAGCAACCTACCCATTGCGAGGCTTCTTGCTGTCGCTGTGCACGCCCTCGACGTCGGCGATAAGTGTGCCGCCAGCGCCGCCGCCAGTTTTCTGATTATCGAGATAATGATTGAGCTGAGCCTCTTGCGGCACTGACTGCTGCGGTTGGTGTTGCTGTATCGTCGCCGATGCAACGACAAAGTTGGCCGACGGTGGCGAACCAATCGCAGGACTCGCGCGTATCAACGTTTGCTGCTGCTGCAGGTGGTGCAGATTGCCGTTCGCCCTGTTGTTCGTAGCCTCCAGTGGCTCCTCCTCTGATGCAACAACAATAAAATTGATCGTTGACGACGAGCGGCAAAAATCGAGGAGGAGTGTTACTTGAAAAACAAAACAAACGTCGGGCTGCGCCGCTGCAACTTTTTCGCACGCGGCAACAATGTTAATCTCTTTTTTCGTTTGTGGCAAACCCAGTTCCCAAATTTTACTCTCCCCTCGCTCGGTCGCGCCGTCTTTCTCATTCCGGACGGTGGGCTGAATGGCCGCGTCTAAGATTAGCCCTGCCGCGCGGGGGAAGGGGTAACACGCTCGCATTACACCGAGTCAACCTTGACGATCGAAAGGGAGGAAATGAGACGGGAAATAAGAGGAACGCGACGGACGACAAGAATGCGGTGTACGAGGCGACGGAAAAAACGCCCCCCCCCCCCCCCCCCCCCCCGTCGCGTTTCCCTACGAGAAGCGCTTTCGACGAGCCGAGGTTCGCGAAGAAAGCCGCCGACGACGCATTCCGCCGAGGACAATATTTCGGGCGGCGAGCGTAAACGAACGCACGTGTTGGCTGTTACACCCAAGGAACGTTCATTCATGCTTGCGACTGCAGTTTCTTTGGCGCGCGTGCGCTTCCTAAATCTATTTTAGAGGGCGGGCGGACAGCCGCGTCCAGAATGGGCGTGCGCGCGTGCCACCGACTCACGGACACATTGTCGCCGCGACTCGTTCCACTTGCAACAAGTGCGGCGTGTGTGCGCGCCGCCGCCGCCGCCGCCGCCGCCGCGACGAGCAAAAAGTGGAGCGTCGTACTGTTAGAGCCCGAGCTCTCGCGCGTGCACGCGCCGGTGCAGAGCGCGAGAATTAGCCAGACGGACGTTGGCATAGGTATCGCGATCTATTGCGTGCCGAGTCGGCGTCTTCCGCTCGATTTAGCTCCCGTCAAACGTGCCCGCTCTGCCGCTGCCCGCCGAGTCGCCGCGCTCGCAAGAGAGAAAGTTTGTTTCGCTGCCGCTGCCACGTCGATAAACAAGCGTTTTATAATGCAAAATACCCTCACCTTTATTTATTTATTTATTTATCCTTTTGGACGTACTGGTAGAGGGAAGAGGGAGGAATAGGCTAGCAACTTGAACTTTATTAACGAAAATCAAAACCAACTCTCTCCCTCAAAAACATCTAAATCCATCCGCTGCACTAAATTATAGGTGAGAGAGAAAAAGAAAGCAAAGTCGATCGGTCGCGCGAGCGCGAACACACTTTCGAGGCGTGCAATCTGTGTCAACAGCTAGGAGCGATAAATACAACGCGGGGGCGTGCGTGCATGTGTGCATGTATGACGGATCATGGATACGAAAAAAAAATTCCTCGCGGGCAACAGCTAGACGGTGCTAATTGAGAGAGAGAAAGAGAGAAAGAAAAGAACGGTCCTATTCGCGCATGTGTTTATTGGACGAAACGCATTCCTTCGACGCGAACGCACGCGGTGGGCATTTTTCATCTCGACAGTTGTTTTTTACGGCAAAAGCGAACGTTTCTTTTTTTTTCGCTCGGCCAAACAATTATCTAGCGTCGAATCGCGACGTGCGTCTAAAAAAAGAAGCCGAATTTTCTTGCGCTTGCAAATCGCGCCGAACGAGCAGTGGCGGCGGCGGCGGCGGCGACGATGACCTTGTGAAACTCTCCGACCGATTATATTATTGTGATGCCACGCGACGACCACTCGAGCTCGGATAGACAGGTTGGAAGAAAAAAATTGGCGGTTTTGCCTTTTGCAGACATCTTGAAACATCTCTTTTCGATTCGTTAACAAGTTTTGAAAACTGATTTCGTAATATCAAACGGGATCAGGCGTCAAAAGTAAACGAGAACTTCGATCGCTATCTAATAATTTTCAAGGCTACGGCGATAAAAACAGTGTTTTTTTTTGTTTTACAAATTTGTCAAGGAGTCAAGTTCGCCGTTGTATTGATGAATCTTTTTTTTTCAACGTATGTATATATAGTGACTGTATTATCAGAGGCCAAATAACTGCGCAAAATATTACACATTTTATCGCTGCTCATGAATTTCGTGACGCTTTTATTTGCAAATCTGTTTCAGAACCGTTTTTTTTCACACTCGACCCTTATATATATGTATATATTTTTTCTATCGCAACTGACCATTAATTTTATCTCTCGCGTGATATGCATATTTTTAGAAGAGACAATTTCACGAGCGCGTTTCATAATATTTTCATGGTGGCTCAAAAATATCAGAAAATTCATAAAAGAAAAAAAAAGAACGGGAGGCGCATGATCAATGCTTTATAGTCCGGGAAAAAGAACAATCGAAAGCTTTTCGGCAGCACGTGAAAATAATTGCGTTCGACGCAAGATAATCTCGCACGAAGCGATACGGCAGATTAAGTCTATAGCGCTTGATAGGAAATGACCCTCAGAGAGCGCGAGAAAGAGAGAAAGAGAAATGACCCATTTTGATCGTGAACAAAAAAAAAAACATGATTAGAAGATAACATCGCAGAATACTCGAGGCGGAGACGCGGGTAAAATCGTTACATCAGAACGATAGTTTCTAAAATAAAAAAAGACTCGGCCAATCGCAGCGCATGTAAATAAATCGCTAGTCGACGGAGAATTGAAATTTATACGGAGGAGAAAAATCCTCGGGAGAAAACGAGCTGGAGAGAGAGAGAAAGAGAGAGAGAGAGAGAAAGGAGAGAGAAAGAGAGAGAGAGAGAGAAGAGCAGGCAGCCAGGGCGGACGGTGGTGCATGGCTTCGGACGGATCGTTGTTGGTCGGACGCCAAGCGAAATAACGTTAAAATTAGCCTGGACCTGGTCTCGTTTATCGACACTCTCTCGCTCGTTGGATTTTTAACTGGCCGCATGCGTCAAGCGTAAAAGCGCTTTTTCAGCCCCCGCTCAGTGAACAATTGAAATAATTGTCAGCGCAGCGACTCCGCGTTTTCACCAAGCGCTCTCCTCCTGCCCTTTGTCAATTTGAATATTAGAGCGAGGTGCTTCGCCGTGTAACTGCGAATATAACAAACCAACGAGATGGGATTACGATAAGGAAGAGATATTACGAAGCCTAGAAAAGTTATTCAGAAGGACGTATCGCCGAGGGGAATACGTCCCAAAGAATACAGTCATTTCGCCTTCATGATCGAATTGTAAAGTAGCATAGCGCTCCTGCGTTTCTAACGTTCTTTCTCGCTCTCTTTCTCTCCCTCGCGAGTGCTCGCTCACTCCTTGTCATGCTAATTTGGAATCAATTGTTTTAGTCTAAGGTCGCTCATTGATACAGACAACGCCGGGTCGAGCGCTAGGCGTTCGCCAAGCAGAAAGTACGCGCGATGCTGTTCTTTGCTAAGTTTATATTAAGGTCAATGACTGATACGCACGGCGATAAATTATTAGTGGCGAGCAAGAGCGGATCTCACTGCGAATTCGCACGCCTGCACCGAAGTGCCAGATATATTTTGCCTCGGCGCACTAATCGAAACTCTGTCGAATAAGTAATGCAAGACCCGCGCATTGGGACTGCAGGTCGGCGATCGCGCGCACAAGAGAGCAAAGGCAATATCAGCCGTATTGCGAAACGAAAGCGCGCGCACCGATCCTTCGCTCTATTTTTCCTTCTATTTGCCGCGAACACAGTTTTCGGCGTATGTACACAGCCTGTAAGATTCAGTGTCGACTCTCGCGTTCGAAAGCGCCGGTTCTACCGCCACTACAACACTCGATCGTATTCTTTATGCCGCGCAAAGATTCGTTTCAGCGATATCTATCAACGAGTATTTATTCAATAATAATCATCGTGCGCGTCATCGTTTTCTTTTCCGACGTCCCGAAGCGATACATCAACGAACAACCCGAAACTCACTGTCTCGAAAAGTAGCTCTACTGACGCCTACAGAAAGAGAGAGAGAGAGAGAGAGAGAGAGAGAGAGAGAGAGAGAGAGAGAGAGAGAGAGAGAGAAAGAGAGAGAGAGAGAGAGAGAGAGAGAGAGAAAGAGAGAGAGAGAGAGAGAGAGAGAGAGAGTAAGAGCTTTTTGGCGACGGCAAAGAATGTCAACTACCTCGTACGTATATACATATATATATATAAAACCCATCCTTGACAGGATCGGTGATCCTATCCTCTCTGTTTCTTTTTTTCCTTTTTTCGTGTTATTTTGGCCAAGGTCGATAAAAAAAAAAGAGGAAAGAAGTTCGGCTGCTCTTATAGACAGATAAGAGTAAAAGCCGAAGAAGTGCGTTATCCACGCGAGTGTCTGTCTCACCAAGTAAGTAATGTCGTATCCACTTCTTCTTGGGTGGCGGTGGTCTGGACCGACACGAAGGTACAGCAGCGGCGACATCAGGGTGTACAGTACTAGCGTCAGCCATCAGAAGCACACCCATCGTCCAGTGACTCGTTCGAACTCCGAAGCAAGCGTGTCGGGGCGAGCGCGCGAGCGGAGAGCGCGCGAACGCGTCGGAGCGGCGTGGCGGTGGCGACTCGCCGACTAAAGTGCCAACTACCACGAGCGCAGTTTCCAACCTGAGGATGATGACGCGCACTCGCAAAAAGAGAGAGAGAGAGAGAGCGAGAGAGAGAGAGAAAGAGAGAGCCGCCTTCCCCACCTCCTCTCTCTCTCTCTCCTCGGCCACGCTTCGCTCTCTCCCTTCTCATTCGCTCTAAACCGCGACACTTTTCCGACACCGCCGCCACGCTTCCGATATCAGCTCCTCGCTCTCTCGTTTTTCTTTATCTAGTCGAACCCGACGTGGTGTGTGTGTGTGTACACGTGTTGCGCGGCTTGCTATCGAGAGATGATACATGCTCGGACGTACTCGACAGTGTTTTTTTGCAATGTGCACACTGCCAGGACATTAATTCAAGATACGCCAAGTTTTAAATCCGAATTATTTGCAACGATTGAGCGTCGATGACACGGAACGAGCTTAGGTCAAGAGCTTATTTTGGCAATTTGTGCCCACGCAGCCAGCCGGGAAAAAAAACCACCATTGGATGCCGTCGAAGTTCAATTGTCAAAAAATAATTTGGATTTTGAACTTGGCGGGTCGTGAAATTAATGCCCGGGCAGTGCGTACGCACGTATGTTTGCCGAAGCTTTCGTCATCGTCTCGATTCGAACTCGCACCTTTCTGCGCGTTTAGATAACGCTCGATTGCCAAGCTTTCGACAATACGGTGCGTCGCTGAAAGCTCGAGTTCGCGTGCATCAACAACCGCGTGAATTATTCACACGAGCGTCCCGCACGCCAAGCCTTCTTTCGCATTATCGGAGGCGCGATAAAGCGTCTCGCCGACGACAGCTCGCAGTTAACATCGGTTCATTATGGTCGTGATAAGATTGCCGCGTGCCTCTCCGTTTGCTCGCGGATAAAAGTTGAAAGTTGCGCAAGCTCGCCACCGCGGGCGCAACGTACGCGGCAATGAAGAGAGAAGAAAGAAAAAAAAAAGGAGCGTCACAACCAGCCCGTTATCCAGTAAAAGTGGCTCGCGCAGGTCCGGCCAGGCGTAAAAATAACGTCACCCAGCGCGCGCCCGTAAACGGATCAAGCGAGCTTCCACCTCCTTTTCTTCGCGCTCTCTCTCTCTCTCTCTCTCTCTCTCTTTCTCCTTTTTATTTACCCTCCCTCGATGCACGAGATTACGCAAGCTCTATCTATCTGTCTCTCTCTCTCTCGAGGGCTTCTCTTCCTTTCACCCTTGCGTCAGCACCAAATGCGTAAAAATAAAGCTGATATTGTTCGCGCTCACACGTGTATTAAGCGAGTACGCGCGACAATGTGTCAAGCGAGAGGGCTAGCTTCGCTCTCTTTTTTTGGCGCTCTGTTATGCAAGGCAGCTTGAGAACTGGAAATGGAGGGACGAGACTCGCCGTCGATATGGAGCGAAGTCGCCGTACGCGCAACTCGTACAGTCGGTCGGACCGTAACGTTCGTCTATAACGCCAACGTAATCGGAATATATAGACGTACCGTCAATAATGAGCATCTTCTCCTCGCAAAAGAGATCATCCTGCTCCGCACGCTCTCTCTTCAATTTGGCGCCTGCAATCAGAAAAATACAAGGGCATGAGATGAAACGAAGCCTCAAGTTCATTGTTAGAAAATGAGGTCTGCTCGTGCGCTTGGACGGCAAAGTCCTTGTACCATAACCGCGAGCGGACAAAATTAGCCACCCCTTGCGTTACGCAAGATTCAACCACCCATGTAAAAGCTGGCCAACCACCGAACCAATCGATAAGCTCTCTCTTTCTCTCTCAACAACCATATAACGACCTCCTTGCGTTTCAACATGTTCAGAGCCTCCGCATGAGAAAAATAAAGAATCGTCGAAGGATTAGTCATTGGAAGCGCTGCGTGGCTGCGCGCGATCGTGTGCGTGCGTGTCTCCCCACGTGGGTATAGCGGAACGCCGTCGCGGCGACGACGCACCGAGGTCCGAGAGGCACGGAGCGAATGAACGCGGAACGGCAAAGGGAGGGGGGAAAGGAGGCCTGGCGAAAAGAACGAGAGAGAGAGAGCGAGAGCTGGCAACGCCGGTGAGATTGATCAGAAGCAGAACGCCACGCGGCCGGGGACGTGGCGCAGGCGCAGTGGCGCAGTTAGCCCGGCGGATCGCATGTGCACACGCGTCCGCCGCCGCCGCCGCCGCCGCCTCTCCTCTCTCCTTTGTGCTGCGGCGCGGCGGCGGATTTCTGCGTCGCCGACGGACCGAGCCAGTCTCGCACCTTTCACGTGCGTCTTGTCTCGACTGGCTTGCACACGCACGCCTCCCACTCCCGATGCCGCCTCGGTTTGTCTATTTTCGGACGCGCACGCCCGAGCCACCGACGACTTGTCGCCTGCCTCGCGATCCCGTCCGTAATAAATTATCCGCGCGCTCGCGGAAAAGGGGGCTCTCCGGTCGAAAGAGTAGCGAGATAGTCGCGCACGGCCGAACCGAGCATGACTCCGCGAGCAAATATATGCGCTCCGACAAATGGCGATCGGCTTGCCGAGGCAACAACCAGCCAACGAGAGAAAAGAGAAGCGCGCGCTCTCTGCTGCGGGCAGCGGCGCGCCGGCAGGGGACGTGCGGCGAGAAGGCTCGTATACGCTTATCTCTCCCCCTTTCTCTTTCCTTCTGCCGTTCGTGCGCGTTCGTGCCTTGGCGAGTGGTGCACGTGCGTGCGTGTGTACACGTCTCGCGGCGCCGAGTTGAGAGCGCATCGTCTTTTCATTGAGAGTCCTTGCTATGCGCGTGTACGCGCGTGCATCGAGCGAGCGAGCGAGCGAGCGAGCGCGCAGCAGCAACAGAGGGACGACTTTTGCAGAAAACCAAGCCGGATGCCTGGCAGCGTCCCGCCCCCTGCCCGCCCCCTCTCTACGTGTGCTTCGAGCGCCGTCGGATTTTTAGATGAAAATTCGCCGCGAGACAAGTATACCCGAACGCCAAATGGATTCCCAATCAAACCTTCCAATCTCCGGCTCGAGCAGCCGTGACAATTTACAAATGTTTAAACGAAGAGGAGCGTTTGTTTTTCTCCCAGCCCCCTTCTCGTCGCGATCGTTCGACAACGCACACGCACACGTAGCTTCAGCGGCGTCGCGCTCTAAAGAAGCAATACGAGGGTTGCAGGGGACTTGATTAGATTGCACACGCAGCGCGTTGTATACTCCGCTTGACTCGCGCGCGCGCGCGCGAGAGAGAGAGAGAAAGAGAGAACTCAAGGTCGGCCAAGGTCGCGCCGCGCACTGATGCAACAGGTCGCGTTTTACGCGATGCGTCGTCGTCGTCGTCGTCGTCGTCGTTGTCGTCGTCGTCGCCGCCACACTTTTTTCCCGGCGCTGTCGCTCTTTCTCTCTCTCGGCTTGTTTTTCAATTAGCGATGCGGCGACGACGCTTTTAATTAGAGCCGCCGGTTTATATTGGCCGCGAAGGCTGCGCGCGTGGATCCGTCGGTGCTGGCGGACAGCACGAGATACGCAAGCGTCGGGAAAGTAATGATCGCACTGCCAAAAGCGGCGAACGCGAGAAATAGCGTGCGCGTGCAGTTGGTTGGCGCGTACACGTGTAGGTGGCGGCGCCAGAGAGTGAATGAGCGAGAAAGCCCGACTCCGTTTGCGAGGTGCCGCTCTCCCGGCGTGCACGGAGTCACTGACCGAGATGTCGTCGTCGTCGACGCCCCAAATGCGTTCTTCCTGCTCGCCGCCACGAACGCGCCACGCGCGGCCAAGTTTTGGCGCCTTGCGTCGGCGGCATTCGCAAGCGACGAGCCTCGCTCCGCGTCTCTTCCCTTCAAAACGATATCACGAGCATCGATCTTTCTCTCGCGCTCGCAACTCCGCTCCTAGGCACTCGCTCGCTTGCTCGTGCGCAGGCAAAAGCTGCACCGCTGCGAGACACGTCGACGTTGTATCTCTCTCTCCCTCTGCTGCTAACTCCCCCACCAACGCCGGCGAGTCTTCGTTCGTGACTCCGCCACAACTGCGCGCAAACTATTATCTCAGCTGTTTCGCATTTGCGAAAAAACGAGAGAACAAAAACAGCGCCTACGCGTGCGCGCTTTTGTCTTTTTCATCGTGGTTTTCCGGGTGGAACAGTTGGCTCTACAAGAAATTCGGAGGGGAACTTTTTTTTCTCCCGGTACTCAGTGAAGTTTGACGATTATTTTCAGGGAAATCGGCCGGGAAGGATAATCGATAATGACGAAGTGGGAGAGCGAAGCCATGCGAATCACGGCTTTTCTCCATGTGAATTATAGGTTGATTGATATAAGAACCGAGCTAATCAACACGTAAACTTCATACTGATGACAATTAGATTTCGAACGATTGATGTAAGCAATTTTCATGTATTTTTTGTTTAAAAATCGTAAACATCAATCCACAAGTTGGGTATCTTCCCACATATAATCAAAGTGCTGAGACAGATGATAATATAGAAAATTTTATGATGGAAAGGCTCCTGTAAATTTTACGTAACACGTAAAGTTTAAAAGTTATAAATTTTTAAAGGTCGGGAATTCGAGATTTTTCATCATTACTTTTAAATATTAATAACTTGATGTAGGGGATGTTAGAAATGACGGGAAGGCAACCAGACCTCTGACTATTTATTTGGGTTGGATTAATACGACTAGGGCAGAGATATATGGGTCCATAGCTTGGATTGCGATACTAATTATGCAACGGATACTCTGCCACGTGAGCACGCTCGGTTAACATAATTTACGAAAATAACTGTACGTAAAAACCCATGTTTTTGTGTAAATAGAGAAGTCAATCAGTCGTGACGCGATGCTTGTGCGAGTACGAGTTTTGTAAGAAATCGTTGCATCAATCGCTTTCGAAAAGAGTGTTTTTTCGAGGATCTCTAGTCGGAAAAAAGATTCCGAGTATTATTGCCGAGAGAACATTTTGCTATCAATTACATCGTTTGTCGCCTACTTTATGCAGTAACAAAGAAACGACGTATAGTGCTAAGTTTTGCGAATATTTATCATGTCTACTGCAACGGAGATCAGAATTACCAACAAAGATTCGTTCTGTTTTTTGCCTCTATAGAACTTACAAGTTCTGGCATCGAAACACTGATTTTTATTCTCCCAAATTTAGCAGGAAAAAAGCGAAAAAGCCAAACTCTCGTGAGAGCCACTGGTCGAATGAAAGTCGCGCCTAATTTGACGTTTGCGGCGCGCGATATTCACGTGAGAGAAGTGCAGTGACTCTCAAGCTTGCATTGGCCGTGCAAGCCATCAATACACTGGACTATCTGCAAGTATACTATACATTGTTGAATTGGCGACCTCGCGCACGTGCACTGTCGACTTTCACTTTTATTGGCAGCTTCCGAGAGTCTAATTTCTCTTTTTTTAACTTTACGTTCGGATTTGAACTGAGACAACGATGAGGATCTAGATAAAACAATTTGTCTACTATCGGAATATTAGAGAACTGCCATTTCACGCTAATAACAATTGTGTTTCGTAAATCATTCGATCTCCGGTCGAACAAATGTTTTTGCAGCGTACTAACGGTCATTAGCTCAATTGATCGACGAAAAACAACGGATATGAAACAAAGGAAGGAGTCAAGAAGAAGAAAAAAAGGCGATTTCACTTGGGTAAAAAGCACGTGCTCGCAGAGGACACTACAAAGTGCGACCCCGCTCGTATAAAAGAAAATCAGCATTTTCGTCCGAGAGGTGCTGACACAGAGTCCGTTGTCACGTGAGTTTGGCCTTGGCAGCAGCGCGCATGTGTAGCAGAGCTATATCCCCTGTTCTCATTAAATTAACAAGGGAGCGCAAGGGAATCGCCGAGTACCGGTATAGTCGCGCATCGTCACATGCGACAAATGATACGGTGACGCGACATATTTCTTTTTTGGAATGACGCGATACTCGATGGAAAAAAGAGTGGAGAGTGGTACCACTAGGTTTATTACGGATGCATTGTGGCAAGGGGGTACAGAGTGATTTCCCGTGCGAAATGAACTGAGGGCCGAATCAAATGTTAATTGAATGGAGAACATATCGTTCACTCGGCGCGATCTGCAAGGGTAGCGATTGTTAAAGTGTAAGTAATTTGTTGGGACACAACGAAGGAGCGAGACGTCGATGTGGAATTGGTCTTCTCGCAGATCGAACGTAGCTCGAGCTATTCGTGGCGATGGTAACGGCGAAGACGACTGAAAGCTCTTATGTACACCCGTCACATCGAAGAGTAATCCTGGCCTCAATCCCTATACGAGACACGCGAGCGTTTACTCGGAGCGCCACGCAGCACTGAAAGATTCTCTTTTAGCTGTATACGTAGGATAATTACTTAAGCAATATCAGGTGTGCCGAAACGCGAACAGCTCTACTGCACTTTTTAACTCGAAATGTAAGGCGAAGAGGTGGACGCGTGTGCAGGGAGCGCAACGTCGACACTGCTGCAGTCGGGGGAGTTTGGATTCGAAACTTATCGAAGAATCGCTCGGGCAAACAGGCCACTTTGATGGGACATTTGAATCGGAAGAGCGCGCGCGAGCGCAACTAGCCTTGCCCGGCCGTCGATCGAACGAAGGCGTGATCGGACCGACTGGCGACTCGCGGGGGACAAGCGGAATCGGAGAAGCTGTCATGCGCACTGACCACGTGGTTCGCTGGAGCCGAGGCGGTTGTGCTGGTGGAGGGCGGCAGCACTGGCGGCAACGCTGCCGGCAGCCGTGCCGTTGGCGGCGAGCTGCGAGTGCGCGCTGGCAGCGGCGGCCTGCTGCTGCTGCTGCTGCTGCTGGGCGGCCGCCTGTTGCGCCGCCTGCTGGGCGGCCGCCTGGGCCGCGGCCTGCGCTGCCGCGGCGGCGGCCAGGGCGGCCTGCTGCTTGGCCTTCCTCTTCTCCTGGAGCTCGACATAGCGAGCGGCTTCGAGCAGCGTCTCCAGGCTCATCACGCGCGAGCGACGAGCAGCGCCCCGCTGCCGAAGCCTCCAGCAGCCGCCTGCGCTCGTCAACCCGCCGCTGCTGCGCGATGATGCCGCCCTCCTGCTCTCCTAGCCGCGGCCGGCGGATGCACCCTGCGCCCCCTCCGCCGCCGCCGCCGCCGCCGCCCCCTGCTCCTCCGCGCCGCCGCCGCCGCCGACTTGCCGCGAGTTCGACCAGCCTGCCGCCACTGCTGCCACGAGCCGCCGCCGCCACCACCTCCTCCTCCTCCTCCACCTCCTCCTCCTCCTCTTTCTCCTGCCTGCGCCGATGATCTGCAAACAAAGTCTTCCATCAGTGCCCGTTCCGCCCACACTTTTACGAGCAACTTGCAAAGCCAAGCTTCTTTCGTGGGGCTCGCGGGGCGGACCCCCTCGAGTGTGTCCAAAGACGCTGGAGAGTTTGCTCGCGCCTCCAATGATTTTGCGATCGCTGTCGAGCAGTCACGAGCTCTACTTTCTTTTTCGAGGTCCCGTGCAAATATCGTCTCTCAAAGACACTTTTGCGTTGCGCAATCATAGTCGCTCGGTAATTATCATTAACATCGGTTCAGACGCTCTAATAACATCGCACGTGATACGCCCCGTACCGTTTTAATCGCAATGCAAACAATACAGGGCCTCGGACAGCTGGGGGGGGGGGGGGGGGGGGGGGAGGAGCTACATGATACTTGCTTTTAAGCATGCGCTCTCTCTCTCTCTCTCTCTCTCTCTCTCTCTCTCTCTCTCTCTCTCTCTCTCTCTCTTTTGCTCGCCCAGTTAGTAAACAATCGCTATATTATTAAGCTCGAAATTGTATCGCGGCAATTATAATATCTTTCCATCTCCAGCGAGCGCTGTATAGGCGAGAATTTTCCTGTCTGCTGCTCACACTTACGTGCACACTGGCGACGAGAAAGCGAGAGAAAGAGAGAGAATCGTCGCTACACCGCAACGTAAAATGCATTTTGCACACGTGTATATCGGCTTAAACGGTGCAAGGACTCGGCGGCCCGCGATTGGCGACGCGTGTGGCCCCGTGTAGGTATATCACTGGGCGGCTCCCGCGATTATTTGCAACTTCACGATTTTTGTCTCGACCGCCGCGAGAAGCGGACAGTGCCGTAGCAGCGCGCGCGAGAGAGAGAGAGAGAGAGAGAGAGAGAGAGAAAGAGATAAGAGGCGTGCAGGCGAGCGAGAAACGAACACGCTGCAGAAAAATCATGTCGTGGGTGTGCGTCATCGCCTTTCGTTCTGGAGGCAACTGAATTTTCCACAGCGCCCAATGCAGCGTGCGAGTGCGAATGAAGCTCGCGAGCGAAAGATGAGTAATATTTGAAGTGGCCGAGTCGTTGCTAAACAACCAGAGAGTCGACGGTCTCGTTGAGCGATAAGGCGTACCCTCGTAAAAGCACGCAATCCAGTCTCTCTCTCTCTCTCTCTCGCTCTTTCTCGGTCTGCGAGACGGCATCGCGCGCGTGCGAACCCGCGTGGAAATGTACGCGCTCCAACGAAGAAAACCTGCTCGCAATTCGAGCGCAATGCACGTCTGTCCCTTCTCCCTCGTTCATTAGCCGGGCAATCGATCAACAAACCCGGCAAAGGAAGGAAGGGAAAAGCAGTGGTCGAGGGTCAGGGAGGCAAAAAGCAGGCCCTCCTTACGCTCTCGCGTACGTATAATATCTCGTCACAGGTCACAATCGCGAATTTATCTATCCAACCATCTTTCTCCGTACGCTGCTGGCCGCTCGGGAATCGAGCGCGCGAGCAACACCTTCGCGCGGCCTTGACTGATTCGCGACACACGCAGGCATATGCAGACGCGCGTGCTCGAAGGCCTTTAACTCGCGCAGCCGCGCGGCGAGGGCCCGCTGACGCCGCCTCTTTTCGCGCGCGCGAAATCTCCGTGCGCCGAAGTTGCATTCCCCATTCGAAAGTTAATCGAACGGAATCGTAATTACACGCCTCGCCTCGTGGACGCTCGGGAAACGAGTTCGCGCAGCCTTGAATTGGACGAGCGGCTCCGGCCGCGCGCGATTTTGTTGCTGTTGTTGCTTACGAAACACCTTCGCCGCGCGGCGCGCGAGCGGAGGAATAACGCCGCCGTCCGAGGGAGGGAGACGACGCGGCACTCGCTCGGCGAGCGCGCTTTGCGGAAGGGAGAGCGGAGGGGCGACCTCGCGGCTACTTATATTAGAGAGGAAAAGCCGAGGTGCGCGTCGAGCGAGCCGAATCCAACGGACGTAATTGCAGCTGCGCTTTTGTGCAGCGGCGCGAACGCTGCCTGCTGCTGGCCTGCAGCAGCGCGAGAGAGAACGTAATTGGCGGGAGAGAGAGAAAGAGAGAGAGAGAGCAGCCAGCTCGCCGTGTATGCGGATGGGCTCGCGGCACAGCCGGATCGCATTTAACGCAACCCGTCTACTGCTAGACCATGCATAACTCTGCAATCTTAGGCTCGCTGTGCACGACTTTATCGCCGCGAACATTGTCGTCGCTTCGCTCGCTCGTTCCTTTGCGCACGAGCGCCTAACCCGTGATTACGAGTAATCCGCGTCGATCAATCTACGCCACGCATGTTTTCGCTGGGAACAGGAGCGCGACGCCGTTTGCATTCACTTAACCGCGTGCAAATCGTTAAACACCCGATAATTGTACAGCAAGTCGTTTGCTCACTTTCGAACGCGCATACGACATTTCAAATTCATTCAATGTCTCGTAGACCCTTTCGAACAATCCCCAAAGTTCACAATTACGATGCGCATCGCGCTTCTTTTCCCTACTTTTTATGATTCGAGGATTGCTTCGCCAATAATCTCCAGCGCGAGAAAAACAGTGTAAAATATCGACATTTGAACTGATTGCTGCAGCAGTGGTGGTAACAAAGCGCGCGGAAATTGCATCGTCGAAAAAACTCCGAATGAAAAACCATCTAGCAATAAAGCCTAGCTTTCTCACTCTCTCTCTCTCTCTCTCTCTCTCTCGAAGAAAAAAAAAATCATTCCAGGAAAAAAAAGGCGCGCGCGCTAACGTCCAAAGGCGAATAATCAATGAAAAGCCGGGTGCAGGGGGAGGGAGGACAAAAAGCCGCCCGGGAATGTACAACGGCAGTAGGAGAGTGCGCGCGCGTGTATTTTCCACGTGAAAACTGAAAACTGCACTCTTGCGGCTACCACGGCGCAGCCGGTTAGGAAGGAGGGGTAATAGACGCACGTAGACGTGACGTGAGAACAACTCTCTGTGGATTTTTAACGACGAAGCGACGCGGCTCACTGGCTTTTACGAGTTTTCATTTTGCGTGTGCGAGTTTTTTTTTCCGCGAGGGGACAAGAAAACTGATTTCAACGAAAAACTCGCGAGTGAGAAAAATCGTAGTTGAAAGGAGGAAAGCACGACATTTTCGTGCGAATAGCAGTTTATTAAAAGTTTAAGAGAGAGGGAGGGGGGAGTGAGAAAAACGAGGCTATTGAGTAATCTCTCAGCCACGTGGTTGAAATCAACGAGGGTGAGAGCGCAACGCGATATGGTCAATGAAACAAAGTCGACAGGTGACAACGCTTTATAAAACAAATCGAGGCTGGAAGGGCGACAACGAACGCGATTGAAAGCTCAAGCTCGTTGCTCAGCGCTCGCGTTGCGTGTCTCGCTTCCTCGGTTGCCGAAATTTGGATACAGCGGCGCGCAGCGGGGAGCATTTCAGGCGGAGCGTCTATACAGTGACAGGTATAACGCACACACAGGATCATGGCGCGGAGTCGGTGCGAGAAAGCGAGCGGATGCACCGGGTGGCATGGCGGCTGGTAACACGCCGTCGCTTTTGCTACGTGAGAATGCTAGTGGCGGGGAGGAAGAACGTGCGCGAGCGAGACCGAGACAGAGATAATGCCGTCCGTGTGCGCAAGAGAGAGAAAGATGGATTGATGCTCTAGCCGGGCAATTTCCTGGGGGGGGGGGGCAACCGCACAGCACACCGTTCTTTTTTCAGCTCTTTGTTTCTACCGCATAGCGACGTTTTCTTCCTTTTTCTCGTCAACCGCGATAAACCTGAGATTTCGCACATTCGCGGGGTAAACACGTTAACCTCGACAAAGAGAGAGTAAAAGAGGGTGAAAGGAGGAGGACGAATTTTTTTTTTTAACGAATGTGTGCGAAAAAGGTATCAAAACTGTACCGAGGAGCATCCGAAGACGCCGTAACATTGCAAGTAACCGTGAACTAATGTCTAATTAATCAACCGAAAAAAAAGAACCATATCAGGACAAAATTGTATCTCGCAACCATCTCGCGCAATACTGCCGAAAAGAAGAAAGACAAAAAGAGTTGTGGGTTGGCGCACACTTACAGCTAGAAAGTCAGATATAGACAAAGAGAGGAAGCGAGATAAGCGTTCGGATTTCGCCAGTGTTGGGCCCCGTCTGTTGTTTCTCAAATAAAAGAAACGAGATGCCCGCTAGATAGTCCGCAGAGTTAGGTCTCTGTCGCGAGTTTTACTTATACAGACAGGTATACATATAGCTAAACGGGTACGTCCTTTAAAACGGAAGAGGAAACAGCTCTCCCCTCGCTCTCTCTCTCTCTCTCTCTCTCTCTCTCTGTGCATATGTGTCGCCGTGGTCGTAGCCGTCGCCGGTTGAAATTGATTCGCGCGCGTGTGGCGGTGGCGTCGGCGTCCGTTGAAAGACGCTAATTGCCGTTGGCAGTGGCGCGCATGCGAAATCCGACTGGTGCATACTCGTACTCTACGCTCGCTCTAAGCTCGCGCTCCACGGCATGTGCGAATAGAATAAAAACGAAGCAGTGACTTCTGTCACGGCCGGGCGCGGCTACGTAGCCACCGATCGAACGAACCTTCAATACTATCCCCTCGCAATTGCACACACGCGAAGCTGCCGCTGCCGCAGCAACGACGATTATTTTCCCGCCGGCTGTGCGCGCGGCGTTTTCCCCTGCGGCTGAGGAACCGCCCTGCAGCAGCCGCGCACCTTATTTTGCAAGCGCCGACCTATATTCAAATGCCAGACGTGCGTGTAACGGAAACGAAAATAATTGGCAAGTAGACAGGTATACCAGCACCCCTGTTCTGCGTAGAAGTACGTACGTGTGAGAGAGAGAGAGAGAGAGAGAGAGCTGGTCGCTCAGCGGCCAGGCTTCAACTCGGCTACATCGCAACAAGCGAGAGAGACAAAGCGAGCGCGCGCGCACGGCGATGCACTTTCCACGGCAGCGACGAGCGCGAGAATCGATGCGCTAGCAGCGGCAGTAGCGACGGAGAGAGAAAAAGAAAAGTGCAAGAGGTGACTGCAGACTACTATGCAGTGATCGATGCGCGCTCTAACCTCAAAAAACACGATGAGAGAGAGAGAGAGAGAAAAGAAGCCACAGAGCCGGGCGCACGATCAGAGAGACGAGGCGAGCGAACAGCGTTGGAGCTGTCGTTACAGCAGCAGCACGACTCGTCGCGTGCGTAAAAAAAGCAGCGAGCCGCGCGAGGAGAGCAGCAGCCGGGCAGCAATTCACGTGTCCGGGCACCGAGGCTCCCACCAATCAACGGCGCGTCACGAGGCTCTATCGACCAATGGCGCGGGCCCATGTGACGCAGCGCGCCACCGCTCTCCTCGCTGCTGCTACTGCTGCTGGGCGTGTGTGCAGACAAGTGCGCTGTTGCTGCCTCTCGCGAACGCTCACCAACGACCAACTTCTTCCTTCCTTGACGACGAACGCTCTGCATGCACTTTTCATCAAGCCATCTTCTCTCTATCGTTCTCTCCCTACCTTCCCGCGCCGCTACTCGCTAGATTCGCAGCCCGCTCCTTTTTTCTTTCTAGGTTAGACGGCCCTCTCTTTCTCGCTCGCAGCAAAATCGAGGTTACACGCTGGCACGCACACACTACGGCGACGGGGCACGAGCAAAAGAGATAGATAAAGAGAGACAGACAGAGAAGCGAAATGTAAAAAGCACGTATTCGCGCAGCGTAGTAACGGTCAGCTGCAGCGCTTACCTCAACCACACAACTCTCCAGTCTTTGGTCTGCAGTAGCAGTAGCACGCTTGCGCGCCCGGTTACGTGTGCACTACTTTGTAACCGCAGATATAGGCAAAGAAAAAAAACACTTGATATACACTCGCGAACAACACCCCGACGATCAAGTCTGCAGGCTCCGAAAAATATGTATACACGAGCGAGCAAAATAAAAAGAGTGGATAACGAAGGATAGAGAGCTTGCCGCGCGGACGACTTACGTCTACTCGCGCGCGCGTTCACGTACACACTTGGCTGTACAGACCGTGTGTCTCTCTCTCTCTCTCTCTCTCTCTCTCTCTCTCTCTCTCTCGGAGCTCTCGCGCGCGTGCTTTGCCCCTTCCTCTCTCGCCGGCTTGCTGCTGGACCTGCTTGCGCCTGTTGTTAGTAAGGGGGGCGATGATGGCTGGGCGGCAAGCTCTCGCTCTTTCTTTCTCTTGCTCGTTCGTTCGCTCTGCTCTCCGTGAATCAGCGCAATGACGCTGTATGGGTGAACGCGTGACGCGACGCCGAGAGAAAACATGTATGCCACAACAACTACGCCCGAATTCCGTAATCCGTAGCGAGATTCTCTTGCCGCACTTTCCTCTTTGTTTATCACGCGCACTGTTGTCGGCAGCGAACGATATCGCCTGTGCGTGTACGTATACGTGCAGCACACCTACGCGCGAACGGGCGGCAGCGCCCGCGCTCTCACTCACTCTGAACAAAGGAGGCACACTTACGGCGGTGCAGTAGCAGCGGGACGTCCTCGAGGTAGACCAGCTGTGACGGTGAGGTAACTTCGCTCGGCCAAGTATAGTCCGGCGGCGTCCTGGCCCCCTGATGCAGCGCAAAAATATCACGTACGCACAGGTCGCTTATGTAGCGCGAGAGCACCTTTTGTCCGCCGCGCTCAGTGCTCTCTCGGGCGCTCGCGCTCCGTGTCTGTCACATGGATGACCGCGGGGGTGCGGCGTTGCCACGTCGCCCGGCCAAGTACATGTGGCTGCGGCCTACACGTGTGTACGTGCAAAGAGTGGGGTTGCGCGCGCATCTACCTCTCTCACTCTCGCCCACGTGCTCATTCGGCACCTATGCTTCCCCACCGACTCCGAGTTTCGTGCTCACGCGGTTTCTCTCTCCTCCCACTCTCGGGCCACAGACCTTCCATACCTATGCCTCGCTTGCCGACTCTTTTTACACAAAGTTCATGCGTGCAGCCGTCAACGTTCGTTCGCGCCCGCCCCGCGATCCAGAATCTTCCTCCGCCGCCGCCGTCGTTGTTTGTAAGCTGTGCAGGAATATACGAGCACGTATATGTGTATGCGTCTAAAGCTATGCTGCCTCCGCGAATGAGATGCTTGGCTACATAAACGCACTTTTTCCATCGCTTTTCATTTTTTGGAGTTGCTTATTTCTTCGAAGTTTATATCTACGTAGCGTACGTTACTCGGTGTACGTGTCTTACGCTCCATCACTTATTCGGAGCTTTCGGTGTTTACGTCTCGCTTCGGTTGATTGGTGATTATTTGTTTTTCAATATTTCTGGCGGGATTTACCCGAAAAGGCGGGTTTCCCAAGAATCAGGCGTTTACAATGGGGGGTCCTTGAGATGTTTCTTCTCAACGAGCACTGATCGGTGTCATTCGTGTACGATGCATGTGTGCAAGAGAGCTCTGCACCTTCTTTCTCTCTTTCCCCTATTCCCTTCACCTTTCTCCTCTCTTGGATTCGCCACTCGCTTGTCCGCTCGAGCTCGCTCGGTGTTGTTTACGTTCATGCTCGCGCCAAAAATATAAGGTGAACCGCCCGTATATACCGCGCGCTAGGCTAGACAAGGATGAAATGCGAGGGAGAGAGAAATGCCAGAGGTTCGACAGTATCGTCCAATGACGTTGAGAATATATGGGAACCTAGCTATAAAACTATCTTCTGCTGCAACTGTCCGATGAAAACTTTTACGAGTTCTGTTAATTTGACTGGATGAGATTCCTGACAATAAATGTTCGCGTTCTCGCTTTGTTTTAATAAATTTCAAGTATTTTATTTTACAAATTTACAGTTTGCGTATTAACAAGATTTGTAACAATTTTTTATATAAAAATTTTACTAATAAAAATCACGCTTTCTCTGTTGTGACTTTATAAAACTTTACAAAGATACTATTCGAAAAATATTTTCAACATTTTGCGCTATTTTGCTTTCTAAAAATTATGATTCTTTCAAAATTATATCGCCGTGAAGGGCGCAATGTAGTAGCTTTTAATTTTTCTAATAAATGTTTTTCAAACATACTACTCAATGGTATCAGTAAGTGTGCAACAAGAATACTCTCACAATAATTTGAAGTGTACTATTCCTTACATGAATCACACAAACTTTAAGTATTACAACTCTACACTAAATAATAAATAGCGAAATATTTCAAATTTGCTACTACGACCTTGTTAACGAAATTGTTTCTCAGTTGACTACATAAAAAACTCACAAAACAGTATTCTAATTATTATCGTAATCTAGCGTGAAGGCATCATTTTTAACATTAGATAGCAATAGAAGCAATAAACATATTATATATTTTTTTTAATTTAATTACGCTATTTAAAAATTTGTACGTTTTAACAGAACCATTATTAATTAAACCCATAAAAAAATATTGTCTGCAAGTAATATATTTTTTTATAATTAATCGTAATTTTAATTTACGCAACAGATAAACCATATTAACGAATCATTGGTTTCAAAAAAACGCTACGTTTCTTTAAATGGTGTTTCGATTACTTTGAATTATATTTATAGATCAATTGTGATTTATATTAAATTTCTACTAAAAGCTTCACCTCAAAAAACATAAAGAACAATTTTTATTGGGAATTATTCAAACAGAAATATTTCCAAATAATTTAAAATAAAAAAATAATTAATTTAGTTTTAATAAAAAGAAAGAGTTTATAGTTGCAGGACTTTTTCGTAAAAGTATGAATCTGTTAGTGAGTTTTTTCTCGAGTATCAACTAAATATTCGTTTCTAGGAGCGTTTAAAAAATTTATAAAAAAGCACGCTCGTATTAAGTTTGGCTATCTGCTTAAGTTACTGACATAAAGATGTTTCAATTCCGTTTTAGGCATATTTTCGAAGAGAGCGGCTCTGTTCTGGCCTTCTCCCTTTTTGACCCAGTGACCATAAACGCGGAAGGCACATCCATCAATGACCTGAAAATATTATTTAATTTAAGACTTGCAGTTTCGTAAAATTTTTCGTTAATTTATTTTGAAATACTTAATGTGTACGTAAACAATACATAAATTTAGTTTTACCGATTATGATAAAATAATAAATGTTTATAATTTTTCATTTTCGAGGGAATACTTACTTTTCTAAGGACCTTGAGTCTATACGGATCTGAACAAGCCACATGTATAGACAGCGGCTCTGGGGTACTATGCAGTCTTTTAATTCTTATGACTGCTCGAACACAAAGAATGCCAAGCATGAATTTCTTCCTTGCATTGAATGATTTGGCTTTCAATTCCTAAACAATATTTGTAAAACGATTAATATGTCTGAAAATAAACAATCTAGTTGTAATTTTTAGTTATGGCGCTGTTAATAACACTTTTTTTTATTATGTTTTTTTTTTTAATATTCGAAATTTTAGTTAACTGCATATATCGTACTTCCAATGTACCGTCATAAGTTTTTCAATATTTACGACTCTACAATGGAGGAGGTTAATGATCAAAAAATTTAATTAAACACCACACGTCGATTAATCTATATGTTACGTATCAATTCCGGGATTGGACGGATCCGACTTTGTTTATGCGAGTTTGTTGGAATCAGCTCTGCTCGGCTCATTTTGATTAAATTGAAATTAGCGAGATGATTACACTGAGCTAGCTTCAAACAACGCTTTTTCTACGGCCCGTTCTTGCCATGCCAGATTTTTTGTATAAATATTTATTACATATTTTATAGGAAATATCAATGCTTGAATATTTGTAATTATAATTTATTCGTTATTTGAGCTTAAGTACACTTGTGACTGAATTGTTTTTAATCAAATGTGCAATGGTAAAAGCATCTTAGACGAAATTAATTAAAGCAATGAATTGCTATCTAGAGACGGTGACAGGTGTCAGTTAGCTGAACAATATATCTTCAATTATGACTACATACAATTAACAGTAATTTCATGGTGCAATCCGGAAGGTTTATGTTTACTAACATGGAAATAACGCGCTTAATACCGGTAATGAAGCGTTGTACGGAGCCGGCTCAGTACAAAGCTGGCCAATCTCAACTATCAAAATGACCCTTATGGAGTGAACTTTGTAAAATTTTGAGCTTGGTATGTAATACATATATACTAAAACAAGTTGAACAAAAACTATTAATTATTTTTAAGCTTTGCATAGTTTATAAATTTCTGCTTATGCTTTATTCATTCAGTGTAAAAAAGAATCGAACCAAAATATCTTGATCACTTTTTAGCTCATCATTAACTAATATAATAAATATGTTTTCATCCAACCTGGCATATTATATTGAAAAATATATAAATATTTTATGCAATTGGTCATAGTGAAGAAACTGTAAAATAATTACTACAAATAATGGATTTTGATTAAAATACAAAAAATAGCACACATCAATAAATACAATTCACTATAGTCAAGCACTCTAGTCATGCAAATGAAGTTTTTAATGAATATAAATTTACAGATAATTAAGTAGTTATGAATAAGATTATGAGAAATTTTAAATTAATTTGAAATTTTATATTTCGCATTGCTATACTGTATGGTAATTTGGATTATGACTATAATTATGAGTATTGTTTATTTACTTGGCAATTGCATTTGTTAATAGATTATTTGTAATTGCAAAAAATTAGTAAGGCTATTGTGTACACAAAACCCATTTATAATGTTTTTCCATGAAATTGAAAAAGTGGCAGGTTACCAAAGCTAATTGAGATATCCGACTGAGTCGTCGTGAATTAGAGGACAGTGAGCGTTTTAAGGGAGCGATATCCTGATCCCACAGCTGGAATGTTAAATGTAATATATTTTAAAATTAAATAATTAAAAAAAAATTCTGTCGATATTCAGTTGCTCTATGAATAGGTGAAATTGGTATAAATATATAGTAAAATGTAATCATAATAACAATAAGTAATTGGAAAAAAAGCTTGAGTAAAAAAGAATGTAACAGCAACAAAGAAAAATTTTTACTGTTTTAAATTTATTTACAATAATATGATAGACATAGGGGATAAGCCTGTTGCTAGTTACTTCTTTCGATTTTCGCAAATAATAAATTTTTAAGCAGCACTAAAAGTGTATTACTATGTGAAAAAACCAAATCACCTGGGATATCTGAAAAGCAAAATATTTACTCGAAAACAAGCTATTTTATCACTTACTACTGTGTGAAAGAATGAATGGTCTAAGGCTTCTTTGATACTAATCCTTTTTGTAGGTTCAATAACCAACAATTTACTGATTAAATCTTTTGGTGCATCTATAATAAAAAAAATGTTATAAAAATTACTATCCATATTATATTTCATGTGAAACAAGTAAATCTACTTATAACTAAGTACTATACCAGTAATGTCAGCCCATTCAGGTGAAGTGAATGAATATTTTCCTTCCATAATGTTCCTAAGCATAACCATTTGTTTTCTATGCCAAAAAGGTGGACACCCAACTAACAAAGTAAACATGATTACACCACAAGCCCATCTAGAAAATTTGATTAACTATATTAATACACAGTATCATGTAAATATCAACAAATATTTTTACAATTTACTGACATATCAACTTCAAAACTATAACCATCTGATTTTTCAAACATGTTACATTTCAAAACTTCAGGTGCTAAGTAACCAGGAGTACCACAAAGATCTAGATAAAAAAATTTTATATAATTTACAGGGCTTTTATATCATATTCAGTAGTACAATAACTCATATTTGAATAACAATTTACCATAAAGTCTTTCCCCTTCTTTCAACATTCTAGCAAAACCAAAATCTGTGATTTTTACATTAAGATTGTCATCTAGTAAAATATTTTCTGGTTTTAAATCTCTATGTACAATTCCTTGATTATGTACGTGCTGTACTCCTTCAAAAACTTGTCTCATAATGTAACGTGTTTTCTTTTCAGATAGTGTAACAACGGATGTCAAATAATCGAAGAGTTCTCCATTTTTACACAGTTCAAATATAAGAAAGATGAATGTGCTTGATTCAAAAACATCATGTAATTCAACTGTTGGGGGGGAAATGTCATATATTATCCGATTTATAAACTAGTTGCATGTAAATATTATATTATGAAATTATTTACTTATGTAAGGATGACCAGCAACCCTACGAAGAATTTGCACCTCTTGCATAGTAGCATCTTTCATTGTATGAGAATCAATGCCATCATGGGGCTCACAACTTATATCTATGATTTTTGCTGCATATTCTATGCCTGTTTCTTTTTCTATACACCTTCGAACTGTGGATGAAATACCTCTGAAAACAAACAATATTAATCAGATTATGAAGATTAAATCATCAAATCAAATTATTAATTTAAAGTATTTGTTTAAAATTAAATCTTTAATAAAAAGGTAATATGCTTATCAAAAAAAGAAAATTTCAAAGATATTTTGAAACAAAGTAATTCAAATGAAATATAAACAAAATGCTATAAGGGAACCCAATAAAATTCCGCGATGTAGGAGATCTATAGATTATATTGAGCAAGAACTATTAGGAAACCAATTAGAACTATTAGGAAAGAAGTTGATTTATCTCAATGATCTTTTAAAACTATAAATAATATTTTCAAGCTTATTCTTTTTAGATGCAAGCCAAAATAGTTTTTGCCTATGAAACATAAATGATTTGGTATTAGACTGAACGTTACAATAAATCTTAATTGGCATCAAACTTTATGTGAATTATTCAACATAAACTTAAATTACATAAGTTATAGGTTAGCTGGCGAGAATTTTATCATCAATGAAACCGCATGCTTTCATTTGTTTGTCTTCTAAACGATCCGCGAATAGATGAACATTAACAAAAGAAATCCTCAGAGTAGTACGTCACATCGAGACAATGGCTGTGTAGACAAAGGCGAATCCGCGCGAGTCTATGGCTGCCTTACCTGCCGAGGATTTCTTTAGGCTCGTATTTGGCATAGAAACCCTTGGCAGCATCTTTGTCGGGTAGAAGATCGTCGGTTTCATCTTTAACTACCTCCTTCTTCGTCATCCTCGTGAATTAATCTCTCGCTTTCACAAAACAACACACGCAAAGATAAAAAGTCAGTCGCAGGACTTTTTTAGCGAAGGTCACGGAGGTCAGCGATCATCTTCTCTATCTTTGGCAAATTTACTGTTTGTTTCAAGAAGAATAAAGAAGAGAGAGAGAGAGAGATAGAGTGAGAGGGGGGAAAAAGAGAGAAATAGAGTCTTGTATAGGAAAACTCGCGAGCTCGCTGGCACTCCGCGTTGCACCTGTCACATAGCTCGCGCACCACTAAAGCATTGGAACGCTAGCAGCAGCTAAGCTAAAGTTGCAGACGTATTTTTGTTGGTCAGCTGGCAGCTGGTGCTCCTCCCTCCCACTCTCCCTCTCACTCATAAGTCGTGACTAGTAGCAACACAATAATGCTCACTTATATTGTGGCGTTCTTTTAAGTTCTAATTTGCGTGCAGTTGCGCATGTTGTTCTGTTTAATCTTGCTATTAACATTAGAAGAAGTCCTAATTACTATTTATGTAGTATCTTTTAATTTTCGTTTCAGAATGCGCGTCTCAAAGCTTTCATCGGATTCTTTATCAGTTCCAAAATACGATAACACCGAATGTTTATCAAACATACGTATGATTTTTATAATGCATCAAAAGAACTTTTGCTTATCAAAATTGTTTTTAATAGCTGTTTAACATGGATATAAATTGATACTTATTAATATTATTTAAATATAATTATATTTATGCATTGTCTGTAAAATATTTACAAATAATTATAAAAGTCTGAACGACTAAAATTAAACTGTCTTTTTTATTTTTCAATGTCATATATCTAAAAATGTATTAACTTTTTTAAAATTTATTTATTTAGATAAATAAACTGAACATATCTGATAAACTTGAGAGCGATGCATATGACATGAATTAAGCTAACTTCATCTTATCAAGCTTCAACATGGCCGGTGATATAGCCGGAGGTTTTTCAATAACTTTTTAAGTCAAGTCAATTTCTCTTTTGAACATGGAGCTGTCACGTGTCGTTTTCGGTAACAATTTTAGAAAATTATTATTCGACGTGACCAATAAAATTTTCAGTGTACAAGTGGCTAAATACATCAGGTAATTTTGACATTACGTAAATCAGTCGTAACATAACCTTAAGAAACGCATTTAATTATTTTAAAGTGACAGGAACTCGACTTTAAAAGACATAAAAAACACATTTAATTATTTAAAAAAATATTCGCATAACTAATAATTAATACTTAATTATTGTTATTTTTTGTTTTGCAATGTTTTATAAGATTGGCAGAAGTAGGTAAATTAGAAGCTCCGAAGTTGTCGGGAAAATACAAAACTGGACAGTTAATATTACACAGAGTTTTTGGCTACAGAGGAGTTATTCTTTTTCCATGGCTTGCAAGAGTTTATGACAGAGATCTACCTCATAGACGAGAAGGGTAAACAATAAAGTATTGAATAAATTAAATAGTTTATTGATTGGTGTTAAAATATAATTTGAATTATATATATATGTCAATTTATGTTTAAAAAAATGATGTATACATAAATATATTGTATGCTTATAATATTGATTTATTCTTTTAGCTCTGAAGAAGGCAATTTTAATGGAGTTGGCAAAGAAGTAAAAGGAAGGACACATATTTTTTATCAAGTTCTAATTGATCAAAGAGATTGTCCATTCATAGTAAGTATATTGTAATAATGTAATAGTGATTCTGTAATCTGAAATATTTAAAAATATTTCACTGGAAAGATGATTACAGCCAGTTTATGTAATATTTGATTATTCTATTATCTATAGGTCTTCAAGTTTTAGCTTTGACTAAAAAATGAAATTAAAAATTGGTTAAACTTTAATGAAATCTTGGATAATTAATAATTTTGTGCGTGTGTGTCTGTGTGTGTGTGTAATATTCATTTACTATCACATAAAATAAGTAACAGATAAAAATAATTTTTTTTTAAGTATTTAAATTGATTGCCATTATAAATATTACAGAGGGCACAAACAGAAGCTGTAACTTTTCTTGGAAATCATGAAAGCAGTAGAAGTTTATATGCAATTCCTGGGTTAGATTATGTTGCACATGAAGACATTTTGCCATACACAACCAATGAAAAACCAGCTCTGCAACATGAACTTTTTGATAAATTTTTGTCCTACCATCCAGACAAAGATCCACCCTTTGCTGCACAAGAAACCTTACGTGCATGGCAAAAAAAAAATCATCCATGGTTAGAACTCTCTGATGTACATAAAGAAACAACAGAGAATATTAGAGTTACAGTTATTCCATTTTACATGGGTTGTAGAGAAAGTCAGACAACATCAGTATATTGGGTATACTATTTCAAGTGTAATTTATTATAGTTACTTTGAGATGGTTTAATGCCATATTAAATTTAGATGTTTTAGAAGTTATTTGTAATTTTGGTATATAAATTTTTATGTTGGTTTCAATGATTTCAATTTTAAAAGTTAAAGAATTTAAAAATGGTATTACGTGTACGTCAAATAATAACTTAGTTCTTGCTTACTAACATAATTTATATTTCAGTGGCGTTACTGTATAAGACTAGAGAACTTAGGAGATTTGAGCGTGCAACTGAGAGAACGCCATTGGAGAATATTCAGCTTATCCGGTACGTTAGAAACCGTTAGAGGGCGAGGTGTTGTAGGACAAGAACCAGTACTTTCAAAAACTTTGCCAGCTTTTCAATATAGTAGTCACGTTAGTCTGCAAGCTCCAAGTGGTCATATGTGGTATGAATTTAAGCTTATATTACAAAAATAGTCATTAAAACTTGTTATATCAATTTTCTACATTTTCAGGGGTACTTTTAGAATGGAAAGAGAAGATGGATATGCCTTTGACTGTAGAATTCCACCATTTTCTCTGGAATCGAAAGCAGATGAACCAGCAACTCCCAATGCAAACACCTAAAATCCATTAAGTGATTGATAAAGATCATAAGTTATAAGATGCAACTGTAAAAAGATGTTTTAATTTTAATTGCTATACTCTAAGAAATTACGTCTGTCTCAGTATAATAAAAAAATAGGCGTTAACACTAAATTAAATTTGTATATAACCATGTAGATAGTGAATTTTAAAAGAATAGGTGATAATGTATATTACATTACTTTGTAAACTCGACAAATATAATTTTCAAAAATATTATACATCTGTCAATCAAATTTTCATTAAAATGAAAATAACGTGAACGTCAAAGTGATTAGATTTGCAATAATGATTAGTAAAACATCAATAACTCCTGTTTCTACTCAACTGCTGCATAAATTTACAACCAATAAATATTGTACCTATTTAAGACAAAGATCGATTATTTACTAAAGTTTAATAATTATAAAAAAATGTTATAAGTAAAACTTGTCGGAAGAGCTCATTAACAAATTTTGATTTGTGATGTTGTAAAACGTATTTTATTTCAATAATAACAGCATTATTTGTTCAGTTGATATGTTTTATTTGAAGGATGCAAATGAGAAAATAAATGGTATAGAAAAATTTGAATTATAAAAGCATTTCGACCGGCCGTCACGAGGTGCCGCTGTGAGTACGACAAACCGGCATCTTTGTTGTCCTACAGCGACTAGTGACTTGGCTCTTTCTTCGTGTTTCCGCATCCGCAGAGAGCTGCATTCGTCCCGGTTCGAGCCAGTGCTTTGCGTCGGTGAGCGACTGACGATTCTAATTTTTTGAAGCTCCACTAGTTTGTTTTTCCTCAACGTCTAGTTCTCCGGACAGAAATACTAGTATCAACGAGACAACGATGGCAGCCAGTAAGTAATTAAATAAATTCGCCAAAAAAGCTTTGAGAAAAGAAACGGTATTCTCGTCTTCGAAAGCCTTCGGTTTTCACGTTGCTCCATTTTACTCTACAGATTTCGAGAGTCTAACGGTACTTCACGTAAAAACAACAACAAAAAGTAGGTAGCGTTATGCCGCCATGTAACACGCAACTCTCCTGTCACTTTAAAATATTATTTCTCGCGTACTATGTGCTTTTTGGAAAGCACTATTTTTCGGAGTGATATTTCAGCTAGTGCTCTTTCTCTCTCGCAATGCATGCAGAAAGGGCCCTTTTGACACAATAAATATTGCGCGGGCCCCTTTTTCAGCTGTGTTATAAGAAAGCTTTCACTTGCGCGCGGCGGTGTTGCCATTTTCAAGGGATGTAGAGCCAACAGTTTCGCCCTCACGGTACATATGTACAAACACATTATAACAGCGTAGGGGAGAAATACTCACGGAACTGCGTACAAGCCTGTTTGCTGGCGATCAAAATCAACGGAACCTTTTAACTCGCGCTGCTGTTATCTCTCTTATAACGCGGATGCATCATTTACGTGGCGTATATAGGCGTTGCTGCCACTCTTTGCAACGCAGCTATATCTCTCACGCGCGCTTACTCTTTCCGCTTTATTTACACACACTCTCTTTCTCTCTCTCTTTCTCTCTCTCTCTCTTTCTCTCTCTCTCTCTCTCTTTCTCTCTCTCTTTCTCTCTCTTTCGCTCTCGCTCTCTCTCTCTCTCTCTCTCTCTCTCTCGCTTTTGCTCCCGCATTGCCGCTTCTCTTTCATCATTCGGCACGCTCAACTGTTCGTTAAAAGTCAAAAAATATTTTTAGTCCGCGCGCGATGTAATGTCGTTTTTTTCTGAATGTGTGGCAATAAGACGTTGTACTGGAATTTTTACGTGCTCACGTGATTTTTATCTTATCACTATCTAATCGATAGATTGGTGATTGTTTGTATGATTCATTTCAAAATACAGACAACGTTACTTTCATGTATAAAACGATCGTACGTTCAGAGCTTAGTGAGATTTGATAAAGATTAATAATTGCTAGACATTTGCAGAAAAGTTTCAACAAAATTGACAATTTATGAAGTAATTTGTATGCATATTCTCTCATCCTCCTGTAAGAAATCGAACAGTAATGCTATGAAAAATTAACCAGGTATACAAGCTGTAGCGTAAGCTCGTTTTATCCGTTACTTTAAAATTCGAATAGATTTCGTGTGATAGCAATAATACTGTACAAAAAAACAACATGTTGATCATTTCTGCTACAGCTATATGAAAAAGCAATCTAAAACCTCTCATATAAAATGATGATTCATGATAGTCAACTGATCGTGTAAAAAAATAGCATGACTACGTTGAAAAATAAGTGGTCGAATGCATGTGTGCGTGTACATGATATGGTGCAGCGTTTGCATTCCATTTTACTCTGAAGAAATAGCAAACGTCTTTGTGCAAAACCGGACGAAAAAAAGTATAGCATCGCGATCGAGTGCTATTTCCATAAACCTGGTTAATATTTCGTAAAGCAAATTACTCGTGCACTTTTTTTTGTCCGCGAAAAAGAAAAGAAAGAAACTACGAACAATACAATTTACTATTGGCGACATTTGTTTGCTCGGCGCACTGACAACAGCAGTACGCTGCTTGCTCGAAAGTCTCTCCGGCGCAGAGCCACACAGTTTGTACGTCAAGGAAGTCGATTGATTGCAAAATAAAGTTTCGCTTGTGAAAGCGATTGAGTTTATTGCCTACGACACGCACGTAGCGTCGTTATATGGCGGCTCGTTGCATTCACTGCGGCATTTTCATACCGATTGTCACTCGGCAGAGACGAGGTTTTAGATTTTGGATTGTTAGCTTAAGTTTTCTCTTTCTCTTTCTTTGTCGGCCGAACGATGCCGTGCAGAAATAACGGAGGCGCGGACAATTTCGACGAAAAAGATTTTTCTTGGCCGGATTTCCAGAACAACAATCAGTCTCGAATTACTATAATGCTCTTATTCATGTGGGCTTATTCTCGGAATCTTCATGCATTTCAAAGCTCTACTTGAATCACAGATTTAGGTCGTGGACTGAACACAGTGATCCTGTGTCGCCATAGCTGTGCGTGTGATCGCCGAGCTGCGGGAACTTTAGGCTTAGCGAACCGTTTTGTGTCGGCTACCGATCGTTGATGCATTATGTATTTGTTTGGAAAACGTAAAATAATACAACTAACCATTTGATTTAAATGTAATCGGAGCAGCAGGTGTACTGACGAAGGAGCTACTGAGCCAAATGCGAAGCAAGTTCTACGCGGAGTCGCGCAATCTACAGGCGCAGAATGTGTGCTCGCGAATCGACCCATTGGAAGCATGCCTCTCGCGTAGTACAGCTCAGGCAACTAACCACGTGTTCCAGCACAAAATTGAGACCGAAGGCAAACCCGTTACCAACCAGAAACACAGTGGACGTTGCTGGTTGTTCGCTGCGCTCAATGTTATTCGCGTACCTTTCATCAAGCAACACAATCTCGAAGAGTTTGAGTTCAGTCAAAATTATCTATTTTTTTGGGATAAGGTAATGAAAATCTTCATGATTCGTTTGGTGAATGAACAGTTTCGATCACTAATTCCCCTTTTTCTCATTTACAGATTGAACGAAGCAACTACTTCTTGCACAACATCGTCAAGACGGCGAAACGCGGTGACGCACTGGAGAGTCGAACTGTGAATTTCCTTCTGCAGGATCCAATTAATGATGGTGGCCAGTGGGACATGGTGACGAATCTTATCAATCGTTACGGTCTTATGCCTAAAGCCTGCTTTCCTGAAAGTTACTGCTGTGAGAATTCAGTACGACTCAACATCATTCTCAAGAGCAAGTTGCGCGAGTACGCTCACGCGTTGCGTACCCTCATCGACTCTGGTGCCTCTGACGAGCAGGTATACACATGCGATTAAACTTTTCTTGTTTTAAAACATACATAAAATCACTGTCATTTTCCGAAATTCTTTTTAAATTTCATCGGACCAGTAGATTGTTCTTGTATTTTTTTAAATAATAAATAGGTTGTGACTCCATTTGTAATACTTGACGTTATTGAAACTTATCGTTATTGAATTTGATTAATATAATTAGCTTCAGAAAATAATCACTAATTTATCAGAGTAACATTTTTTAAATGAACATTAATTAAAAACTTTAATAATTATGAGATAAAAGTCAATTCATAATAGAAATATTTATCCAACAGATTCAACAACGCATTAATGAGCAGATGACAGTAATTTACCGAATAGTCGCTATTTGCTTGGGTATTCCACCAGAGACTTTTAACTGGGAGTACTACGATAAATCAAAGAACTACAACAGCGTGGGGCCAATTACGGGTTTGGACTTTTACGAAAAGTACGTGAAACCATACTTTGACGTGAATGAAAAGGTTTGCCTAGTGACAGATCCAAGGTCTACAAATCCGTACGGCAAAGTCTACACAGTTGATTGTTTGGGTAATGTGGTTGGTGGTAGAGCCACCATATACAACAACCAACCTCCAGAACTTCTCATGAAGCTCTGTGCTGAAAGCATCAAGAATAACGAACCTGTTTGGTTTGGTTGCGAAGTTTCCAAACGATTTAGTGCCAAGGCTGGTATCCAGGATCTAAAGGCACATGACTTTGAACTTATGTTTGGTACCGACGTACAAGTCACCCTCACCAAAGCTGAGAGATTGCTCTATGGAGAGTCGTCTATGTCACACGCCATGGCCTTCACTGCTGTATCCTATAATGTAAGTAATAATATTCACTTGCGATAAACAATTTTGTATTGTAACTGCTGTTTCAACATTGATAGTGTTACCATTTGTATTTATTCTTTTGTTACGTTATTTTTCTCAATTTTGAATAAAAAGACGTGATATATCATCAACTTTTATTAGAGAACATTAGTATTCATGTAATCTTTTTCTTGCAAATTATATTATATATATATATATATATATATATATAAATTGTTTATACATTACATCTAAATTTTTGTAAAATAACATTAAAAAACTTATTTATTTGAAATGTTAAAGTAAAGAATAGCTGTACTTATAGCTCTGATCATTCAAAAAACCAATTGATAATTCATCTGATAAGTAATAAAAATGATTATTAGTCAAGCTTAGAAATATGTAGTTAATTTTTCTAAAGAACTGGTAAAGTTAAAGCTTACTGAATTAATTATTTTGATTTAAGATTAAAATAATTTTATTAATTTAGGTCATTGATGTCTTAAAAAGTTGATTGAAACTAACATCTTTTTATGATTTTCTGTTTTCAGAAGGATGGCTCAATCTCAAAGTTCCGTGTAGAAAATTCATGGGGAGATGATCGCGGAGACAAAGGATATTTAGTTCTTACTGCTGACTGGTTCCATGAATTTGTCTTTGAAGCTGTTATTGATAAAAAACTTGTACCCGCTGATGTGTTAGCTGCATTTGATCAAGAGCCAATTGTCTTGCCTGCATGGGATCCAATGGGCACACTTGCTCAGTGATAAATTTTAATACTTGTCATTGTATATGTAATCAACTATTTTTGATTGAAAAAGAAATATGAAAGATCCGAATTCAAATAAGATTAATTTTCACACAATTACTACAATAAACAGTAAAACAATTTTTTATAAAAAGAAACAATGCTGTAATAAAAAAAGCTCTTGAAACTTTTTTCTATTAACTGTGCAGTGGAGTGCAAAATAGATGCAGTTTTGAATTCAGAAAACTAATCATGGTTTGAATATCACTCTAAACAGTCATGTTGCATTTATCAACTTGTGAAATGAATTTTAATAAATACTTTTTATTCCAATAATTGTAATAATGCAAGAAGATAAAAATGTTTTTTATAAGTTGTAAAAGTGTTATAGAATGGTAATACTCTTTCAAAGTTCAGACGCATGCGTCTACATTGGTTGCTATGGATGAATAAAAAGACTATACTTTAGAAAAATGCAATTGATTTATTTTTTATAATATCTACAACACTTCCTTTTAGGAAAACCTTCCAAAGAAAATTTTTCAATAAATTATCTTCTCCCATTGTTTAACTTCTTCCTCTTTTGGTGATACAAATACTGTAATTTAGCCCAAACACCTTGACACATCCTCTGTAATCTCACATCTTTGTTATTTACAGCAAATTCAAAAATCTTTTTAACCATACATTTACTAACTTTAAAATTATTTTGCTGTAATAAACTCAAAGCTGCATATAGTTTGCAGCGAGCAACTAACTGAGGATCACCTAATCTTATGGACAATTTGCATTGTTCTATAGATATTTGCCCAGCAATTTTAGCCTGTTGAAAATATAGCACTTAAATATTACTGAAACAAGTATCACCAATCAACAACTTACACAGTGATCAGAATAATCTCCTAAAGCAGAAAAAGCTCCACCTAAAGTTGACAACCATGACATTGCATGATCTATTTCTTGTCGCTCCATAACCATTCGAGTTATTTTTTCATTCCTATTCAAAATATATATGAGAGATTTGCCTACATTGTGTTACAAATATTTATGATAAAACTTAATTTACAACAAACCAATTATAATCCAAATATTGATACTTTGGGCTACGTAACTTGATTAGAATAAGGCAATCTTGTACATCTTCTTTGAATTTTGCTCTAACAAAGTTTTTTAAAATATCAAGCGCTGCTTTTCTATAAACATTAGAGCATCGCATAACGTAAATGTATAATGATATCAAATATGCATTAAAACCTTTTTTACGTAAAAATAATGGGTAAAGCTTCGTTTTGTTACACAAATCATTATCACATGAAGTCTTTTTATATTCAGAAATTAACTTTGGCAAAGCATTCAAGTCATCATAAACATATTTTCTTTTATAAATTATTAATCTTAGTTGATCATTCATGATTAAACGTATTTTTTATGTTAAAGAAGAGTAAACACCAATGAAACAAGTTTTAAGGTTAGTTTGTTTTTTTCGCTGATTTGATTGAATTTGTATTTAATAACATTTGTATAAAACCAAAGCAACATGCTGTAACGCTAATTAATTTCAGTAGATATTTATCAAATATTGTTATTTATCCAACAGATTAATATGATTTAAAAAAAACAAAGTAAACTAAACAATTTCGACAAAGGAATAATACAGACTTTGAAGTTGCGTCTGATACTATCTCAATCTGAACTGAACGTCAATTGACAAGTACAAAGTTAAAACTAGAACTGAGAAGATAACTCTGGATTTTCAAGGAAAAATTTATTTCAGATATTATAATAATAGCATTAATTGTCTTAATTGACTCTGATATTAATAGTTATAGCCTATTTCTAATATATCAATAAAAAAATTACGTAGAAATAAAGATTTTTCTCAAATCTAAAACTAAGTTGTTTTCTAAATGTACATATTTGTAAATGTAATTATGGATCGTGATAACTAAGATTTTTAAACAAAGAAATGCACATCCATTATGAGCTTTCCAATTCCAATTTTTGATAAGTTGAATATATTTTGATTTTTTAAATAAAATTACATAAGAATTAGTAATAACTTTCAATATTCAAGTGGTTGACGATGATGCGTTATTTTCTTAACAAACTTGGCTTTCGCGTCACACAAATATAAGTTATATCACTAATTTTTATTCAGAATATTCATTAAAAATAAGAATTGAAAGGGTTTGATATCAGCACCAATTACAGTAATTAACGACATTATGTTATATCTTAGACAATTTAGCTTAAAATTCAGAGGCTATCACCATAGTTTTCCAGTGTTTTTTGTACTGTATATATATCTATTAAAAATCATGACAGTATTAAATTTCATTGCAAAATAATCTTTATAAAAACACGAGCCACTATAATGTCATAAATAATTATTGTAATATTGATAAGTATAAATAAATTGTAGTTCAATGGACCTACAATTTATGTCATCCATTAATATATCGACTTATGTATAGTCGTAACAAGACCTTGGAAAGTATTTCTACCCCCCTCCCTCATTATTTTAGCGGGTCATTAAAATTTTAAAATATTTAAATGGTAAAATGTAAAATTATTATATTATAGTACTTATTGATTATACTACACATAAAGGAGTTGACAAAATAGATCATATTATATGCCGCAAATATCTTGTGTAAAGATTAAATAAAGTAAGAGACGGTCTTACCACCACATAAATTAGATTTGAAAATAATTACTACAATTATGTTGATTAGGAATTTAAATATACACGAGAGATTATGTAATGGAATTAAATTAAAAATTGTTCAGTTATAAAATACAATGTTTAAGCTGAAAACAGGAGAAAATATGGGGAAGAAAGTTTATGTCAATAACACGAAATATTAGAAAAATTTCTATGTTATCAACTACGTGATACCGAAAACCGTTTCTAGTCATATTAGCATTTTATATGATATAAGTAATGAAGCACAAGGACACAATGTTGACTCAATAGAATTACATATCGATAAACCATTGTATTCATAGTCATTTATATTGCATTAAGTAAAAGTCGAAATCTTGAAAATTTCTACATTCAAAATAGTTCCAATGACATTAACCTCCATGGTAGTTTGGAAGAAATATCATTTATATATACTTTTAATGTAATATTTGAATACAATTGGAGTATAATTTAAAAGTATCTTTCAACTAGAGGGTTGGTGTGCGAATGTATATATATGCAATGAAAGAAATACATATAGGTTTACGTACTCGGAGAAACAAATAGAATTTTTATTTTTTTAATGACACACTATTATTTAAAATAATCAATTTTATTAAATTATACAATGGCTACCATATTTTGAACAAGTAAACACGAGAAAGGCTAACTTAAATTAGTAGTTTTCTTGTTCAAAATTTACAGCATATATGTATGTATATTATCTAACAACAGTAAAACGTGGTGTACTCATATAAAAATACAATAACGAAGAAAAGAAAGTAGAATAATATTTTATCATTATTTATTTGTTTAAGCAATGACTCTTTTGGAATCTACTTGTGAGCTAAATTTTACATTTAAACTAACGATATTATTTAATAGATTAGTCTTAGAGAGTATTTATTGAAATTTTAAAAGACAATTTTTTTCGTTAGTAAATTATTTAAATTTCAATCAACACTACTCATAATACCTCCACACTATTTTTTACTATTGGGCATAACCTGAGACTCATAGCATTTTATTAGTTTATTGAATAATTTGTTTTAATTAGGCTAAACTGAGATGCTTCTCATTTTATATTGGAAATTTTTTTAAATTTTAGGACAATCAAAGACGTACGGCCATAAGAGTGTAGGTGGAAATTTAATTTAAAACTGTTTTTTACTATTGGGCATAACCTGAGACTCATAGCATTTTATTAGTTTATTAAATAATTTTTTTTAATTAGGCTAAACTGAGATGCTTCTCATTTTATTTTGGAAATTTTTTAAAATGTTTGGACAATCAAAGACGTACGGCCATAAGAGTGTAGGTGGAAATTTAATTTAAAACTGTTTTTCATTTTTAGGCATAAACCTGAGATTCATAGCATTTATCTGTTTATAAGAAAATTTTTTTTAATTGGGCTAAACTGAGATGCTCGCCATTTTATTTTTAAACTTTTTTAAATTTGGGCATAACCTGAGATTAGCAGCATTTTAAGAATGTAGCTGCAAATTCAATTTCAAACTGTTTTTTATGTTGGGCATAACCTGAGATTCACAACATTTTATTAGTTTATTAAAGATTTTTATTAATTGGGCTAACCTGAGATGGTCATCATTTTATGTTTGAACTGTTTTTTATGTTGGGCATAACCTGAGATTCACAACATTTTATTAGTTTATTAAAGATTTTTATTAATTGGGCTAACCTGAGATGCTTATCATTTTATGTTTGAACTGTTCTTTTTTATTTTGGGCATAACCTGAGATTCACAGCATTTTAAAAATGCAGCTGGAAATTCAATTTTGAAATGTTTTTTATGTTGGATATCACCTGAGATTAATAACATTAAGAATATACCTGGAAATTAAATTTTTAACTTTTTTTATGTAGGGCATAACCTGAGATACTCGCCATTTTATTTTTAAACTTTTTTTAAATTTAGGCATAACCTGAGATTTACAGCATTTTAAGAATGTAGCTAGATATTCAGTTTTAAACTGTTTTTAATGTTGGGCATAACCTGAGATTCACAACATTTTATTAGTTAATAAGAACATTTTTTAAATAATTTAAAAAAGTTAAAAAAGATTTAAAGACAGTAGAAGGTAAAAAAGAAGGTAAAAATAAGAAGTTAAGATGGACAAGTTAATATGGCTGATGATGCACTTATCAAAGAGTTAGCTCCATAGATGAAGCTAGGACATGTTAGTTTAAGGATTCAATGGAATCTAATGTGAGCTAATTTTTAAGTTTATAATTTTAATTGCATTTTATATGTAATGACTCTTTTGGAATCTGCTTGTGAGCTAAAGTTTATGTTTCAATACAAAATTAATGTAATGATTCATTTGAAATTTTCTGTGAGCTATACTTTAAAATTTAACAATAAAATCAATGTGCAAATAATAGTCATATAGAATTATTATTGCTACAGAGAGGTCTCGTAGATTCAAAACTGATTTATGTGAAATAGAAGTAGTTTAAATTTATCCTAGCAGGTTAAAACTAGTTTTTGGCTACAGAGAGGTCTCGTAGATTCGAAATTGATTTAATCTCGTTTAAACGAAAATTTATGTTTAGTCCTATAGTCTTATACTAGTTTTTTGCTACAGAGAGGTCTCGTAGATTCGAAATTGATTTAATTTTATTTAAACAAAAATTTATGTTTAGTTTTACAGCGTAAGACTAGTTTTACTACAGAGAGGTCTCGTAGATTCAAAATTGATGTAATCTCTTTAAACAATTTTTAATCAATTTATCAATTAATGTTTAGTCTTATAGTGTAAGATCAGCTTTTTGCTAAGGTCTTGTAAATTTAACATTGATATCATTAATTTTAATTTATGATTATTTGCCGTTTATGAGACTTTTTTCACGTAAATCAAAACATAGACATATAATACATGTAGTACTTTAAAATTTAATATTTAAGTTAACACAAATGCAGTGAGATTGTAAGCTGTAATTGTAGTTAATTCAAGATGAGCATGCAGACTTTCTTACGTTTAAATAGTTGCTGACCATGAGACAACTGAATTTAAAATTTAATACTGCGAAAATAATTCCAATTTGATATAAAATAAAAATAACTGATTGAACAGTGACGACGAAGATCAACAATTACCAACATGTCATGAATAGTTATCATGTCACACCTCATACAGAACTGCAGATATTTTAGATAAAGTACCACCAATCTGTAAGGAATAATCATTATATATTAAATTTTGATACAAAAGTATTCAATAGAATAACATTTTAAAGTGGAGGAATCACATTGTTAGAAAGGTATATTAAACTAAAATATTTTATGAAAGTAATATAACGTGAATAAAAAAGAAAAATGTAATACATAAACCATGTTTTATCCATTAATATAATTAAATAAAATAAAGTATAGAAACAACTTTGGTTACAATTATAAAAAAATTTTGAAACTAAACATACCTTTAATTAGGAGATATTTCAGAAACTACTGCGTGGAGGAACGCGTGCTCAGCGAGGTTAGCAAGAGATTTACAAAAACGGCAGAATCTACGGGAATAAAAAATAATAGTAAATATCTGAAGCATCTCAGACAGCTCTATAAACACATGAATTGAAGAAGTGGCTATAAACAAAGATATTACAAAAACTATTACAAAAAAATATGAAGACTAAATTATCTTTAAATAATTACTCCAATTTAATCTGAAAAAATACCAAAATAACCCTACCCATTATTGGACTGGGATCAATTTGGTTAAATAAATGAAATAGTAAATTTGAAAAAAAAGCGTTCAGCACTTGGAATCTTTTGGTAATCAAAAAATAACCGAGGCTTATCAAAATACATTTTGTTCATTTCACTAAATACAATTCTTAAATATAGTTTAATTACCATACAAAAAAAATGCAATATGAGCACAGAGAAAAACAAACATAAATTATAACGGATAAAGATTATTAGCAACACCTTGTAGAAAGTGTTTTTTGAATAACGTGCTCGTGAGGTTAGTGAAGAAAGTTCGAGATACCGCGTGGAAAGCAAGAGTACGACGCCATTGCCAAGCGGATTTTTTTTATGTCCGGTCAAAATCACAAAAGCGGAATGTATTCAGATAGTCAGTAATTCAATCAAAAGTAAAAATTGTTTACTAGAAAATACAATAGAGTTATAAATGTCCTACTTCTTTTCCATGCCTCAAACAACGGCCATAGCCGGAAGACATCTACGTCCATCTCGCCGCGAAACCCATAACTGGAATGAATGAGAAACATTTTAAAACCGACGTACTGACTGTGGAGTGTGGTCGGACGACCAATTCGCTGTGAGCATGTAGAGAGAGGGGATAGCAGCGCTGGCGTCAATCTCAACATTGGTTCTTATGGGAATTTCCAACTTTTACGCTGACGGCGGCCACGGAACTAATTTCTTCCCATAAGATTTAACATGACTTTTCCAGCTTTTTGAGGGGGCCACCAAACTTGCTCATTGTGAATGGGTAGAATAGGACACATACTCACTCTACTTACGTTATGCAGAATGCGCGCCAACGCTTAGAAGCCGCCTATACTAACATGGCGATGTGCGTACATTTTTTTCATTGGCCCTTGTACGTCGGATAAGTTTGATCAAAGGATCAATAATCGTTTGTTTTTAACGTATATGTTTAAACTTGTCGCTTTGTTGTGAACGAAGCTGCATATCGGTATACTATTTTAAGTTTAAAGAATTTTCTCTACAATCTGTCTGTACCTTTCCCTTTTCCAACATTCCAGACAATTAGTCAAAGGACTTTTAGATATTTGCGTCAGATACCTGACAATGTTCTTGAAAAACTGGAAAAATTACTAGGGGTTGTATATAAATCATTGTTATTCATTTGAAATGACAGTACGTTGTTTCAAAGTACATACGTCAGAGGTAAGAAATGAAAACCACTTTGACCTATGTTAGGGCACCCTACTAAGTGAAGGTCGCACGCCTGCCTTTTTTTTAATTGCAAATTTGAAGTCTATTACGTTATTTGTTTATGTTTGTCAATGTATATCCCGATTCGATTTTTATTCTTTTATCGAAAACAAAATTTTGTTGTTTGCACAATACGAACTTGTATTTTTAATTTAGTCTTTCTAAAATATAACATTTCGAATTTGATTTTTGAATTTTTTATTAAATAAATTGTTTGCGAAAAACAGAAAACCAAATGAGCAAAACACATCTTAATCATAGCAACTGGATTCCATACGGAAATCTGTATGTTATGCCAGACAGCCGTATGGATCCGTAGGGACATCCGTACATGTATGGAACAAGATAGCGGCCAGATAAAAGAAGATAATTTTTAACACGGCTGCCATACGAATTCCGGTCGGATAGAAACTTTCACTGGATCGTGTCATAGCTCAACAAGTTTTATCATCAGAAGACTCAAAGAGTTCAACTTATCAGTAATGTAGTCTCACGTTTCAGAAACGTAAGCTAACCAGCTCAGAAAAAAACTACAGTCGTTACAGTTTCTAGTAAGGAAATGCACTCGGAAACGAAAGCTATATTTACTTCAAATACTTACTTTGCAGAAAAATTATTAATATCATGTAGAACGTCGGTGATACTACGTTCTTTGAAACGTCGATTTTTCCCTCTAAATCGTTTAAAAATTTTTACACAAGATTGTTACTTTATTGAAAAAAATATATAACTTAAAGGAAATAACTAATTTTTGTAATTGGAAAAATGAAACTATCCGCATTGAATTTTCTTGATCTACTTGATTAATGCATTATTTTGATAAGATTCATGTGCTATATGTTTCAAATAAACTCCACAATGTGTTTGTTATTATTTGACAAGTTCTAGTTACTCACAAGTTTTCACTTTAAAATTTTCACAAGATATACTTAAAGCGATAACATTGCTACATATATATCGTATCACCTGAAATCTAATTTACGAAGCAACAAGAGCCTTCATTCTTACAATGAGGCATGTTAGAGCTTGTAAGAAGGCCCGACTCATATTATGTATATATATAACTCGAAACATGCACGGGTCGTCTATGACTCGTTAAAACAACCAGCTTTCGTTTGAGTGGAAAAAGAGGAGAAAAAGATTACATTCATGTGTGCGAGGGGCTCGAACGACCTGGAACCAATGGGCTCACTCGGTTTCTCTACTTCTACTATTCAGGCCAAAAGAGCCGGCTTGTCGCTTCCTTCCCCTCTTTTTCCCACTCTTCCACTCATGCCACGCGAACTTCATTCGAACTTACGTGCGCGTGATAGATACACCTGGATTGAATTTTTTATTTATATATTTCTTCCGAAATTCAGTGAGTGAATTGACGAGATGTTTTTTTCAAATAACGCGCTAGTATAGACAGTACATGAATCGTAGAACGAGCGCGCGCACAAGACAGTGAAAAGGGCGAAAATCGATAACGTTACGTTACAAGCTGAGAGAGAGAGAGAGAGAGAGAGAGAGAGAGAGAGAGAGATAGATAGAGAGAGGGGAGGAGTCTAGAGGGTACAGTTGTGTAGTAGTGCGGCAAATATATACACAGAGTCTACGTCTACCGCGGTAGCATTCACGCCTTTTCTCGTATACGCATACAATCAAAAGCTATACGTAGATACAGTCTCTTCTCAGTATTGTCTCGGCAAAGAAGCCGAACTTGTATACGTATACGTATAGAGGAAAGTGGCAGCCATAGCAGCCTGGTACATTTGGAGAGTCGAGGCTCAAGACCTGCCACTGCTAGCGCACACAAGCGTACACATCCCCCACTTACCTCGACTGAGAGAGAGAGAGAGAGAGAGAGAGAGCGAGAGAGGGGGAGGGGAGAGAACTTACAATACAGAATATCCCGCAGAGAGCCAGAGCGCGAGAGCGAACGAACGAACAAGCGGACGCGCGCGCGGCAGTGGCGGTGTTTTAGAAGCTCGTCGTTGACGTTCGCGAGTGGCCGTGTGTTACATCGGGCTTACGTATATAAAGTTGTTAGCAACCGAAAGAGGACAACATTTGCTGCTTTGCACTCTGTCCTCGCGCACCCACAAAAAAGCGACACAGAAGGGCGTCATAGGATTTTTCCCACATATTTTTCATTTGAACGTGACATTTTGTTAGCAATTGGGAATGGCATTCCTGAGGAGGCTGCCCCAGGCCGCCAAGCAGGCGGTGCGCGAGCGTACGAGCACCGCCACCGTCACGTCTACGGCCAGCACGCAGCAGCGCACCGAGGTGAGGCCAACCCAGGTCCAACAGCAGCTGATCAAGAGGCAAATTGATCCCTTGGACCTCAAGTTTAACGATCCCGTGGCCTCTTTCAAGAGCAAGACGATGACCGAGCTCGTTAGAGCCTACTTCGTCTACCAACTTTGCTCCATCGAGTTCCTCGTCGAAAACAATATGAAGGTAAAAATCCTGTTTATGTCACTAGTCGTCACGCAAATTCGTGGCATCGCAGTAGTTGGCGTGCCGCTTTTTTCGTGAGCGAGGCAGAAAAAAAGAAAACGAGTAGGCCAATAAAATATCGTCGAAGCGCCGAAACTTATTGACGTATCATCGCATTCCGTCTCGTGCGTTATTCCAAAGGGAGCTCTAGGAATCATCACAAGAATAAACGACACCGGTCGCGTGCTCATTCTCGCTGCACCTGCCAGAAATGACATTCACTTTACCGCGCGCGCGCTACGGAACGTTCTAGTTTTATTTCTCTCTCTCTCCCCCTCGCGGCAGAAAAATAATTGGCCACCTCGTGGTGGAGTAGTGTGCGTCGCGAGGATCTCTCGACACGTGCGTATATGCTCGAGCGCAGCAGCAGCAGCCATGCGCGTCTGCTCTACCGCGCAGCTGTCTTTTTTCGGAGACCCCTGCCCGAGCGATGTTGTTAGCAAGGCCTTCGTTCTTGTTCGATTCTTGTCGCGCGAACAGACGGCTGAGATATATTGCTGGTTACGACGATTTAGTCTTACAGCGAGAGAATCAATTTTTTTCGAAAGGGTCTTATTTCAGCGTCGCTAGGTACTTACTTTCGTTCGCACTTCATAAACTCGGCTTTTTGGGAATGATTACTTTGTCGATAACACATTTTGACTAAGTTACCAATGAAGTCAACGCGATGTTTTCCGGGACTCGGTAGGCATTTGATTGCGCTAATTAAAGAGGTAAATGTTTTACGCTGGCTCAAACAGCCAAAATCGTTTTGTTCATGTGCCAATTAGACAAAATTTCTGTACGAAGTAAAGAAAAATTCCGTGGCAAATGATAATCATAAATGGCAAATGAAGCGGTTTCATAAAATTAACAAATTTAATTCAATTAATGTCCGCACGAAAGAAAACTAACTAATAATTGATAATTTTATATCAATGTAAATAATAATTCTTTATTCGATCGAAATTGTACATTATGATGCAATTGAAGTCAGTTACGAAAATATAATTGTATTTCGTGTACTTGTATGGGGCCCCTAGCTTTACGGGAAAGAAAGATCCAAAAATAGCTAAAAATTTAAAGGTAAATTTCAAATTTAGAGTCCATCGGGATGAGTACTTGGAAAGATATTTCACAGTTGCCAAAAAACGTTGCTTTTTTTTCAAACATTTAAAAATACGTATAACATTTGACATTCGGACATTCAGTCTGAGGCGGTCAAATTGAAATTTTTATAAAATGCAAGTTGATGCAGTTTGAGTTAAAAATTTTTTAAAATAGTTGATATAGAAATATTGTTTGTTTGAAGAATAAACAACAATTTTGGCTCACTGAATTTTTTAAAATGTTTCTTAATGTGCTCACTAGACTGTTGTTTAATAATTGTGTATTTTTTAAATATTTTGTTGTCATATTGGAGTTTGTAAATCTAATTGTGTAAACAAAAATATGTTTATCTCATAAGAAGTTATTTAAATTTATTAGAATATTCAAATGAAGATGTAAATATTTTTTAACTAGTTATTGTCTAAAGAAAATTCACAGAGAAAGTAGTTCACATTTCCAGACATAAAATGACATTCAATGAACCGATCAGAGTTTGTATTCCGTACAGCTACATCAAAAAGAAAAAATTAAATGAACTTCGAAAAGGAGGTATATTTTACGTAAATAGCTTATACAAAAATATCTCGAAATTGATTGAAAAAAAATAACGCAAAAATTAAATATTGGACCTGTTTTTGAAAATTGCATTTTCCATGTCATATAAAAAATACGATCCGACACATGTTCGAGAATGAATTTCTTGTCTCGTGTGCCTCTTTACCTTCGTTTCGCTTGGACACAAATGTCACACGAGACAAGAATCTTCTTTCCTGCACTTGTATCGTAATGTACTATTCTCGTACTAGTTTGATAATGTATTAAATTTTCTAAAGTATCTTAGTGTATCACGCTAACGGCATTGAAACATCAGCATGTCGTAACTGTAGTAGAACGACTTGATTTCCGTCATCACCATCATTATTGTTGTTTAACCGTCGCGTGTATGTTTGTGCAGCCGGCGAAATCGTGGATACGACTCACTGGTCAGTGAACTTCGCCTATAAAACTGTTCAGAGGATTTGCCACATATAATCTCAGCTGAAACAACAAAGAAAAAGATACCATAAACTTTCGTGGATCGATAATTATTCCATTGATCCCGAAAGCATACTTATTCAAGTGATTTTATTATTGACAGCAGATTGACATGGAAATTTACAGTATATCTTGTCTATTTCTGTCAATGTCAAAGTCATATGCTCTTCACGGTTAAAAATAGAGCTAAATTAAAAAAAATAATCGTCATGTCCACCACGTGTTGTGCAAACATCAAATTAAATAAATCCCCTAAAAAATTATGTTCGTTTTTTGCCTTAAGAAAGCAGATACACACAATAAATTGTCTGGTCAAATTAGGCGAGAGCTTGCGAAATAGGCGCATTTGGCAGGAAACGCGAGCTGCACAGAGCTTTTAGTGTCACACCAGCGGCTCATCCTCACGAAAAGACACATAGAAGACATTATTTTCGTTATAAACCGGACACCGACACGCGAAACTCAACTTGCAAGCTCACGCACTCATTTATTACTACTTTTTTTGTAACGATCGAGCTCCTCCTCGTTATGTCGTTTTCTAGAACTTGCCAAGTGCCTTATTAGCGAGATTAATCAAATATTTCGTATTGTTAAAAAATGTATTCGTGGTAATGAACACACTAATGCACATTGTAAAATTAATTGTTGCTTAAAAAAAGTTTCGTGTAGGCGTCCGATTACCGAGCTATAAAGTAGATTTGAATCACGCGACTGGTTTCTTTTCTGTTGTATTATTTGAGTAACCGCATCGACCTGGTTTCACAGTGAACTTGTATGCGCGTAAAAACTGTCTTCATGGGCAAGATTTTCACTGCGCGCAAATTAGCTTTCAAAAGCCTTTCTCTTTCTCAGCTTGCACGCAAATTTCATAGTCTTTGAAATTGAACCGAAGATAACGTAGCGTTTCGAGACACGGTCCGAAACGATCGCAAAGCGTTATAGATTGTAATGCGAGCGCATATTTCTTGCTATACTGTCTGTATAACGAAATTTGATGACTTGCATTGCTATGTCGAAGCATAATGTGCGGTCGGTCCATTTTTTAAATTTCATATGTCGCTTGTAACCAAACAATTGTGTTTCAAAGCGAGTGTGAAAATTTCATTGAACCAATAAAAGTAACTCTCGTTGCAAGGTTTCCGATGTATAACGTGTTTCATGTACACGTCGGGCAATTATGGATTCGCGTAGTTATTCCAACGGAGCACAATCTGCGTCTTACATTCCAAACAGACAAGGACTCAGTGTGCAATTTCATTTTCAATGTAAAAAAAAAACAGTTCATTAATTTTTTTTTCCTACTTCTATTACTTATTGTAAATTTGTTGACTTCGCAAACAGTATTTAATTTCATAAACAAATCATTTTCAATGACGTTACGTTTTCATAGCAATCACGACTAAAAGACCGCCGGCTGACGTACCATTACACGAAATTATGTCAATTACAAAATTGACGTTCGACACGATTTAGCGTTTAAATAAGTTCAAGTTCAGTGTATAGTATAATCATTATAGCTAATAAAATCAGCGTAGGAAGCATTTCACGCGCACTTCCTCCAAACACGAACTAATTTGTTGCGGAAATCTAATCAGCGTTTGCATCTTCTTTTTTTTTACACATCCTCCTGCAGCGCAGATTGCACGCAATCAAGTGTCTGGTCCAGCTTGTGAATCACGTGGTCTAGCTAGGGTCATTGGCTGTAAAGACCTTTTCTCCTTTAGATCGATCGTCTACTCGTGATGCGAGTTGTATGTGTCCACGTGCTGCTTTGCGCGACAAATTGGAATCGCTATTTTTGCCACGCGAGGATGTATGTGAGATTTACGCAGTCGACAATGTTATTGTCATCTCTTAATCAACGTGTATTTCGTTGGTTTATATTGCGTTGGATATTTCGTGGACGTACAATAAAAATCAACACCGTCGCAACATGTTGAAATAATAAAAACAACAATTTGCCTTGCGTTAGACGTATTTCCCGGATCAATACATACTGTTCGTTGTAAACATGAAGTCGGTAATAAAACAAACGATTACGCGAAGCACTGGATATTAATCACATTCTAGCTTCACTGAATGCCGTAAAGCAATTCCGAATCAAAGTCAAGCGCTTGAATCAAGTGTCCCGGATGCGATAAACAATCTATTGTCCGTCTGAGTCTGTCTACAACTTTCACCCCAACTCGATGGATCAGAGTGTGGGTCCAAGGCCGTCTGTTTGTCTGACGCCATGTCGGACGCCGAAAATCGCGCGCTTGTAATTCCGTTCCTTCGAACTCTGAGCTCGCACGAGTGGAACTCTCGTGATGATTACATAGGAGAGGGTCATGCAAATTGTTCAAGGTCACTGTTTCTCCCCTTCTTGTATGGTCAGACAGTCCATAATTTTTCCCGGAACACCTGTCTTTAAAGTACGAGCTCAATTCGATAACGACGCGCTTCATAAATTATCGGAAAGACATCGAGATGAACTTATCGCGAGTGATTTGTCATGTTGTCGAGGAAACATTTATATTAATTAGTCGTTATCGATATACTTTTACATCGACCAGACAGACTTGCAGACGTGCAATAAGCGTGTCATAAACTTGCGATTAACGAAGCGAAGCGCCGATTTCTTGCGAAAGCCCGAGCGTTCAAAGGTTCGTGATGTCTGCGTGCTACTTGGAGGGTCGCGTGCGAGGAAAGTATTGCTCACGCGCATGTAGAAGGTCGGCCGTTCGCATCATGTGAACGTTTCCAATGGACTTTACAGTATCATATCGTCTTTTAGCGTCGTGTAACATTTCGTCTGCAATTCTTTTTTTTGCTAACGTGTCTGCAACTCTCCTTTGGGTCGTGATAGGTTTATCAGTCGAGGGCGGCCACTGTTCTCGGGAGGTGAACACGTCTTGTTCTGATGTAATTGTTTGTCTGAAAATTTTTTTATTTACTAATTTTTTCCCTGATATTTCGTTTATCGCAGTCTAGACGTGGAATTCTCTTAAGGTATTACTCATATTAATGAAGCTTTTGCAATGTGTCTGTACTTTTTTCCTTCCGAAGAAGGTCGCGACATTCTTGCTTATCGGTTACGGCCAACGTCCATACCGTGGCGGAGTTATATAATAACGGGTGTGCTCTCTCAAAGGTACGCTTTCGTCGTGTCTACAATCGGATCATTTGAATTTTTCCCAACGTCTGTTTCTGAAGTTAAGTTTTCCAACGTTTGCGAATCTGTCTAGACGAATATTATTTGCAATATTAATTTTTATGTTAAATACGACGGTTTTCCCATTCACGTTAACTTATATTTAAAGAAATTTACTACAATCTGCATTGACGTACAAATGCAAATGAAAATTGATTCTCTGAAACTTTAAACGAAGTTTTTTCCATGTGCGTAGAATTATATTGAAAGATTAACTGATTTTACTGCAATAGACATTGATTCGTTTTTGCAAGTGAATTATCAGTTTCGATTTTTGCCTAAAAACTTCCTTTTTAAACATTAAACGATAAATTAATTCTTTTCGTTTTTATTCAAACTTACGGTATTTATAGTGATTGATACTTGGCACTCCGTACAATCATGATTTTAGAGCGAAAGTATTGTAATAATTTTTAAATGACGCATACTGGGCAACAAATCATTAAAAGAAATTACAATATTCAATTTTACTATTCCCCTATTTACGGAGTTTTTATGAAAATAATTATATATAAATGTTACTTGATGTAATAAAGTTTTTTTAGATTATTCGACACTCATTCAGAATTATATTCTCACGCAACGTGCGATTGCTACAATGTACAATAAAATAAAAAATGGTTAAATTCAACGAATTTTTTCATAATTTATACCATTGACTACTAAAAATGTAGATTTGCTGAGATAAAAATAGTTAATTTGCACCGATGTTACGAAAAATAGATATTTGACAGTACAATTAATTTTTCTATTCTCAAGCACGTACATATGTTTTGATTTCTACATTATAATCGTAAATAAAACTTATCACGGTTATTAACGATATCTTGGAGGGATTCCGATGAAAGAGAAATGATTCATTCTTTCTATATATCATACGTACTATAATACATACACTGTTTCTTTTCTCATTTATCACTTCTATACGCACGGGTGCCGTTAAGATATCTGTGTAAATTTACCTTTGACAAACACTATTAACAATTTATGTACCTTGGGCGAGCTTAGTGCCAGTACAACATGCGGAGGACGTTTGTGGTGCGGGACAGTACATACTGCAAACATCCTCTCCACACCGTACTGGCTTTTGGCCCGGCCATAGCGCTTAAAAAGGCTAGTATGGGTTGACATGTCAAATGTGCATGATGCATTATACAAGACTATGTCGATTCAGATGTAGTGTTATTCTATGCATCTCGCGTTGTACTGCTTTTTCCAGTCGTAATTTTGTAATTAACCATAAATAGTGAAATTATTTAAAAATCATTATTTAAGTGTTTAAAAATTTATAAAATATAAATATATTTATGTAACACTAAATGTTTGTGTTTGTGTATTGTAAAATTAATTTTAAAAAAACTAGTAAATTTGTGCGCAGTTACGTCGTATACCGTCTATATATCGATTGAGTCTCACCTACATGTAACTCGAATACGTCTTCGCCGAGATTGTAAAATTTTTCAAAGGTCATGGCCGAATTAAGCGCCAATATAGTACGCGAAAGATGTTGATATAGCTCGTTTTGCTCGCTGCCTCGACCTTATACTATGCCGCGCTGCGAACGTCTTCCCTCGCCCAAAAAACATAAATAATTAATAGAAGTTTATGCAATCGGAGGCAGTGAAAGAGATTTCTGTACAGTCTGGAATTTCAGGAGCTCCTCGCGCGTGTATACCATCTATTTACCGATTAAGCGTCCTCTGCACCAGTTAATTCGACTATAGAAGTGTATCGTGCCCGTACCGTGACTCAATGTTTCGTATACAGCAATATGATCCAATAAATGTTAACCAATAAGATAACAATTAAGAAATTATTTTTTGCTTTAAACACTCAAGTGCTCGATCTCCCACAGCCAATCGTAAATCGTAAATTGAAAATCGAATAACGACCTATTTAATGTGGCCTCCCCAAGAACCTCAATGTGGTTACACCCTAAGTTTTAGCTCTTTTTTGAAAATGGATCTAAGCTTTAGCTCTCTTTTAAAAATGGATTTAATTTAATACTTAGGCTCCAAATATTTCTATACAGCTGGAAAGACAGTTGGGGGTCTAGGCAGCCCAGAGGAGTTTCACTCGAATACCTTCGTTTACGTTAAAATCAGATTTACTTTCAAACCTGCCTTCAATGTCAATAAGAGTTTACGGATAAACGCAAAGTACGTCTGCAGTGTGTTGTTGATCTAATTACTGGTTGTAATAATTTTTATGTGCAACTAGTAAAAAAAGTTCAGATCAAGAAAGTAAAAAAAAAACTGCAGTCGAAAAAATTCACTTACCTTCAAACAACTCAAGGTTGAGCTATCAATAATGTGCATTATAGATTGAAAAATCCTCGGGTCGTCTCAATCTGAATAAAATGAGGCGAATAATGCTGTCTACTATACTTCTTCTGATACTTGTGTCGTTGAACTTGCCAACGATCGAACGTTCGAAATGTGCGTGTAAAATACACGCGTGAGAGATTTTTCTGGGCACAAAGAGCGAATGTCGAGCGTCGCTTTGTTATTTGTCAGATAATGAGAAACGGCGCCAAGCGACCAACAGGTTGTGTTATGTTTGTCAACGCTGCGTTATTTTTATTTGGCATTTATTGCTGTTACCGCATTCGTTCAAAACCTAAAATTGTATTTGAAAATTAATCAATTTATAAATAAATGAACGGACTGCATGTACGCATCGAGTCGTGGCACGTTTGCCAAAGTTACCGTGCTGAGGACCTACAAACCTATCGGAGAGAGTGGCCCAAAACCATCTTTGGCGCAGAAACAGCGGGCAGTAAAGTGATGAATAGCTTCCACAGCGTAAACAACCTGGGGATAACTTTTCCTTGAAGCACTAATCTTCGTGCCCAGCGGTTTACTCGATCTTTCCGGAATCCGCATCCCGGTCCTTTGGAATATTTGTCAAAGAAATTTTCGGACATGCAAGTAAACACAATGGATTTCACAGCAAGGAGCAGATTTGGTGTACCGCCCTGCAACGTGAAAAAGCCGCGTCGGATCCCTCGGCGTCTAAAATCTCGCCGGGTCAGCGTCTCTCTCCTCCACCTTCTCAGAATATTAGCCGTCGCGAAACGTTAGCCTCGTCGCGCGTTATATTTATCTAACCTGTTTTCAACTACGTGCGCTTGCCTTTTTCACCAAGTCCTCGGCCGCTGCACACATCGTCATGTTAATACTGCACAACTTGACTTTACAAAAAATCTCTGACATTTTGCGAAGTGGCTTTGTTTATTTATAAGTAGCTTTGTTTATTTATAAGCTGACTTGCGCAAATGAACGGGCCACTTGGTTCTTGCCGACTGACGAACAAATTGTGAACTTTCAGTTTGAAAACCATAGTGGGCTTTTCTGCCTATAATCTCGGGGAGGTTGTTGCAATATTCATTTGTAAAAATGATCCGACGTTTGTTGGATAGTCAATTTCATCTTGAAACGACTTGATAGTTAGGATTATTAATCGACGAACAATGAATTTAGAAAGCCCTGCAATAACGAAATTTCAAAGGCAAACAAGCATTGTTTGAAAAAGTCTAATACATTCCAACGAGCGTTACGTAACAAAGCGGATCACCCGCATTTGTTTTACAATCAAAATCACGTGCTGCAACGCAGGCGGTAAACAATAAAGAAAAAACAGGATGCGATAGCGTATATCAATATTGAAAAAATATAGCTAATGCAACAAGGAATGTGCGCAAAAGAAAATGCACGAAGAACGCGGGAAACCGTCACAGAAAAGCGAGAGTTGAGCGACACTGCGCGCCTCTCTCGTGAAAATCGGATCTGACCTAGAGCGTTGTAGAATTTCGCTCTCTCGGTTGTGCGGCAACCCTTGGCATTCGGCTTGTAAACTCGAAAGCTTTTTATATGCCGCGTCCCCACTGTACATCATATAGACTGCGCCTGTTCGCGCTCGCGCGTGCACACGCGACTGCGCTTTCGTTGTATTTTAGGCGCGTCGAGAGCTCTTGGACTTATTATTAGGCGGACAAACGGTGCTTTTCGAAGGTTAAATGTATATGCGCAACGTCGCCGCGTTCAATTTACGACTCAAAGACGAGTCGTCGCCCGCACGGGGGATCTCGAAAGCACCACGTGCACGGGCATGGCTAGGTATAGCGATGCCGCCGCCACTGCGCCCGTCGATGCATTTGTCGGCTCACAATCTTTTTCAGGCTTTGACCATTTCAAGTCTATCGAGATTTGAGATTTAGCTATGTTCTGCCTACGTATAACGTATCTCTATTTAGACTAGCCGCGAACGGCGTGTTTCAAGCGAGAATTTCAGATAAAAACCACAATTCTTCTAATTCTAATTCGTTGTTTTCCCTTTATTTTGCAGTTGATGAAAGTCTGTCAAAGTATCATGGGAGAGAAGCTTTTCGCGTACATGATGAAGTCAACATTTTACGGCCACTTCGTTGCTGGAGAAGACGAAAATGAAATCGCCCCTGTTCTCGATCGATTGCGACAATTTGGTGTCAAGCCGATTCTCGATTACTCAGTAGAAGAGGACATTTCACAAGAAGAAGCCGAACGACGAGAAGTCTCGTTAGTACAATTATAAAAAATCATCTAACATTTTTTTCGAGTTTCAACTTACATCGTATTATTCTATGTTTGATTTGTAGAGCTTCAGTCTCCGAAGCAGGCGATGACAAGAACTCGGGTACGATAAAGAAATATCACGTGGAAAAATCTTTTGCTGATAGACGGTACAAAGTGTCGTCTGCAAGAACGTATTTTTATCTGAATGAAGCAAATTGCGAGCGGAATATGGACATTTTTAACAGGTGCCTCGAATCCGTAGCAAGTAATTGACTTCTCCTTTTTCCGTTATTGCGTAACAATGTTTTGAATCAGAAACAGTAACGGACATCATATTTTTCCAGACCAGTCGCACGGAACGGGTATCACTGCGATCAAATTGACAGCGCTTGGAAGGCCGCAGCTTTTGGTATGTATCAAATTTACTTGATCGTCAAAAGATAAAATCTAACTATCGTATTTGATCAATAATCAAAATATTATAAATGAAGATTTGAAGCTTATCAAGCTCACGTGTTTTTTCTTCTTTATCAGCTTCAATTGTCAGAAGTGATTATGCGAGCTCGACAGTACGTTAATGATGTAGTTGGCGGTGAGGGCGCAGTATTGGCACATCACGCTAAACCCGAACTTTTTGAAAAAAAATTCGAGGAGGCGCATATTCGTGATGAGGCTCCTGTGAAGAAATTCTTGGAAAAGATTCAAGCCGACGAAGAAGGGTACGCAAAAATAGCAACTTTTTAGTCATTATTTTTTCGCGAAAATTTCTTTTTCAATACTCTGCCGCTTTTTCGTTAGAATGAGAAAGAATAAATTGTAATTGAATGGATTCAAGTTAGTTAAAAACAGCTCGCTCAGTTGATTGCGCTAACTGATTATATTTTTTATGATTACATGGATGCTGTCTTCGGATATGCAGAAAGTAAGAGAACAATTCAAATAATGCAATCTCCTATTTTTTTTACTGTACTGTCCGTTTTCTTTAGCATTTTTACTTAAGTGTACAGCTTCTTTCCAAAACTCGCATATTGATTGAGGGATTTTTATGATGGAGATCGTTTTGTGTTCAGCTTTACCACAGTGGAAAATTTTGTAATTTTTCATATGCATTTGTCGCTATAATAGAAAGCATATATAGTATTATTTAATTAGTTGCTATTCCCCTATTGACAGTTTAGTTTTTAATAGAATTTGCTAATTACAGGAAAAAACTATTTTGAATGATAATGTTGATTGATAATGCCATCCGCCAACGGTTAGCAAATTAGTCATATACAAGTATACAAAAATACTTTCCAACGACACATGCATTTTATTCAAATTCACTCGACTATTTATTTTCTTATTTCCAGATTGTTTGTGATATATTTTAATCTTTAATCGATTACTTTTGTTTAGTGTAATCCACTTGTTCCCATGGAGTGGAATTTTGGATGAGAATTACGAGTTGAGTAAGACATTCATGGTACCGGACATCAAGACTGGCAAAATGGTGAATCTGATGAGCCAACTGACCCGAAGAGAAGAAGAAATGTTTCGAAACATGATTAGAAGACTCAATAGCATAGTATCGGTAAATCACACACTAAAAACTGTCAATTGCTTTAATCTATCCATGTTATACAAAAATTGATATGTACGATGAATATATATAAAAATTATAGAATGCAATTAACATTAGAATATTACCATTTGTTTAGGTGGCTGATAAGTTGAACGTGCGTATAATGATCGACGCGGAGCAGACGTATTTCCAGCCGGCGATCTCCCGTTTGACACTGGAGATGATGCGCAAGTACAATACAAAAAGGGTAATAACTCGGTGTCCATAGGAATAGTTCCTTCAGATGTGTATATTTACAGAGGTTATTCGTGAATGAACGCTCTCAAATCTCAATGTGTGGTCTCACCCCCTCATAGGCCGTGGTGTTCAACACGTACCAGACTTATCTGCAGGATGCCTACACCGAAGTTAAGACCGATCTCGAGCAGGCGGAGAGACAAAACTTCTACTTTGGCGCCAAAATTGTACGAGGCGCTTATATCGAGCAGGTGAGGTCGACTGCGTTCTTTCAGGTTGCCCGTTGCATCCGTTATCCTCGTCAGATCGAACATTACATTTTCATTGCAGGTTATTTATTAATTTTCAGTGTATTTTTAACCGATCAAACATTTATATTTATCATGTTTACTCAATTTTTCCCTTAATAACATTAATCATCTAGCGAAAAATTTCATATGGGACGCATAGCAGAATAAACTTCAATCGTATGACCTCATCAGCGGATAATTCTTGTTATAATTGTTGAATAAATGTGTATATCAAAACCTTATTAAATTTAAAAATAAAACAAAGGAAAGAGCCAGAGCAGCAGCGATGGGATATTCGGATCCAACCTGCCCTACCTACGAAGCAACGACAGAGTCATATCACAGGACACTTATGGAGTGTCTGCGCCGGATGAAGCAGTACAAGGATAAAGGAGAGGATCCCAAGAAAATTGGAATTATGGTAGCTTCACACAATGAAGATACAGTACGATTCGCCATTGAAAAGTAAGCTCTAACTACCTTTTACCAAATTATCAACCGTTGAAATCTTTTTATTCAATAATATCTGATTGCAGGATGAAAGAGATTGGTATTTCGCCCGAAGACAAAGTTATCTGTTTTGGTCAATTGTTCGGCATGTGCGATTACTTGACATTCCCACTTGGTACGTACAAAATCATCTATAAGAAACATTGATTTAAAAAAACTCTTATGATTAAAGTATTTATTCATTTATAGGTCAATCTGGATACTCAGCATACAAATACATCCCATACGGACCCGTAAAAGAAGTGCTGCCGTATCTTTCTCGCCGAGCACAGGAAAATCGCGGAGTACTTAAAAAGATCAAGAAGGAAAAATCTCTACTGCTTTCCGAGATCACGAGGCGCATATTCAAGGGACAAATGTTTTATAAGCCAAAGGGCAGTTATATCCCAGTGTGAAGTGTGCACAGTTGCTTCGTTTCATCGATAATACCGTTTAAAAGAAATCGAAAATCATGCAAAGAAATATCAATTTCGCGTTACTTGAAAAAGAAAAACAAACAAGATGACGACTAGGATAAAGAAAGACTTGATGACGGAATGACTGGATTAAGTATAAAAATTTCTGCTTTTTATTGAAGCAGTTTTAAATTAGAGTCAATAGGTTTTTTTTGTTAGTCACACCCGACGTCTATGTCACGTACCGCATTGTATAGAATTTTTATCTCTACGTTTACATTTCTCCTTTTGGCATACTCACTTTGGTTTCGACTGTATAGTCGTATTTTAAATTATTTGTAAATGAAAAGTATACGTGTAGCGTTGAGCCAAGAATTCATTTTCTAATTATGGTTGAGTACTCGTTTCTGCAGTGAAAATTTTTATTGTGACAAATGGATATGACTTTTTGAGTCTAAATCAATGCTATAAGAAACTATCCAATAGATAAATTTTCGATGGACTAAAAAAACGCAGTGTGTTTTTTTAGTTCATCAGGCGTAGGTGAAAAAATATGATAGCTACTTCAGAATGTGATCAGAAAATATTATCACGAGAAGCTATCAATGATAGTAGTGATGCTGTAATTGACATGCGGGCATGATTTTCAGAAATGTTCAATATACGAACGACTATATATTTTAGACATTCGAACGGTATCGATCATCTTCACTGTGTGGTTTCAATCAATTGATAATCTAAGGCTGTATTGATAAAGAATGTGTCAATTCAAAGGCGTGCTAAAACTTTCATTGTTTTGTAAGAAAGTTTGATTTGTAACTCAGCGATGTCAAATTTTTAGTGAATAGAATCGATACTGTGCATTTGAGCATTTGACATTCGTGGCTTGTTGTAGAATCACGAATAGATATTCGAGTGCCAGTTTAATTTTTTAGACAGAAACTAATCGACCTTATGACTGTGAAACTTAACAAGTACAATGTTTTAATACAGCTAAGCTATTATTTTAGAAATATTATCGATTTTCAAGGCAGCTTGAGTTTTTACAGTGGAAAAAATCCGCCCTAGTTTCTCACACGTATTCGCTTCCTTGAAAATTTCACGAATTATAGATAACTGCTTGTAATACCACCTGAAAATAGTAAGAAAATCGAGCTTTAATAAATATACATTTTTTGTAATTTATAAAAGAAATGTCGTAATACTGATTTGAGGTAAAAACAAGCGACGATGCACCTATTTCTACTTAAAAAATTGTAAACTCTATTGATAATTTTGTGCCGTACAAACGTTTGGAAATATCATTTATGTGAAAATTTACAATCACTTTAATGAATTGAATTTTAATTGAATAAAGGGGCATTGTTAAAGTTATCCGAAATTGCCTGTCAAGTACTTATTTGAAAATTGTGTGGGAGTTGAGAGAGAATTGAATGCATCACGCAGATGTGAAGCTGCAGTTGAAATATAATATTTGTTACTATATTCACATACATTATTGTTTGTTCTATAGATTTTTTAATGAGAACAAAAGAGGAAGCCTCGCAATTGTTTCTTGTTTCAAGCGATGCTGACAATAATAGTTTACAATAAATTGTAAACTGAAATTATATACCAAAAATTCTATAAGCTAAGTTAACATAAACTTATATTAAAAAATATAAATATGTACGTAGAATTGAATGTTCATGATACTTGCTTAAATGAACTCGCCAAGTTCGATGTATCATACATTTAATTATTTTATTTGTAAATATTAAATTACTTATTGGCATGGAACGTATAAAGATAATTCTTTTTGTTCTTGCAAATTGTAAAATATAGCTAGAAGAATGAACAAAAATTTATTCATACGCAAACAAGAAAGTAATAAAGGTTGAAAACTTACCTGATATCTATGAAATAAGTAATTATCTGTGATTACTTATTTTGTAAAATGTTCGAAATATAGAAAATGCATTTGAGTTTTACTTTTATTTCCATTGAAGTGACGAGAAAGTCAAAATCAAACCTTGAACTTATCTATTTATTCTATTTTTAATTAATCAGTTATTTAAAAAATACACGCTTTGAATATTTTCTTAATGTTAGCTGAGTTTAAGAAAAACTTATCTAGGTCGAATAATTTCTATCTAAGTATAAAATAAGTGAATATTTATTATTACTTTTTTGTGAATTACAGTTAACATGTTCGACACTGTTGAACAATATTTATTTCGTCTGCTGGGACAAAAACATCTTCATTACAGTTATATATAAGCTTATAAATCTATTCGTATACATTAGAAAAGTAAAAAAATTAATTTTCAGTACTTTCCCATTTTCAAATTGAATGGCGTCAAATTCATACTGAAATGATATAGAAAAGATTTTAGAATACCAGAAAGACATTTTGCATATACTCTAACACCACATATATATCAGTACATTAATACTATCTAAAAAAATCCAAGTAATTATAGCTTTGGATAATTTCAACGGAATTGCCCCATTCGGTTTCGTATATAACTTACAAATATCAAATGATTGTATTACACTTTAAAATCACGTAACTATACAGTAAATAATTTCGTCCCAGCAGTAACGACGAACGATATAGAAATCGAGGCAAAGAAACGTATACATTCTTGTGAAATTTTACACCCTAACAATTAAAATTATTTAGCAACTATAGTACCATTTGTTTACTATTCATCGCCGAACTTACACTTTCATCGTCATTTAGCAGTGGTTGATAACGTAAAACATCAGTAAAATGTTAGTTTTATTGGTCGAATTAGAAATTAATTTCCACTAAATTTAAACAGTTCCCTTAAGCTTTTAAATGTTCTTTAGCAAATCTTTTTACCAGGATATTTTGATATGCGAACACGCTTGTTGAACTTTTGACAAATATCGAACCACAAATGTTAACATTGACGTTCGCCTTGTTGTAAAGTACATTATACGTCGTTAAAAAATAATCTTATAGTGGTTTGAAGAAGTCGATGTATTATCAAAGATGCTGTTATTTGGCAGATTTTGCAGACTTCCTATCTACGATATTTTTGGAATTTTGAATCTTTATAATTATGTACATTAAATTTATAGTAACGTCAGCTATGGCATGTTCAGGCAATCAGTACTCGTCATGTGCTGATTCAAGCTGGTAGTTATTCCATTCCATTGAAAGGTCGTAAAAAAATAATAGCCCGTATTCAAGTATTCTCAAACATCCTACTCTCTGAACGCGCTTCTATTTTCTTGTGAATTTTCTTTAAATCGCTGTGCAGGTGATTAAAAATTAATACTTCTTTTGGCAGGAAAATAGGGAATATTTCCCTTTACATTTATATTATACATTACCGGTATATAATAATAATACATAATCTTTATCATTTTTTATTTGTTTTTATTTGTTTTGTTTTATTGATTTTAATTTCAATGTTCGAATTCGACTATAGGCACAGGGATCTAAGCTGTTTTGCTCATCTTAAAGTTCATATATCTTTTGTATGTTGAATAGTTATTCGTACATTTTTTTTGGAATATTTACATGCGGCTAAAATTCGAATTTGAAAGTTTTTCAATTTTCGTTATTTTAGGCACACCAAGGAAGAGGTTTGTCTACCGTTTTGGTGCAGTAATGATTTTTTTGCAACCGAATTCGGACGAAAATAAATTTAATATGAAACCAAAACTTCGCATAGTGTAAAAATGTTAGCGAAATTCTATATTTAAATACGTAAAATTTTTTTCCTTGTTGAACTTAAATTAAAACTCCTTTACAGTGCTTCAAAACATGAAGTGTAAAATATATAAAACTTATAGCATTCCTTCGCGTTCTATAAATCATGCATAAATAAATAATCATGAAATTAAAATCATATTTACAAAGAAAAATATACAAAAATTACGATTTACTTCGCTTTTCTACGTAGCATGTTCGCATTTAGAATGATCATGTTATCGCAGCTACTAGTAGTTTTTTTTTTTGTATATTAACTGTTACGAGTACACAATCATAACATATTACACATTTATCACCAATCACAAATGTTTTTTTTGTTTACGGATGTAAACGCTATTTACGTCAGGTTTCGGCGTTCCATCCAGCTTTAAAATTCAAACTGGAAGGATAACACAGCTCTCGATCCATTTGACAGGTATAGTACAGATAAAATTTTAAGAAGATAAACAGTTCTAGAGCGTAGATTAGTTGGTGTAGATAGAAATGAATACCGTGTCCCCCGACAAATGAAATAGTCTAGCTGATCAATAAAGATTGATAAAAAATAAAAAGCAAAAAAAACGTGCTGTCTATAACTAATCTTCAATTAGATAATCGAAAATAATGCCTGAAAATGTCTGCGACCGCGGAGAGAATTATTTACTTTTATTCAAACTGGCAGGTGTTTTAATTTGGTACGAATTTTGTCGGACAAACCGCGAGTGCAGTAGTTGGAAAACCGTGGCCGCAGGTAGGTCAGGCGTCCCCGGAAAGCATTTGTCGCGAAAAACCGCCAGGGCGCGCAATTCGAAACGAAAACCACTGAAATGGGAAGCTCAGGTGGAAGTCTCAGTGGCCATGACCTCGACGGCACCGTCAGCGGCGGCGGCCAGCTTGGGCTGCTGCTGATCCTCGTTCAAGCCAAGGTTTTTCGCGTGACACACGAAAACGTTGACGTTGCCGAGGCTAAGACTAACGTGTCGTCGCGGCGTGGGGGCGCAAAGGCTGTTGGATCGGTTGCTTCGTTTCCTCCAGGAGCCGGATGGAACGAGCCTGACTCAGTCGGCGTGCGAGTTCTTCCTGCGAAGCGAGCTCTGCTGTGGCTGCTGCGGCTGCTGCTGCTGCGGCTGCTGCTGCTGCTGCTGCTGCTGCTGCTGCTGCTGCTGCTGCTGCTGCTGCTGCTGCTGCTTGAAAGAGCGACGCGGTCACAAAGGTGCGAGACTCTTGCCCCTCTTGGCGAGTCTGATCTCCAGCCAAGAGTAGGGTAGCACCGAGAGCACAAGCATCGTCGCCAGCCCGAGGACTCGCAGGCGCGTGCAGACGAGGCCGTGGAGGCCGAGGGCCAGCGCCAGTCCTAGCCAGCGCCAGAACAGCGAGCTCGCCAAGGGCCCTTGCCATGAGCTGCCGTGCAGACCCAACAGTAGCGCTGTAAACGGCACGTATTGATTTTGGCTCGCTGATGTTTCATTCGTACGCCTGCAGCCTCTGGCTGGCGTTCGTGTCCGACTTTGAGCAACGAACGAACGAACAAACGAACGAACTGAACAAAAAAAATTGCTCACTGTATATCAGAGTCTCCCAAATGGCGTTGCAAACGCCCCAGGCGGCGGATATGACGTGGAAGAGTGCTGGGTCGTCGCCCGCTGGCCTCCACGTGACCAGCACCAGTAGGAGGCAAGCGTGGAAGGCGAAACCCACGGCTGTCGGTCCAACGCATATGAGGACACACACACACGCACATCGCGTTACGTTTTCTCGGATCGTAGGTGATTCGTGGGGCGCGGAGTGGATAGAACTCACCGATGACGAAGTATCTTCTTATGTGCCTGAGCAGCATCGACAGCGTGGCGCCGGCGAGGGCCTGCAGCAGGCCCAGACTCATGAAGCTGAGCGCCACGGCGTTGGCGCCGCCCAGCGCACACACCACATAAGCCTGCGGCAGAGAGAAGCGCGGGAGTGCTCGAGGACTGGACCGGGGGGGGGGGGGGGTCGGCTCGCACGAACGAGCGACGATACGAACCTCGGTGAAGTCGGCGAATATGAAGCCCTGCTCGAGGCCGATAAACAGGGTGAGCGGCGCGGCGAGCTGCAGCTTTGGATCCTGAAAGGCGCTCTTCACGGCCTTGACCACGGCCTCGCTGCCGAGATGCTCGTTCGCGTTCTGCGGCTCCTTCATGCGAGCGTCGAGGAAGGCGCACGAGACGCCGAAAGCCAGAGTGGCCAGGCCCAGCCACACGCTCACCACCATCTTCGAGGTGTTGGCTGCCATTGTCGGCGCCAACAGACTCTCGTTGTAGAACAGCTTGTCCTCCGAGCAATATTCGGCGCCGCATCTGTTCTCCATCTCCCCTTCCGTCATCGCGGCCGGCAGCAGCAGCGACTTGTCCGTCAACTTTATCAGGATCCACGCTATCAGGCAGCCTGCGAGCAGTAGCGCGGCTATTTACCGGCTGCGCCTTCCGACTTTGCGGGCCGCGTTGCGGCTCGCCCATAAGACTCGAAACGACGGCTCGTTGCTCCTTTTTCATTTTTGACGCGAGCAAACTTTTTGTCGAGTGCACGCGACTCCTCGCGCCTCGCGTATCAGACCACCGTACGACGGACTTTCCGATGAGCGATTCGAGAAAACTTGGCTTGCGTTAACCTCGCTGCACCGAATTTGCCGGTGTACCTAGAATCAAATTGTAGTCGTACTAACCAAATGCCAGGCCCACGTCCTCGGCGAGCTTGACGCCGCGATTAAGCCTCCTGAGGATGCACTCGCGTCTAGTCTCGTCGGAGTCCTCGGGATCGGCGCACACCAGCCCTAGATTCGTCGCTGATACGTTCACGTGAGAGATCCGCGCCAAAAAGCTCGGACTCATCCAGATTCCCATCAGCGCGTAACTCGGCAACAGTATGTACCACCTGGCGTCGTAACGAAAGCTTTCAGTTTTTTTCAGGCCAACGCAAACAGTCGTAAAAATATATGGGAGTCTGTATACACAGCGGCGACAGTCAGTGAAAAGCTCGACTTAGCGAGCTTCCGACTTCGTGCGAAAGTGTACGCGCGCGCTTATAATTTTTGAGTGCCGTTATAAAAGTCTATTCTTTTTATCGTTCTGCCTCTTCCCCTGGCCGTCAAGTCTTCCTTGCGTTTTTTCCGCGCAGCTCTATTTCGTTTTTTTTTTCGTTTTTTTTTTTTTTTTTTAATATTGCGGCCACTGAAGTTGTTCTCTGTTATTACCGAGTATTTTTAAGAGTTTCGAATTAACGATTGGAATTTATGACTTCTTGAATTGTCTTATTTAGCCGCCAGCTATTGTGTCTCTGCAGAGGAATAAAAACGCGCGTTCGCGTGACACTATTCTTTTTTCTTGCCTGATCTCGTAGCTCGAGTTTTGTTTTTGAAAGTGGGGTATCTAGCTTGTAAATAAATTTTCCGCAAAAAAGTAAACAAAGACGACGACTCCGTGGGTAATTACTACGACTGGTAATCATGATTGTGCGAAGTCTTGTTCATTTTTGGAATTCGATGCACGAACATTCTACGTATATATATTCTACGTATTCCCAAAAGTAACGTTTATTAACAATTGGTATTCAATTCACACTCGTTAAAAAGCAACTTTAAGTATACGATTATAAAGTAATATAGGAAGGCTTACTTAGGGTACAGATGAACTCCAACGAAGATGATGGTAATAAGATGACCAATACAAATGGCCAAATTGGTACCAAGTTTTTGCGTGAAAATTGGCGAAAAACAGCTGGTAAGGGTAGCTGTGGTATAGAGCAGAGCCAGCAGTACAGGTCCGAGCTGTGCGTCGAAAGCGCCGAGACCCGCTTGTAGCGGGAACATGGGCAACGTGGCAGCCGACCAACTCGCGTGGCCCAACAACACGGCGGCGCAATGTCTCAAAACGGCCTTTTTCGGCGGCCTCGGGCCTGATGGCGCCGTGCGCACTGCAGCTATGAGGCGACGTACCGACGAGGCACCCGCCGACGAAGACATCGAATCACGGCGACGCCACGACAGTGCCGAGGCTCGTGCCGAACGGCACGAGATCGGCGAGTACGTTGCCATGTGCTGCAATCCAACGGGGCTTTCACATTTTCCTTTCAGGTAAAAATCAGTTTAACGGTGCACGGAAAAGTTATACCCCGCTGAAAGCTCCGGTGAAAGCTCGCAGATTGAATTTGATCTCGAGACGCGGGAGCGCGCGATTTTCATGTGAACAAAACAAGCACGTCGTTCTTCCGACACAAGAGAGCCGCGCCAAAGGCGCAAACATTTTTCAAAGGCACAGCTCGTGCGTATGGTTCACTGCAGTTTTACCCCCGAAAATAAAGGATCAAAGGTGAGCGTCAAACTCTTTTGCGTGCAATGCCAAAGGCTCTCTCTTTGCCATTCACGCCCCAATTGTTATTTGCGCTGAGAAGCTTTCACGAATTACAAAGTTTGAAATACAATGAGCTAGTCACGTAATATCTTTATCAAGCACGTAGGTCATTCGAGGATGCGAAACATTTTCAATTGAGAGAAACGTTATAGTTTAATCCGTTTATTTATCGGTCAGTGTAAACAATCGCACGTGTGTCTTCTATACTCGTTTGTGTGAACATAGATTCTCGCGAAGAATCTATGTATTTATCCTTAATAATTATTTATAATGATTGATTGTTAGACAATAAGCGCGTCAAGTTCGCGTATCATTAGTAAAGTTTGCATCAATACTTTTATTTATTATTCGACGCGCAGTCTTGCCAAAACTGTGTTTTTTGTGCCATAAAAGTCGTCATTTTCTTTTAACCCAATGCATAAATTGAAGAATACAAAGCTGTTGTGAACTCGATTCGAAATTGTCAGTGAAAATATCTCGAACATCGACGCGGCGACCTGATAATAACTTTTACCACGCATACCAAGTTAGTATTATGTATCAATTTGCAGCCAAATCAATCTCTGTAACGTCGAATCACCTTGGTTCAATAAAACGTTGCATATCGTTTTTCCGCTAAATAAAGGCAGAAGAAAATAATACTCTTTAGCATCTCCACGACCCGCTTATACCGGGACGATAATAAAAAAAAAGAAGGGAGAGAAAAGAAAATTCAGCGAGTGACGCATTAGTCGCACACCTCCGCGCGCGCAACAGCGGCACATCCTATTTTTTTCCATTTTCTCTCTCTCTCTCTGTCTCTCTCTCTCTCTCTCTCATCGTGCTGCGTGCACGCGATCGATGCTTCACCAATACGTACGTTTATGTATTAGTAGCGTTTGATCCCGCGCACGAAGAGACAAAGAGAGAGAAAAAGAGAGAGAGAGCCTGGCTAAAAGTAACGAACTGACGGCAACGAACTGCCTTAACGCAAGCACCGCAACTTTATTATTAGGCGCGAGTTGCTCGTCACCAACGCGACCCGCTATTACAATTCCAGCTGCAATCTTCCAAATGGCTTGCGATTGGTTTTTAATTCCACGTGGCTTGCTCGACGCGCTTGGCAATCTTTGCAACTCCCCAATGCTATTGATTTTCAATCAAGCGTTGACTTTTCAATGGGGTGCTCGCGCCGCGCAGAAGCTTCCCACCGCGTGCTCTTTCAAGCCACCGAGCGTCGTCGTACCTTTCGTCGGATATTTGCTTCGACAAAAAGAGAGCACTTTGAAATACGTTTATCGAGTCGAGGTGAAACGACGCTGTCCAACGAGGCGGCCGCGGTGCGCCGGTGTGATTACAGGAAAGGAGCGAGCGAGCAAGGAGCCAGTATGCGTACCTCGAACATGGCATCGTTGTCCCAGAGCTGAGTGGCGTGATGATGATGGCTGCCGCTGCTGCGCGCCCGTTTGTGCGTGTGGGCGAGGGGCGGCGGCTGCGGCGGCAGCCTCACGGGGCCCAGACCGCCGACTGGCGCCGGCCTGTGCACCGGCGACGAGAGCTTCTCCCGCGAGAGCTCGTGCAGGTTCGGCAGCGAACCCATCCCTCCGCAAGCTCGACGACTGAAGCTCACCCTCCGCGTTCAGGTGCTCCTGGCTCTGCGTCTGTGCGGCTCACACGATACATCACGCCCTTAAATTATCGATCGGCTGCCATGCATATCGATTGCGCCTCGAGTCGAATAATTAGCCTACACTCTACGATCATCGATATTGCACTCGCACGTTGGCTTTTTGCCTCGAGCTTCCGAATTCGATTCCGCGACGCTGCCAGCCAGTGCTCGATTATCAATTGGCAACGCGACAATGCTACGAGGAACATGCTACGAGGGACATTATGCCGAGTAGACTTGCACGCAATGCAAGCACAACGTAACGCACTACGGGGCCGTCTTTGCAGCGAGATCCTGCCCCGTCGAGTCCAAACTCGACAATCCGCTGCGGACTCGTTCTTGTTGCGACCGAGGAGCGGAGATTCGCTTGGCTGGAAATGGCACTCCAATTCCATATTTCGCGGTACGTTGCGCATCGATCCTTGTGCTTCACTCTCCTTTCCTCTCGGAAGTAGGACGATAACGCTGATGAAGTACGTACACGCGAACGCATCGCGCTTCGGCTTCCTTGGCGCGTAATCCAACTCACAGCTTCGTTTTCAAACATTTCGCCCGGTAAATGGAATGAGGCTCCCTCGTATATCCTTCGGATCAGCGCTTCGTTTTCATGTTTGGACTGTACTTCCGGCTGAGCAAACATTTGCAACGAGGTGCTCTCTGCCCTTCGAAAACTTATATATTCGTCGAGAGAAAACAGAACCCATCTTGAACGATCGACAAGCGATTTTTTAAGAAAAATCATGACGCGAGGAAAATCGAGGCCTCGAAGAGTTCAGCCTTTCCGGGTGATAAAAAAGAAAAACAATTCCCCGGGAGAAATTCTATTTGGAATCCGTGACCCGTTGGTCGGTAGTTGGGTGCACCTTTATCTCCAGCGAGAGAGGGAGAGAGAGAGCGAAGCGAAGGTCAGAAATCCAGTAAGGGTATAGATCCACAAGCGCAAGCTTGCGACCTCCTTTTCCCGCTCGAACCCAATAACAAAGGAAAAAGCTCTCGAGCCTCCTCAGTCACCTACGCGTCGCTCGTTCCCTTCCACCGCCGCCGCCGCCACCGCCGCCGCCGCCGCCGCTGTTGGATAATGAATTTACGGAGAATAGAAAAATTTCGCCGTGACCTTCGTGGCCAATATTTTGCGGCAGGTAACGTGCACGCTGTATTATTTACAGATGCTTGCTCGTGCGCAAGCTCGCAGGCGCGCCGTCGGGAGTTTCGCCCGGGAAAAATCGTGCGGCCTCGCAGACGTCAAGGATCTTTTATCTGCCGCTCGTCGGCGAAACGCGCCACCGTCGAATGCTCGTTTTATTGCCTCTGCGCGTTAACGTCGATCCGCGGAATCGGCGTAATTTTTCAACGGCGTCGAGACCGACCGCTTGGACCAGTTACCAACGAGGTTTGCGGTTTTTCGCAACACAATTGCAGTCGTTCCGAACGTAGCCACAGCTATCAGCCTAATTGTTGGCGACCAGTTCGGCGAGTTCGCTTCTCGTTTAGATGTCGCGCGAGACTCGCAAATTCACATCGATCCTCACTCGCTAATTGTTTGTTCGAAAGATCGATCTGCAAATAATAAGTATCCATAATTCATTGCGTGACAGTCGAAACACGCCTATTACGTAAAGATCTCGCGCGATCCTTCTAACACCTTCCACCTTTATGATTTTTTGCTATCATTGTTGTGTGTTTGTCTCTCTTGGGCGTTGGTTCAAGCCATTGAAGTATGCAAACGAAAAAAAAGCATTGTCGCAGGCAGTGGCCAGTCTTTGTAACCGTGTATCATTATATTGTCCAGGCGGAGGGAGAGCGGATTCGATGCTACGACGTGATTTACGTAACGGAGTAGTAATGTTGAATACCCGGAAGATGAAAAAAAAAAGAAAAAATTTGTATTGCTGCTGTCTTTTTTAGGCTTTGCCGTTTAGTCAGCGGAGACGTTGGTGCGGTCGCTTTTGCGGTTTGTTTTATGTCACGTGTCGGAAGCTTGGGTTTTCGAACTTGGCTAAATTGAAGCACGCGCGCGAAGCGATTACATTTACAGGCTCGTTATGAAACTGACCAATTGCTCCTGGCGATATGAAAAGAATTTTTATGACCGTTTAACGAGTAATAATTGACTTTTTCATTACAAGCGTTTTGAAAAAAATAATGCTAGTTCTTTTTTTACATTTACTATACAGAAAAAAAGGAATTAACATTGAAAACATGGATTAGTAATGACCAGCCGAGAATAATCGATCGAGTCGACGCGAGTTGCGGAGTGAATCAACTTTTACAGCAGGCTTCGATGTGTCTGAATTCCTCTTGGTAAAAATCAGGCAGCGAAAGCCGAAAAGTCTGAAAAGCCGTAATAACCGAGAAAAGAATGCCCCAATGACATCGACAATTAAAAAGAGTAATACGTAGCCGTTATGCGCATATTTTAGCCTATTCAATTATTCTATATTAGTCTTTTCAATTATTTATAACGTTTTATGGCTTACCGTCAATTACAAGCTATTGCAATGATAAAGTAGACTAGTGAAACATTTGGCTTTGCTAAACTATTATTAAGCAGTTGTAAATTGTTGCTCACGTTTGTCTATTCTTCAAAAAATTCAACGAGGTATCCAAGTTTCGTATGAAACAAAAAGCCAATTGAAAAGTGGCACTCCTCTTCCGCGAAAATATGTTCTTTATAAAAAAAAAATACTATCGGTTGATTGAAAACACTTCAATGAAGTATATCGCGTTCGCGTGCAAATAGCGCAGCTCAATACGATGTATGTCCCCGTGCGGGCCAACAAAAAGTATTGTGTAAATTTGCAAGCGACCTCTCTCTCTCTCTCTCTCTCTCTCTCGACACAAGCCAATATTTAGCTACGCTAATCCTACGCAAACAGTAAAACAAACTATTGGCATTTTCGCTATCCGCGTCACGTACGCGTACGGCATGCGAGCTCGACACATATACGTGGAAGCACGGTGATAATAAACGAGGCCTCGATTCTCGCGTTAGATAATGAGAATATACGATTGTATTATTCTGTTCTATCGTAGCCTTGATCGAGAACTTGGCTGCTGCAACTTTGAGATAAATATTGCCGAGATAATTGCCCAAGGCGGAGAGAGAAAAAAATCATTGCTCTTTTTTTTTCTCTCTCTCTCTCTCCTATTTACGCGTGCGCCTCGCGGAGGCGCTTTAATAACCGTTGCGCTTTGTTGCGTATTTGTCACGTGATTCGTTCTTCTTATTTTTTTTTTTTTTTTTTTAGTCGGCCGGGTAGATCGTTTTGGAGCTGAATATAAACGTCACGCGTGATTTATTGCATAATTTAACTTTTCAAAGCGCGCGCACGATATTAAAGTTGAAACAATGCCGCGCGAAACGCGCGCGCAGAAGTCGTATCGCGTGCACGTTTTCAGCTTCAATTATATGCGCGTATTATACGTATATACTGCGTTTCGTGAAATTCGCCCCGCGATATTCGAACGCAACTAGCTTGCGTTTCATTCGATACTCCGTTCCGCGGAAAACAATCGCCAACGTAAACTCGGAGGCTAGCTTTCGCTGGACAAAACGACATTGTGAATAAAATGAATGCGCGACGTTTATCGCGCGACCTAACCAAATCGTTGACTGCGATCGCGCGCGCGTATACATTTGCCACCCAATTGATCGTAACTTTGGCAGGTCGCGGCGTGCTATCGCAAATTGGACGCGCGCGACATTAATTGCACGCCAAAATCAGTCGCATATGGCTGTCGAATCTGCATGGCCTTAATGGAGCGCCGTGGAAACACAAATGACAACTGCACGGGGAAAAGCGCGGTTCGGAGGCACGGCAATGTGAAACTCGGCGCTAGAGAGAGGCGAGCCCCCCTCCCCTCTCCTACTTCAAACGATTATGTAAAAATATAATGTTTCATTAGTGAGTCGATGGCGACACGACTTCGATTGCGAGTCGGAGATTCGCTTCTATTTTTCGTCTTTCGCCCCGCGGTCGATGTAATCATACGTTTAAACGAGATGAAAGGGACGAGTTTACGCAATTAAAGTGCTTCCCTTTAATTTTCACTCGATCTGTGGCTGCAGCGCCGAGTGGTTTTCGCCGTCGTCGTCTGGCCTGGGCGACGATTCGATTGCGAGAATCGCGGGAGGTCGACTACTTGTTTATGTCGAGCGTATTGATTTTGTTCGTGTATTACCCGGCGCACGCAGCAAGAGACGTCGAGGATGATGCACCGTGTTCTTATATTCAAATTTTGTACGAATTATTATCGACGATTGTGCGTCGTAAAGCAGCTCTTCCAGTCTCTTCTCAGCGATGACGAGACAATTTACTTTTGCTGACAACTCGGTTCCGCGTGTGCACAAGGGTTGGAAGCTGATTATACCCCTAGACGACCTTGTGTCTTCGAAAATGAAAGCAAACGTTGTCGCCGAAATAGGAACAGGATGAATTTTATTGAGTCGCGTAAAAGGTCTTTTCTGAAATAATACGAACAGCCGTCAGCCGTCGTGAAATGGGACAGCGATAATTTCGAGAAGTTGGTTGTTGAAAAAAGCTGAGGTGATATAAAAATCGCGTTGACTGCATTTGATTTGGCAGAACAAATAATCAACCTACACACACACACACACACACACACACACATATTGTTAGCAAACAATGAATCGGCTCTCAGATCCAAATACAATATCTATTTGTCAATATCATCAGAAAGCATGGTTCCCTACAAAACAAATAACGCGCATACACAAGCGGTTCTTGCACGAGGTGGACGTTGATGGAAGCTGAGGCGTGATGGATGCCTGCGCACGTGCATCCAGTCAAATTTATATCCATCTGGACGTGATTGGATGTAATGTTCACGCTGCTTTGGTTAGTCTTATCGGGAGAATCAACTGCGATAATTGCGCCCGTAAATGTTCGCGAGCATTCAGTTGGGCACAACAGGCCGACGAGTTTACTCACGCGGTCGTAACTTGGAAAGGTCGGCGGTGCGGCAGACGACTGCATCGAAGGTAAGTAAACTTGGTTCGGAATGCGTCGTCGGGGCCATTAAACGCGCAAACCGGGTACAAAGTCTTTGTCGACACTTGCGCTCGGTGCCATCCACACTCTTCGCGATCGATATTTATCGTTGACATACGTCTAGCCGAGCTCCGAAAATTAGCCGGACAAACCGATCAAAGCCGGCGACACTATTTGTTTTCCGCTCGCTCCCACTTCTATCGCGAAGCCCGTGCTATAGCATTACACGCGCGGGCTATAAATAAACGACTAGTGGGGACACCGAGGAATAATGCGTCGTTCAATTAATCATTTGTCGCTCCAACTTCCGTCAGCGTGTTGTCGCCGTGCTGTGAAATAGAAAATCGAGAGGGCCTCTAGATCGCGCGCAGCTGCCGAGCGCGATGACTCGTGAACCGTCTTATGTATATTTGAACGCGCGCGCGAGGATGCAATCGCCTGCCGTCGAAGGCAAGCCACTTATTGTTTCGTTCTCTTCCTTGCGCCGCTCGATTTTCCACGCCTGTTTCGATGATCGACCGTTGTCACGGCTGTTGCGTAGGCGTAGACCCTCAAACGGCACGGCTCGACGCGTGCCGTTTCACTGCCGCGCTAATGAATGGGCCGTGCCGGATACAGGGCAATTAATAATCGTTCTTGCTGCATACGTCGGCCGATCGCTTGATCCGTCGGTCAGCCGTAGTTCGTCCGGATTGCGCGTCACGTATACGCGTCAGTTGACAAGTCAACGCCCGGGCGTCCGTTTTCGTTGTCGCCAACGTATAAAAAATGCGATCGCCTCGTCTGTCGTTTCTCTCTCTCTCTCGGATTCACGCGTGTCGTTAGACTCGGAGCTCGATTGGGCGAGCAGAGAAACGGGAATCACTTTGACGTTAAAGAGAGAGAGAGAGAGAGAGAGAGAGCATTGCATTGCATGCGCGAGCGACCTGCGCGTCTACGCTACGGTTTTGCAGCTGAGCTGCAGGCGAATTATTCTCGCCTTCAAAAAACTCGAAGAATTCTGCCGAGCAATTGGCTGGATCAATCGAATGAAAAACAAAAAATACCAGAGTCTATTCCCCCGACCGAACGCACGTACGGTAACGTCTGAACTGATCGCGTCGTGCGCGATAAAAACTGGTGATCCTCTTAATCCAGGAAGTTCGAAAGCTCTCTCGTATTTCTTAATCGGCTTGCACGTCGCGCGATATTGATATCGGGAGGACGAGGTGGCTGTCGCGAAAATCGCATCGATACCCGAAAGACTTGCGTTGGATTTTCCGCCGACATCGCGTTAATTGTTTTCAGAGACACGGCCAGCGGACCTTTTCCGTTATACAGCGATATTTTCGTGCAAATCGCGTGGCCCGTGAGAGAGAGAGAGAGATAGAGGCGAGCTTTTCTACTACTGGCCTGTATGTGTCTCTTTGAGTTGTTTACGCCTGTTGAGTCTCCAGCCACTCGTCATTCACAACATTTTCAAGCACAATATCGTATCTCTCTCGGCATTCACGCTGCTGCGTCGAGTGCGTTACTTTTGAAGGCTTATTTGAACGTTTTCTTGTTTTTCTTTTTTCAATGGAATTTCGAAGTTCGCCGGGTGTACCCAACAATTTTCAAGTAGCTTGTATCGCCCTCAAAGCCTTCGCGTTTTAATTAGAGGATACTTGCGTCTGCTAAATATTTTAGGTTTAAATGATGACCTACTCTCTTACATGCTTTGACACACGCCAGAGATTGCGCACAGACGTTTCTCTCGCGTATAATTCCAAGTACTTCTATATACCCCACAAACGCCTACGTAATCGCGACCTATTTATTTTTAATTCCAGTTTATGGGCGATTTGATGATCGAAAAAAATGGCATCTAATGGCGTTCGTACGTCGGAGAAAAGGCATAAAAGTATATTATTCTCGGCTTAATACCAAAGTATCCTATGCGCGTACGACAAATACTTGCGAGAATGTAAACATCGTATCGAATGATTCCATTAAACTGTGTACGAAGCTTTTGGGGGGCACATCGACGATCAATTTGAGGACCCGACGAGTGCTCACCTGCCCTTCCTCCAACACATTGTTCGTCGCAATAAGAGAGCATCGCCACGCGTGTGCATTATTCTATTTCCAAAAAAAAGCAGTCGCGATTTATCAGACTGGTTTCTACTCATTCCGTCTCTAGCCTCGAAGAGAATTGCGATGTTGACGTATTACGTATATCGTGCAGCATGACGAATGCGCAGATGTGATTTTGCGAGGGCACTGCGGCTACAACTATTTAGTGCCTCTCCCCTGCTCCTCCTCGCGACGGATGAAGCTCGTTTGCAAACGACTCCCGTGAAATTTACTGCGCGCATGTCGTCGAGCGCGGCGCGCTATTTATTCGCGCACGGCGCCCAATTGAAAGGAATCGCGGAATAAATATGTCGCGCGTTACGTAAAAATGGGATCGCCAATAACGGAAACCTCGTTGCCTCGGTCGCATTATGAAAATCAACTTTTTCTACAACTACGTGATCGCGCGCGCGCACACGCCTCGTTCGGGTGCGCGAGCCAATGATAGGAGCTGCCGAGCGACCGAGCCTCTCCACGCAAAAAAGAAAAAAAAGAAAGAAAAAAAAAATTCCGTCTCGCGGGAGTTTTTTAGTCTTCCTTGCAATAATATCGTGGCGCTCGCGTCTGATTAAAGTAGGCCTTTGGCTATAATAATCATCGCGTGCCTCGCCCACGGAATAAAGCGTGGAAATTTTCGAAGCGGGCCTTGTCTCATGCTTTATCCCTGCTTGCCTCGATGCCAAGGGGGCGATCGTCGCTTTCACCTCGGCGTCTTCTTTTATTTTTCATTCTGTGTGGCTCACAAGAAAATTCGTAGGAAGTACAACGAAACGGGAACTCGTTGCCCGAGCTATGTACCGAGTACCGAATCTGACTTGCTTTCCCATCGATGTAACCACTTTTTTCAATGTTTTCCCAGGCCGCACGACGTCTCTCGACAGTCGAGCAGGAATTCGGCAAATCGCCGCCACCTCTGTACAATGACAAGTCATGCAGCCCTCGAGCTGTTGGCGCTTCGGAGGGGAAAAAAGGCTGGCAAGGCCAGCGTGTAGACCGAAGCTCCGAGAGAGAAAAGAAAAGTTTCGCCGCAAGTTGAATCGCGCAGCGCAGGAAAGCCCTGAGCTGCGAGCGAACGTGTATGAAACTTGAACAAAACCAACTTACGGCATGATCCAGCGAAGGCTAAAACCGGAGGCTGCTGCTGGAGTATCTCCGCCACTGGGTTTCACGCCGGGTGTATCCTCCCGTCGCAGCTTCCATCCGTCGCCACTCGCAGTGTTTGTTTTGCTCTCAACGATGAGGAGAAAAAAAGGGCGAGTAGCGACGAGGCGGCGGAGAGCGAGGCAGAAAAAAAGGCCGCATAAGTGTATGCGAAAAAAGGTGGAGAGCGTAGGAGAGCAGGAGGAGAGAGAAAGCGAGAGAGAGAGAGAGAGAGAGAGAGAGAAACAGAGAAAGAGAGATAGAGAGAGAAGAGAGAGAGAAGAGCGAATCGCGTGCCCGCGAGGGTTGATTCTGCGTCCGCGGCTGCAGCAGCACAGCTACTGTCGCGCGACCGCTCTCCCTCATCTGGGACGGCCGCAGGATGAGACACTACACAGAGGCAAGGGAGACTGCTCCGCCAGCCCTCCCCACTAGCGTTGGCGCAAGCGCGCCTGCCCTCCCTTTTACTTTCCGCTGCGCGCACGTCCATCGCCTGAGCCTCTCGCTTTCGCCGTCGCGTTACCGCGCGCAACCCTCTTCGCGCGCGCTTTGCCTCTCTGCTCCTGCGAGAAGGCAGCTACCTCTCGGCCATGCGCGAGAGCTTGGACTCCCAATGGCAATCGTTCCGTCAGTCGCGACGCTTGCTTTTTTGGAACGATCCCGTTCCGCACGTCCAAGCAGTCTCGGTCCGCGTATCTGTCAGTTCCTTCAAATCTCTGTCGCGCGCTGTTCTTTATACATCGTCATCGTCATCGTATCTGCCGTCCGTGTTGTAGTAGCACACGGAGCGCGCGCGATAGTGAGGGAAAGAGAGAGAGAGCACAAAGAGGCAGGCGCAAGCTCCGGTCGATAAAGGGGCGATTGCGTAGTCGAGCCGCGCACACAGCAGGCCCCAGCTCGAGCTTTTTGGAAATTCCTCGAGGTTAACCCCACCACCATGCCAGCGTGGGTGGGCTGAAAGCGAAAGCTCTGCGTGTGTACCTGTTGATAGTTGCTCCGTCGTCCGTGAGAATTGGCAAGTGCGTTCGACGCGAACGAGCTAATTCTTGCTCCGAAGCTGTCGTGGCTTATCGGCTCGAAGTTTTCGTTGAAATGCCCTTGTCGCGCTGACCAATCGCGAGCTCGAAGCTTGATTTTCTTCAGAGACTTCCACGAAGTTTTATTTTTTCTTTTCTTATTTATTTATTTATTTATTTTTTTTTTGCCGCGTGCGAACTTGCTGTGGACGTCGCTTTTCTTTTGTTATCGATTGCCTTCGCGGATGATTGGCGAAAGCTCGCTTCAAATGCTTACCACGCGACGCCAAAGATACTCCGTAATTTCTCGTTAGTAGCGTTAATTATACGAGTTTCCTCAACTAATTCTCAGGTGATTTGCAGCAGCTGCTGGTGCTGCCATAGCGACCACGCTAACCCAGCGTAATAAAACTCCACAGCTCGAAAATTAATAGACTATCAGAGCGCGCAAATTTCCAAAGGTACGCAGTCTCGGCACAATTAAAACTTGGTGATTGCTAGTTGTACTTGACAAGTAGATTTAAATTCTTTAGCGAACACGCATCAGTCGAGAGTAAATAGGATGCAGATCTTCCCCGTTGGAAAAGCCAAGCGAGCGCAGATCGTGTCGTTTTTCCTCTTCTCGTTCGCTCACGGACGAAGCAGCGGCATTATAGTCGGTTGATTTCATCGACGAGGCGCGCGCTCTGTTCCTGGGCGGCGTTACCGGCAGTGGCTGCCGTATGTACGTTATAGCGATACGCCCTTGCGGAGACTGTCTTTCTACCTGTATATAGGCTGTACGAGCGTGTAACTTTGCGAGGATGAACGGGGAAAAAGCGGTTCACGGCGCGACCCGTGAAAAAACGAAAAAGTTCCACAAAACGGACTCTCTCGCTCTCTCACCTTTTGTCTTTTCCTTTTTTCCACTCGGCTCGTGGCGACGAAGCGGCTAATTGCATCGACGTACGTTGACAAAAGTTCCGCCTCTCTCAATCATTTTAGCGCATGATTTTCGGATAGAGATGCAATTAATTCGCGACGCTGCTTTTGTTAGCGCGCACAAAGCGCGCTCAGCCCGTTCAGCGTTCCTACAATTATTAATCAAGTTGGCCAACGCTTTTTCGATCAACATTATGGAAAGTAGGTGTCCGCGTGTGTGCGTACGCGCGCGCGCGCGCGTGGGTGTGTATTGCAAAGGCCAAATACTAACGTTAATTCAATCACGTCACTATTGGGCTTTTGACCCAAGTACAATAAGCTCGCCCCCTCTGTTGGCACGTCCACCTCGTTCCCATTAATTCATTTTTTTTATGAATGATTCTACGAACAAATCGCTATGACGCAACCACATTCTACCAAGCCCACGTACGTACCGCGATAAATGTTTGAACAAAAGCTTCAATAAAGCTCCGGTCTTTCTACAACTTTCTCTCTCTTTCTTTATTCGATACCCGGAGAGATGTTTACTCGAGTTGTTAAATTTAAAGGTTTATTGGCTAACTCTTTTTTTTTTTTGCTACCGAAGAAATTATTAACGGAAAATGTTTAAAAACTACAAAATTACCTTCACCTATCTTAGAATTGACAGAGCTGTACACCGATAGTTGCTACGTCATTTTTTGTATAATAATCACTCAAGTGACGAAGCTCTACAAAATATGAAGATTATTTTTAGATGAAGGTTTGTTCCCGAATCATTTTATTATATCTCATAAGTCGTTTTGAATATTAATTATTACATTTAATGCACATATAATCCTGTGTATGGCAGAGTAGTACTATTTGGTAAATATATGATTTAATCACGATATAAAAAAATTGTACTATTACTGAAAACTGCGGGTTACGATTTTGGTTGTTTTATTGAAAAGCGATGTAACATTTGACCGACTATGAAATATAGTTTACTATTATTAAAAAAAAACTAATTGGCATTAAGTTATATACCATTTGGCTCATTTTTTCAATAATTTTAATGTCGCCATATCTTTACGAAGAATTGTTAATTTTCAAATTTCTACAGGCGTGACGAAATCGTGTAAAGCTAGGATAACAGACGGACCATGAAGCTGCAAGGAGGAGTTCGCAATACGACACTTTCACGCTCGCTCGACAGTTCGTTGGACGCTCAGTCGGGAAATCGCGCACGCGACTTGTCAAGCTCGCAGAAACTCATTTCGTGCCCACTCGAATTTTTCAATCGAGAACATTAGGAGAGCGCGTGGGCGCTTGCGCGCAATATATGCAAGGACAATGCATCGAGCACTCGACGACGCATACGCATCGGATTTGCAGTTAGCTCGTGCGAACCGATCGGAGAGTGAAATCCGCGCGGAATACCGAATGCACTATTGGCGCGCAGCCTTCCATGTTTGCGAATACACGACGACGCGCAGCGGAGGCAGCAATTATGCTGTATAGGTGACCTCGCGAGCAAGTGACTCAGTTGATTATCGGCCGAGCTTTCGCGGCTGCGGACGCTGGGCCTTTTGAAAGACAGTCGCTTATTACGCGTTCTCTTTATTCCAGGCATCGCCATCGCGTTATTTCTTGGTGCCACGCAGTTCGGTCGCATCGTTCGAGCGAGAGGTGCCGAGAGCCTTCTCTCAAAGCCAACTTGGCGTTGCGTGCACGGCCGACGATGAGATACTTTTCTGACCGACTGGTGCTTCATTGTCTATTAATTATGCACCGAGCGATCGCCAGTTAGCTTTCAATTTTTCAGCTTAGCAATTTGCTCTGTTCGTCCGCTAATGCCACGATAAGATTTTTTTCTGGCGCTCGTTGCGTCACGCGTCTTTCTTCGTTCCCATCAAACATACGCAGCGCAGCAACTGTGCGATCTCGCGACGTGTGCTTCTTGATGCGTCTGGGATGTGGTTGACGACCCACACGAAGCCCATTTTTTTCGATAAAAGTTTGAGCGGTGCGCGCGTGCACATAGCCACGCGGCCGTAAGTTGCAGTGATAAAAACTGTAGCAAACTCACGGCAGTCAGACCTCGTCCTGCAGTGTATAATTCAAGGGCGCACGCGCTCTCTCCGGCAGGAAAGAGAGAGAGAGAGAGAGAGAGGGAGTGAGAGAGTCGTCTCCCTCTAAACCACCCCTCAAGGCCCAGGTGGGATGAGGCGCATGTACATGATACGCGCTATATGCCCTATGCACGGAAAATTCATCGCGAAAGCGAGGACGCCCCTACGCGCGCGACGTTATATGTTTTCTCGCTACGACGTCCCGTGTCACGTTATAATCGAACATAGATTGCATCTGCAACTGCTGTTTCGACCTTGGGACCTTTCGCACCATTTTTATTTCGGACCTTTTATGATTTCATTGCCGTATGACCACGTTACAATATCTTACCTGCGATCTGTAAGCTTTTGTAATTTCGGCTTCTGTTTTCGCGGGACTGCCGATGAAGCACTCGAAATTAATCATGATTTCGGTGAAATCGGTAACTAAAATTAATTCAACGAAAATGCTGCGCGTAACCGATCGGAAAGTTCTTTTATTTATGCGGAAGATAAAAAATTTTCGAGAATAATTAACTAAATGAAAGGCGAGAGGCAGAATATATAATGAAGCTTAGTCGGTTTATTTTCTGGTTTCGAGGAACTACGGCGACCTGAATAGAATTCTAAGAGCTGCGCTCAAAGGGTCCTTTAATCAAGAAAACTTGGACTTCTCGCTGATACTGCGCCTTACAATAGAGCATAATTAAACTGGCACAACAATGTATAGTACGGCGGATATCATAAAAGAAAAATGAATTATTTGCTCTATAGTGTAGGTCAAACTATATTCTTCAAGCAGTCATGTCATTTTACATATGGAAAGTACATTCTTTTTATGATATGCAATATGCGTTATACTATAATTTATTCAAAGGTTAATCAGTTTTCTTCTTACGTTAATGTAACATGAAACAATCACATGTTTACTCATAATCATTTGCACGGATTCTTTTCGGCCGTTCACATTTGTATCGTCAGCGTCCCTTTTATGTCGTTCTGCTCGTTGCCATTTCCAATAGAGCGTGAAACGATCGAAGACAATACTTTTTTCTTCAGGAGATTGCATCATCGACTATCGAATTTGCCATAAGACTACGATAATCCGACGCGATAACTATTAGGTTTCTACTAGGACCAAATGTATCGTAAGTTGCTTGTGTTTTACAAGAAAACTTGAAATGAGAAAGACAATATTTGGCTTACTCGAATGGTCATATATGTTATGTAACAAATGCGAATTTGAATGGCATAAAAACTTTGGTAGTAAAAGCAAATGATATGACACTCGAAGCAGCGAACCATCTAAAATACGATGGAAAATTATAACGCCACGGGAATCACTGGAAATGTGCGTACGGTGAGTTTCGATTGGGCATTAGGCAAAAGCGATACCCGTGAAATACCGACTTGCGACTGAGGTTTTTCTTCGAACCCGTGATGCTTTTACCGTAGCGTGCACGTGCATCTCAAGAGGGAATCATTTTCACATGTATTGTCTTCTGTGCAATCGCGACATTCATCCGTTCGAAAAGATCTCTCGAAATGCAGCTGGAGATGAAAAGCCAAGAGGAGCTCGCTCGAATGGCGAGTAGAACTGCCGGCTGAGCGTAGCTCATTAGCGGCCTTGAAAGTCAAAGATCGCAGAGTAATATAGGCTCCCACTATATAATGCTCGGGTGAGGAGGAAGCCTATAGTCGGCGAGTAGCACATGTGTCTGTCGTCCCCTTCCCTTGTTCTCGCGGACCGCGACTCTGACAGAGAGCGAAGGATCAATCGTCCGGCGCTTTTCTTGTATATAAACCGCTTCACTCGTGGACGTCGAGTTCTACTTGAGCCTCCGATCCCTCGAGTCACTCTGTGAGGGTCAGAGCGCGTGTTTTATGTACCTCTATATAGGCGGTGCGAGAAAGAGAGAGTGAAAGCTCGCTCAGATGAGCTAAACAAAGTGCCCTCCAGTGAACATTTCTATTGTTAGTTTTCCGACACTCGCCGCAGTTATTGTTGTTGTTCTCTGGTCAGAGGAGAAGTTCAGTGGACCGGTGAGTTATATTCTCTGTTGTTACAGTTTTGAGCTTCGCAAGTTTTGTCCGACTGCGATCACTGGCACGAGAAGTTCAGTGTCATTGACAAAGTTGTCCCGGGACCGTCGATACGTATTACTATGGTTTATGGATGAATGCGGTCTGTAAGCTTTTTTATAATATTTTAGCTTATTTTCATTAAAAAATAACGTCATAAATTCCGTTAGAAGTTATCGCACGTGTATTATTTGAAACTGTAATCACGTAGCAATCATATTTGATTAATGTTTTTCCAACGTTTCATTGATTACGTAATAGTTTCTAATGATCATAAAAAATATAAACTATCGTAATCATAGAGTCCGTCTTGAAAAAACGTTTGTTTTCTTCTTAGCTGTCAGGTCTCATGGTGACAATTACAGTTGAGATACAAATTGATGTAATCATTTGTCTGTCATACAAAATTGCTTTCCTTCGAATTGTTAAAACTCATCAGTGCGTTATAGGAGATATGAGGACATTCGAGAGTATCACGTCATCATTTTCTTTTCTACTTTCCAAGTTGACTGATAATTACAAAATAAGTTCTTCTCATGATCGTCATTACGAGAAATCAGAAAAGAAATGTTGACCTATATTTCAAGAAAAAATATCATCGAACAACCTTTTCTTGTCGAGGCATTTGTGATGATTTCCTAAATTAAAGCTTAACAAGAAAAAAAGTTAGGGAACATATCCGAAATTACATCGATCCGGTAAATAATTTCTTGCTCTGCTGGCTTTATCGACGGAACAATAAATCACGTAAGTGAGTAGCAAGTATCGACACTTTAGCTCCAGTTATTGGAAAAAAAAAACTAATAGCCGACAACAAAAAAAGAAGCAGTGGCAATTGATTGTCTCCTAGGTGCGCGCGAAAAGACGTCGATGATAGCCATTAGGAATGCTAAGGTTTCAATTAAGAATCGAAGGGAAAAAAATCGTCGGCACACGAATCCATCGTTTACACAGATGAAACGATCCGAGCTACATACATGTTCACGGGAAGCCGTCCGCCTTGTCTATTTATACGATTGCGCTAATCCGTCGCCTCTCGTGTACATTCCATTTGTGTTTATGCGTGTGTGTATACAAAATAACATGGGAGAGAGCAGATACAAATACCTGCATCTAACATTCAATTGATCGTTTTGTAATACTTTGGTAAGAACGAGTTCATGAGAAAACTCTTGGCTCCGGAATTTTACGTTACTAAGTACCGAGTCAACAAAAAAAAATTATGTAAGTTAATTTATAGTCATTGAGTGAATATACCACAAAATATATTACCAGAAAAACCGAAGTTCATTATTGATATAGATGATGATTGGTATTATCGCGGACGTGCACCATCGTATGTGATACACAATAATGAGAGAAGCATTTCCAGAATTTGCATGTATATATACGGGGCATGGGAATTACCGAAATGAAAAGGTTCGTTAAACATTGTACGCGAAGTTACGAAAATATTATTTCAAAGAAAAAAATGCACTATACTCCATTTTTAACAAACTTCTACTGGCTCTCTGTTGAAAATTTAAGTTATTTTGATGTTTGTAAGTTTATTAGAATCACTATTGCAAGATAGCTAAGATAGCGTGCTATAGTTAAGAGCTAATTTATGATGTCAATGAAAATCATCGGGTGTGTCCTGCAATAGTCATGTATACTTATTTTTCATTCAATATAAATAAATTCATAAGCACGACATTCTAGAATAATATTTCACGAGTAAAAAGTTATCGGATCATTTAATTATTCAGATTGAAACACTAACACACCTAACCACTCGCGGATTCAAAGCAAGTAGTACAAGTCAACGATAAGCGCGTTATACGATTTGCCATAAAAACTCGCTCGTAGTTATCATACAATAACACTTAATTTATAGAAAAATGTAGAAATGGATTGAAACCGATTGGATAAAGAAAAAAAAGAAAAGAGTGCGGTAAGCCAGCTCCAATCTGACATCTGTCATCATTAGTTTAACACCAGACTGACAGGGAATAATGCAAATCAATTAATTAAGCGCTCGAATAACTAAAGAAATGACGGCTCGCTCTGCAGGTAATTCGCACTCGTCACTGTATACTTACATACAATCTATAAAAGCGATTCGCGGAGATCATCATTACCCATATAAACGCGTTTGCGAGTCAATGCCACACATGCCAACAACAGTGATATTAATCAGATGACAGGTGTAATGTCCTGTGGAAGGACGCCGCTGAGTGACCTGTGTGGTGTGGGCGTCGTATGTGCATCGTGTTGACACAAACAAACGCGCGTACGCAATGTGCTTATACGATTGTACGCGCGCGCGCTCTAGTTTTGTAGGTCGGCCAATATACCCTTGATTGTGGATAAGTCCTTCGGCGAAATGGGGTGTCATGCGCAGACTCGCTTGACGCAACGCCAATGTTTTTCGGGATGGGCGGCTCGCTGATGTAATGCTTTAGTCGCCCGTTTCGTTGCATCACGTGCAATCCGAATAAAACGGATGCCACCTTGGCAGCCAATTATTTTGACGGCACGCGCAAATTAAAACGCTCCGCAGTTTAATTTTGTTAATTGAAAAGCACCGTGCGCTCGGTAACAAGGCTCTGGTTTTCGCAATTTGACCGGGGAGAGGCATTTTCACGGGTATTAATGGAGATTGGGTATCTGTGAAAATTGGTGTTAAAGTCTTTGGGAAAATGTAATGATTAAATTTTCGAAAGGATGACATTTCAATCGAACGAGTGCGTTTGTTCGGCATCCTGCATCAGACGGGCTTTAGCTAAATGACACGCGGCAGTCATTATTCATTGGGCGCTATTGATGCGTATATTTAGCATCGAATTATTGCCGAGTAATTGGCCGCTGGCTTATTTTTATTAGTCTTTGACGAAGTCGGAGCTTGTATTACGTAAAGAGCCTACAGCTTTTATTACTGAGACACCATCGCGCCACTGATGAGTTCGCAAGATTAAATGAACGACGCTCGCGAAACGGTTAGAGGAAACTTGCACAATGCGAAGAGATGGACTGATTACTGGCAGTCATTGTCCGCTTGACAGTAACGTTGATTGAGCCCCGTACACCCATGAAAATCATATTCGAGGCGAAATGCATTTAGTGAGTATCAGAAAAGTCCTTGCGTAACGTGTAAAGTGATGTAAGAAAATCATCAGTACACCGTTCGATACAATGTCAAGTGCGTTGATTGGCGCATAAATCTTTGTACGTCGCCGGTTCATTATTCCGTCAATTCTTCTTTTAATTTTCTTCAATCGAAACGCATCCGGTACCATTATTCTATTTTTATTCTTCTCCGATTATAATTGAAAGTCGACAGTTACACGTACAGTTTTTGCAAGGCTACACACATAAAGAGTTGGCTGACGAAATTCTAATGAAAAATGCATAAGCTTCGCAAAGCATTTGTTATTCATATACACGGATGCTCGTACAATTGTTAAATACCGAAAAATGTTGAAACAAGCGAACGTAGAAAAACTTTATCAAATCCTTCGCATTAAACACAGCTTCAATTTATTAACGATCAAGCTGTATAGCCGGCACCGTGTAATGCATTATCGCGCTGGTTTTCTTTGGCGATCGAAGGCATGTCATCGCCTACACCAGCACTGCTAACTCGAATAAAGTTCATTTGTAATCGATAACGGATCTTCGTCGAATGCAGTCACCCAATTGAACATTAAATTACGCGATTAAAATGCAAAATGTGTGGAAGGCGTGCGACCATTTAATTTTCTAACGTTTCGTCGTTACCATACTCCACCACCCCTCGTGGAAAATCCTAGTGCATTTTAATGCTGTATGCGTTTCGAGTGTCTTTCATTAAAATCTCATGACGATTACCATCAATACAATGAAATTTTATCGAGTCTGCATTTGCAGTTTTTCTTTCGTATTTACGTGACTTGCGTTTAATTATTATCGTTCTTAACTGTTCTGTCAAGTTTTAAAACTCGTAAAATTAATATTGCAAATTGTAAATAATCCTTTAAAATGAAAAATATTATTGTGCTATTAAAATTCATAATAAGCAGCACAAGTTAGAACTTTACACAAATTAGAGCAATCAGTATACGGATAGTTAAAAAACTACGTCAATTGAACTTTTATGTAAAAGTTAAAATGTAAACTTGAATGAGACTCCATGCAAGTCTGTTATATGTAGTTTCAATTGACATTAGGTAACTCATTGCGTTTGATGGAAAAACTAAAATATATGTCAAGGACGAGTTGTATTACATCTGTTTTTTCTAATACGAGAACATATTACCTAAATAAGTTGTGATAAATTGATTGATTCACAGCTTCTTTTCTCTAGAGAGCCAAAGTCCATTTTTCTAGTTTGCAGACGATGGTCAACCGTGCGATTCGCAAAAGCATCCCATACGGATTTTTTATTGTAAGAAAACGGGTAATTTACACCTACATTGAGTACCTGCATTAATAAAAGTGAATTGCAGCGAATTAAATTTTCTCATTACAATTGTAAATAGCAGCTCACTATATGAGCTATTAGTATCACGATTCGCAAGCTAGCGCGGGATTACGCGCTATACGCATCAATTACTTAAGCACACGTGCGCAACCATTACCAGCTATAGATAGAGCGAACGGGCTGCGTAACAATTGACGAAAGCCTCGCGCCAGCCGACAGCCTCAAAGTGCATGTCCAAGGAAGAGAGCGCGTGCCGATGGCTTGTCTCTCGGCCTGTGTCGACGCGCGCAGCGCTCGCAGCCGCGATTTTCGCATTCCGTCTGCCGTCCCGGGCGTTCACTTTCGGATAGCGACGCGATATCGCCGCTCGCGACGCGTAATTGATTGGCGCGCTCGCGTGCTACTGCGCGAGCTTTGTCGCCGATCGCCGCCTAATCGAGCGTGCCCAGGGCTTGGCTTTTCATTGTCAATCGGATTTTCACAGCTGCCCGAGCTGGCTAATAGCACTCTCTTTTTGCCG